ATTCAGTGTTTACTAAAAATAAAAATTCAAACTGAATAATAATTCTGGGACAGAAGGAATAATATATTTCTAACATTGCAAAAAACAAATCACAATTTAGCAACCAAAATTCTTCTACTGTGTAGGTTGTGAGAGCTAGCCTAGCCAGCAGCTTGGGATGTTATCAACTCCCAAATCTTGATGGTTCTATCATCACTGGCAGAAGCAATAATAAGCTTCTCCGGATCTGGGCAGTACTGCCACTGGACACAATCTACATCCATATCATGAGCCTTGTCCTTCTTCAGAAGCAAACGATACTGATCAGGTCCTTAATCCTCAGCAAATAAACATATTGCATCATCACCAGCTCCGGTGGTAATGATTCCTCAAAGAATTATATTTCTGCGTATATTACCAGTTATACATTCAGATATATATCTATACAAGGATACATAAAACCCTAGCCGACTATTTCGGAAACCCTAATTTGGTTTCCTTAATTACATACTCTATCATCCCCCCCTCAATCGTAGCAGGATGAGGAATCATGCCTAGATTGGTTCTAAACAAATAGAATTTATCTTTAGCTATTGACTTGGTGAAGACATCTGCAAGTTGAGATTGTGTGGGGATATGACGAACAACAAGAAGACCAACAGCAACTCGTTCACGAACAAAATGGATATCCATCTCAATATGCTTTGTTCTGGCATGATTAACAGGATTGGCGGCAAGGTAGGTAGTAGAAATATTATCACACAGAATAACTGAAGATCTGGGAAGCTTGATGCAAAGCTCAAATAAAAGATTTTCTAACCAAACAACTTCAGATAAGGTAGTAGCAACGACGCGATACTCAGATTCAGCAGAAGATCGTGAAACAGTAGATTGCTTTTTGGAAGACCACGAGACCAATGATGAACCTAAAAAGACACAGAACCCAATGGTAGAACGTCTAGTTGTCGGACACCCAGCCCAATCAGCATCCGAATAAGCCACAAGACGATCAAGAGAACCAGCAGGGATATGAATACTATAGTGAAGGGTACCCTTAATATATCGTAGAATGCGCTTAACAGCCTGATAATGTTGCTCCCGAGGATCATGCATATGCTGACAGACAAGATTGACAGCATACTGAATGTCCGATCTAGTGAAAGTAAGGTATTGGAGGGCACCCACCAAACTTCTGTAGAGAGTCGGATTATGAAATGGTGGTGACTCATCAACAGAGAACTGAAAAGCCGGAGCAAGTGGAGTGGCAACATGATTAGCTTCAGTGAGATGGCTGCGAGAAAGTAATTCCTCAGCATACTTACGTTGATGCAAAAACCAACCATTTGACTGGGGAGAAACCGAGACACCCAAGAATTAACTGATGGGACCAAGATCAGTCATGGCAAAAGCACCCTTCAGAGACTGAATAAGTCTAGTGAGAAGACGATCACTAGAGGCTGTTAAGAGAATATCATCAACATAGAGGAGGAGAACAGCCATGTCAGTGCCAGCAGTGTAAACCCACATAGAAGAATCCGAGCGACTGTCTTTAAAACCCTGTGTAAGTAGGAAAATAGTAAAGCGGTGAAACCAAGCTCGGGGGGCCTGCTTTAAGCCATAAAGAGCTTTGTTCAGGCGACAGACATAGTGAGGATGGTCTGGATGAACAAAGCCAGTACGCTGTTTCATATAGACAACTTCATTTAAATGGCCATGCAAAAATGCATTTTTAATATCCAACTGATGGACGGGTCACTTACGAGATGTAGCAATACTTAAGACAATCCGAATTGTCACTGGTTTAACCACAAGACTAAACGTTTGATCATAATCAAGCCCAGGTTTTTGATTAAAACCCTGAGCAACCAAACGTGCTTTACAACGATCAAGGGATCCATCGGATTTGAGTTTCACATGAAAGATCCATTTAGAACCAATGACATTCGCAGACACAAGTAGTGGGACTAAATCCCGTGTATGATTAGACAGAAGGGCGTTGTATTCATCACTCATAGCGGCATGCCATTCAGGGTGTTTATTTGCTTCAGTGAAAGATTTTGGTTCTATGGGAACAGAAGGAGAATTGGTAGTGGCAGTGAGGGAGAAAATCTGTTTGGATTTTTGTGTGCCATCCCGAGTGCGGGTGACCATAGGATGTGAGGGAGCAACGGAGGATATAGGATCTGAAGGTTGAGTAGGAACGGAAACTTGGGTGGCAGAGATAGAATCTAAAACAGGAGTTTTGCTGGGAGAGGAGATAATCGGTGATGGAAGGTATTTGGGAATGAGAAAGAAAGGATGTTTAAATGAGGGGGCTGAAGTAGGAAGGGGCTGAGTCGAAGAGGATAGTTTAGGAAAAGGAAACGAAGTTTCATAAAAAATGACATGACGAGAAATGTAGACTTTTCAAGAGACTGGATCAAAACAACGATAACTCTTATATGATTCTGGATAACCAAGAAACACACAAGGAACTGAACGAGGACTAAGTTTATGAGATGCTAAATGAGAGAGATTTGGAAAACAAGAGCAACCAAAAACCCTAAGTACCCCATAATTAGGTGGATGGCCAAAGAGAAGTAAGAAAGGGACAGCTCCGAACTTAGATGTAGTAGGCAGCCGGTTTAAGAGATAAACACAAGTGATTAATGCTTCGACCCAGAATTCATTTGGTAATTGGGCTTGATGAAGAAGAGTACGGACCATGTTAAGAATAGTTTTATTCATTCGTTCAGCCTTCCCATTTTGTTGGGGAGTGTATGGACAAGAGACTTGCATTGCGACCCCCTTTGATTTAAGAAAGGTTTGAAGAGATTGAGAACACATATTCAGCAGCACCATCGGATTGAAGTATTTTAATAGAAGAATGGAATTGAGTTTGAACAAGATTATAAAATTCAACAAACTTTTGAGGAACTTCAGATTTATTTTTTAGAGGATACACCCATAGGTAATGAGTGAAATCATCTAGAAATAGAACAAAATATTTAAAACCACTAAGAGAAAAACAAAGAGAAGTCCAGACATCAGTATGAATAATATCAAAAGGACTGTAAGTGACAGACGACGAAGACTGAAAAGGAAGCTTATGATGCTTTTCAATTTGACATGTTTGACACAGGTAAAGCTTATAGGACGAAACCATCGAACCAGGAAGACCCTGACGGGACACTAAACTGGACAAGACAGAAGAGTGCGGATGACCAAGACGTTGATGCCACACTTGGGAAGACACTGGAGCAGCAAACGTCGGACATGACAAGGAAGATGGTGAAAGAGACTGATGTAGCAAGGTAGAAGGAAAGATATAAAGGGGCCCAGTGCTATTGCAACGTAGACGAGGGATCCTCGTCCAGAGATCCTTCACAGAAAAACCAAAAGGATCAAATTCAACGGAACATTGATTTTCAGTAGCAAATTGACGAACAAAGATAAGATTTTTCGTAAAAGAAGGAACACAATAAACGCGAGAAAATTTAAACGAAGAACAAGAAAGAGTGCCAACAGATTTAATGGGCAACATATTACCATTACCAATCACAACCCTAGTAGATCCATTATAAGGCTTTGAATTGGAGAGAATACCTTGAGTGAGAGTCATAGTGTTACCACAAACGGTATCCATATACCAGGATGAATCCACGGATGGAGGAGCAGGAGGTCGAGTATATTGATCGACAAAGTAAGCGGGTTGCCGAAATTGGAAGCATTCTCTTGCAGAGTGATTCCCTTGATTGCATAATTGACAGCGAATAGCAAGTTGTCCTGGCTGAAAAGAGGGAGCTGGACCAAGTCGGGTTCGGAGACTGGAGAACCAACCGCCGTTAAAGAATCGGCAAAAGATTTAAGTTTGGTGACATAATCATTAATGGATAAGTCACCCTTCTTGAAACTGTGGAATTGGAGTTTCAACTGAAGAAGACGAGAGCCAAGTTGATCATGAAAAAGCTGTTGAATAGTTAACCATGCTTCTCGAGCAGTGAGATTAGAATTTGGTTTAACTATAGCTTGCAAGATTTCATTTGAGACTGTGGCTTGAATCCAGGAGAGAACAATGGAATCAATTTGAGTCCATGTTTGAAAGGCAGGATTTGGGACAGAAGCGGAAGAACCATCCGCAGCGGGAAGAGTCGAGGGCGGAGAGAGAGAGGTACCATCAATGTAATCCATGACACCATGGCCGCGAAAAACCGGAAGAAAGAGTTCCTTCTAGAGCATAAAGTTGGTGAAATCTAGGACGGGAGTAACATAATTTTTTATGTTGGAGAGGCCAATGGACGGATGAGACAGCGGAGAAGAGGTGCTGGAAGGAGGGGGGTTTTGCGGCTGGTTTTGGGTGGCAGTGATTGTGGATTCGTCAGATCGAGCCATGAAGGAGGAAGATTATGGTGAAGAAGGATTGCTGCGTGGGTGGTAAGGATTAGGGGATTTTTTTTTTTTTGTAAGAATTAAACTAGGATGATGAGGAAGAAGACACACGGAGGTTGAATCTAATGGGGTGCAGGATCAGAAAGCTAAAGGCACAGAACAATTGATTAAATAAAGGCACAAATTTGATGAAGCCGAAACAAGGCACAGAAACTTGATGAAGAACGGGAAATTTGATGAAGCTGAAACAAGCCGAACTTGATGAACAGGAAAATAGCAACAGGCTGCAAAAAAGATGGATGAAACAGCCGCAAAAAAGAAAGCTGCGGCGGGTTCGAATTGGAGCAGGAATTGCAGAAGGCGGAAGTAGGGTGATAAACAGCAGCAGCAGAAGGGAGATTTTGGGTGGTGGCGATGGAATTTAGAGCTGCGGTGGTTCGGCAGAATTTTGTGTATGCCGGCAAGAGAGAGAGGAAGAAAAGAAAGCTGACGGCAGAAACCCTAAAAAATTGAGAGGCCAGGAAAGAAGGATGATACCATGAAAGAGTTATATTTCTGCGTATAGTACCCGTTGTACATTGAGATATATATATATATATACAAGGATACATAAAACCCTAGCCGACTATTCCGGAAACCCTAATTTGGTTTCCTTAATTACATACTCTATCAATTCCGTCTCTTCTTGACCAATCAACTGTAAATATGGTTCGATCATGAGAACCCGAAAGAGTGCGGATATGTCTCCAAGGCCCAAACCCATCACCGCCCCAAATTTTTAAGGTAAGATCATCACTACAACTTACCATTCTGTCTCCAGTTGCATTGAATGAAAGAGCCCACACAGTGGATATGTGTTCATTGTTGTTAGCTTCATCTAACGTCTGAACACAATCCCAAACATCATCAACCTCTGCCCAAACCTTAATAGAGTTATCATAGCTGCAAGAGAATAGAATATCCAGATTTGGATGAAACTCAACCATTTTTACGTCATGTACATGTCCATGTTTTGACTCCTGCATACCTAGGCAATCATAGTCATAATCGGGCATAATCTCCCATAGCATAACTGTCTTGTCTCGTGCCCAAGTAACAAGCAGTGTGCTGTTTGCATTCCAGGCAACAGATTTTACTTCGTTTCCATGCCCCTGGTAAAAAAGAAAAAAATCTCTTTTTTCAGTTAATACATTCAAAATCCAAAAGATAGACAAGCATCCAAAAATTAACAGTTACTCAGCTACTTTACATCCTTCAAAGCACAAAATAACATCTAAACAATTCAAAATTCACCAACAGGGAAGCTATTATTACGAAATAAAATAGTACTCCCTCCATCCCAAAATTATTGTCCAGTTTGGAATTTCAGTTTTAGTTCAAATGGTACTTAAAGCGAAATCTGAAATTGAACAATGATTTTGGGACCGAGGGAGGTAGTAGTAAACAAATTCAAAGATTACTCCCTCAAATGTGGAAATGCATTGATAATCATCATCACCGGCCACTTGCTCCCACAGCACAGTTTTACCATCAAAACTGGCAGTTGCGAGCATTTTTCCTGAGGGAGACCATGCACAATATCTGTCTTCGTGTGCGTCTCATCTAAGACTACCTTGCACTCGAACGAGCCGGTGGCCGGATTCTGTTCCCAAATACGGACCGCCTTGTCACCGCCGCAAGATGCGAGTATGGCCGGGACACCGCGACGCCGGTGCCCGGCTTCCCAACAGACACACCACGCCCTATCAGTGTGGCCTTCTAGCTTTTGAAGCTCTTTCAGTTCGACTAAGCTCATTTCAATCAACAGCCTCGAGCAACGGCATATAGGGTATAGGGATAGGGTCGATCAATAGAGAATTAATGATAGTGCTTAGGACGACGGCCGAGGATGATGACCAAGGCGGCCTAAAACTCTTCAACACACAGAGTCTCGAGATCTCCGGAGGATATACTCTGCAGAATAAGGGAATTTTAAGAGATATAATATAGAGAGCTACGTAGTTTGTGTAGAAAAAATATATCTATATATATATTACTAATAGAGAAACCGGAGAGAGAAATAAGTTTCATTTTTGGAGTGACAACTAGGATAAAATTTTATGTGTAATTATTTCATGTGTTCTCAAAAAAATAAGTTATGGAAATTGTGTTAATACCTTTAAATTTTATGTTAAATTAAACACTAAATGAGGTTCATCTTATATGATAATAGTTTAAGTAAATCCCTAAAAATATGACTTTGTTAAAAAAACAAAAAATTAGGAACCAATTTTAACACAATCATTTTGATAAAATTTTTATAATTAGGGTGGATATACAGAGTTTTACTCTATGACATTTTTTCATGATCGATTGCCTTTGAGCATAATAGTCCAATTTGCATTTGGGATCACTCTAAAACAAGGTGACCAATAACGTTTAGACACAATTAATGGAATAAAACAACAATGCCTATAAATTAACCTTAATCCCAAACTAAATTAGAGAGAAAACAAAGTTATATATATAATAAATAAAATTGTTTATCCAAATGCCGCTCTTTTATTCAAATTCTGATCAACTTTGTCTTTACCTTTACTACTTGATAAATTTTATTTTTGCATTCTACATATTTGTATTAGGTCCACATGAATTATTTAATATGTCACATAGTGTTTTCTCAATTACCATCGAAATTAAACATTTAAGATTGTTCATTGTGTTTGTTTTTTTCTTAAAAATATTTTTAGTAAAAAAATAAATTTAAAATTTATTTATCCCGCACAACGTGCGGGTTTAACATCTAGTATATATAATAGGGTATAGATGTCACGGGCTTACTTTTTCAAAGTAACGGCCGTGCGCCACTAGCACAAAACAACTAACGATCAAGTGCTAGCTCAGCCTTAAGACCCCCAAAGCGTGCAAAGCTAGGCAAGGCTTTAAAGAACGGAGGCAAAGAAAAACTTAAGAAAAGTTGAAAGTGAAAGAACGATGAAGGCACAAGAGAGTTTAAGGAATGCTTGAGAACTCTACTCAAAGCTTGGATGAATTACAAATGAAGGGGGCATGGGGTATTTATAGGCAAACCCCCAAATCCTGAAGAATTCTGGAGAATTCTATATACATAATAAAATAATGAAATTCTAGAGAATTCCTACAATAAAATATTCTAAGTTCAAAATATCTACAAGTCTCTAGAATCTATATCTATAAGTCTTTAGAATCTTCCACATGGTTCTAACAAACTCGGGTAGCTTCCACACGGTTCCACTCGTTTCTAGAGAGTTCCGGGCCTCTCTAGAAAATTCCAGAGTCTTCAAGATTTGACCGGAGAATTTCACAAGGCTCTAGACCGTTCCATCCCATGTCCGTCTATGAAAATAGCCCGTTTCGCATCAAACCACCCGAATTCGTGGTGAAGAAAAAACTGTCCGTGACATAGACACCACCCTTAATACAGAGGCGATTCATAATTAAGGTTAGATTTATCACGTATAGAGGCGGTGTTTTAATTACCTCCAAGTAATCCAACCCAAACTCGTTAGGATTAGGATTAGATTCGTACTCTTCAATCAAATTAAACGTGTTGGCTCGTAATCTATGCTTGAATTTATATGAAGGCTCTAAACCACACATATCCTCTTCAAAGTTTCGGGAGCTTTTTGGTTGGATCAATTTTTTCACTTCCGCAATTTTTGGATTCCAAGATTTGATGTGAATCTTAGCTCGATGTAGTTAAATGATTCTTCGTAGTTGAATTTAACAAGTACGCGATAACACCCCATTTTATAGAATCACGAATTGTTATTATTATTAAATGGTAGGAGTAGTATGTATTATTTACATAAAGAAAAGAATAAACTTTCTAAGATGATATATAATTCTGCAATAATACACATCTTCTCTGTTTAATGAATGGGATGATGTTGCACCTGTGCTATGCTACATAATTTACTTGAGCGTTCAGGGCTTGCGTGCAGCGTGTTGACATGAATTATATAATTTTTGAAATTTTTGTCGAAAATTTTCCATATAAATTTTCTCCAGCTTTATTTTTTAGTGCCAAATGTCTAGAACAACATAGTATCCTATCAGCAAAGGTAGGGCTAACACTGTGCTTAAAAAGATCCTGCAATTGGAATTGATCAGCATAAAATCAGTACGTAATTATTGTCCTGCTTAATTTTCCAGTTTTAGTTTAATTTATACTAAGATGAAAATTGAAACTAAACAATAATTTTGAGAAGGAAGTATTTAATTAAATACTCTATGTGTAAGTGCATGTGCAACCCGACCATCCACATGCATCGTCTTTATCATATTATAGAACCTTCATCAGCACACTCCAAATCGAAGCCCAAAAAAATTATTAAATCCCAAAGGCTGAAATATTTTTTGCACTGATGTAATGTATTAATCAAAACTGAGAATTGAATTAAACCTTTTTTGGGGGGATCTTTTGTTAATTAACAGTAGAGCGAAAACCACAATGAAAATTATTTTCTCTTATTTCGTAAACTTCCTTTTGGAATTGAAAACCACATTTTTATAATTGCGTCGATCTTGTACATGAAAAGGTGAATAAAAACTCATACTGATCATGTAGAATGGAGACTCATAAAATGGTGAATATAAATTTGCTCCTTTAATAAACGCCAAGTCGAAATTCATTGAGAATTTGTGCTTGGCAATTTGAGGTTAAAGATTAACTTGGGTTTTGATATGATGTAGTTTTCATGACCTCGTTACCTTTCTCATCTAATTAGCTCGTTTCATTGGTGTTTTATGAGTACAACTCAGCAGTATAGGAGGCACTTGGAGTTTAAGCTCAACTTAATACTAAGACGATTTTAATTAGTTAATTAGCTCGTTCAGTGATCTCATAAAGAAGAAGAAAAAGAAAAAATACTGTTGACAAGGTTATGTACTTTGGACACTCATTTGTTTTGTATATTAATATATATACATTCATAATAGCTAAAACTAAAAAGTATATATAATGGCATTTTATACTTTATGACGAGGTTAGATATCGTTGTGCATAATGCACAACCGACCGTATACGAAATTTGGTTTATGAATGATTTAAAATTTAGCGATTGGTAAGTTCACCATCAAAGACGTTTTTGGTTCTTAAGTATCACAAATTCAATACGTGATAATTTCATTAATTGGGGAATTGGCCAACTAATTGATAGTCACATTCGAGAAAATGACTAAGAATTTTATTAATCATAATTTTGCACCATTTCTTAAACCATTATATCCTAGTGTGATACATGTCTATTTCAATATTATATAATTTTTAAAAATTAAACTATCGCCTTAACCCACCATTGTTGAACACTTAACGCTAGTAGTGTAAATCGTAGTGTGTAGAATTGAGGCATATAAAATCTTTTGCCATAGTGAATAATTCTTCATGAATCTCCAAAAGAGAATGATGGTTCAATTCCCATTAGAGTGACTTAGATAAATTATATGTGTATCATTACTCAGAGAACTTTTTTTCCTAAAAAATATATATATTATATATATATATATATATATACGTAGTATTGAACAAATTACTAAGTTTAAAATGTTTAAGTAATTCATAATTCTTTTTTTCGTTGATAACTTTAGGATTGAATTTGATATACGCGACGCTAGTGCTAAGCATATCCTGAATTTCAAACTTTTATTAATATGAGTAGGTGAAATTCATTTTTCTAATTATTAGAATAATGATATCTTAATTGATTTAGAAAATTACATTAATTTTAAATCGTTAGTTCTAGTAGTTCATGATAAGGCCGAAGAATAACCAAAACCCTGCATCTCGTTCATGATGTGGCATTTTTAATTAAAACATTGCTACAAAAGGGTTCCCTGAGTTTCTCATATAATGTGTATATACATTATAAATATGACACGAGCATGCATGATCCATACTACTCCAATCATTATTTGTTTCTTTTGCAATATTGTTGCCTTTGTTGACTCTTTTTGTTGCCTTAAGTCGGTGTAGATCTACCCATATATGGGTAGGTGTTCATACTGGTATAATTTCAACTGCGTAGAAATTATCAGATTTGCATGATGACTGTGTCCCGAATGAGCATAAATACAATGCAGTTATCTGTGATCTTCTCTTTAAAAAGAAAGGAACGTAAAAAAATAAAAAAGAAGAAACACACACACACACACACACACTAGACAAATTGACCTCACGTCCGAGTGGTGAGTAGTACATAAACTAAATGTAATTTCCCCATAAAAAGAACTTATGATTTATGAAAGTCCAAACACGAAAGGTAAATCTAAAAAAAAAAGAAGGGAATTTTTTGGAACAGAATTGGACAGACAGATTGTGAAATTACATTTTCTTAAAATTTTCAATATTGTGTTTTACATGAAGCTCTTGTATATATGTTTCTTTCCCCACCTTTTGACTCGATAATTATTAGGAATGACAATGATAAACAAAAACATTAATTAATTATCAGGTTAATTAGTTTGGTTAATTAATAATTATATTTTTTCAGGGTCAATGTAAAAACTCCAATGCTGCATAATATGCGACCAATATTGGAAGTGACACCATCATTCCGAAGATAACCCTGAAAAAAAAAAAAAGAATTAAAATTTTGATAAGGGAAACACATACTGCATTCGTTTATAATTATTATTTGATTTTCGTATTACTTTTTTTAGTATAATAAATCGGACATTCATTTGTATTAAAGAGGGGGGAAAGAGAAAAAAGACAACAGCCAGGCGAGCATAATGGAAGTGAATCAATGATTGAAATAAAATTTGGTGATCTTATGAATTTATTTTGTTTGAATAATTGTTCACAATTAAACTAAAAGTGAAAATCAAAATTAGATAATTATTTCGGAGGGGTCGGAGTATCTACTCCTTGATTATTAGATAAACACATAGTCAACTACTAACAGAGTGATAAGGAGAACATATACTCACGCAGTGCTGATGACATCTGCATGTAAACCATATTCTTTGGCAAAAATGAAGGAGGTGATGGACTGTGGTACTGCTGCCTGCATTTATGAAGAAACATCCTTTTTGGTTAAAAGCCGAGATTTTTATTCTTGCAAAAAAAAAAAAAAAAAAAAGAATTGAACTTTTTATCTCAATTTAAATATATGAACTTTTATTCTTGCAAAGAGCCAGGAAGATAACATCTTTTCGTTGCTAAGATATCTCACCTATGTATCCAATTCCGTTAACGCACTGAAAGATGGTTACAGAATACGACATCATCGAATGTTTTGAAAGATGCCTATATCGGTCTCAATAAAACCCACACACACACACACACATAAATTATTAAAACAAAAGATCTCATCGCTTACGTTTAAGCACATCCAAGTCTTGATCAATCGATCTGAAACGTTTTCTTTTATTAGTTCTTATCTTAATTATAACAACTTCAACTCGTTTTTTTTTTAAGGCCATGAATTTGAATAATTACAAAAGGACGAAAGAAAGTACCAAATTAAACCAAATAAGAAGGAAAATTGTTAAATTTCGCACGTACCTGAATTATGGCAATACGCAAAACATCGCCATGCAATCCAACAGCAATAGCACCGATTGCCATAGCTGCTGGTCCAGCTATGAACCTTAACACCATCCCATATACAGTCAGACTTGTTCCGCAAGCTATTATTTTCTCTTGTAAAGCCATGAACATTCCTACAAGACCAAATATCACAATTTGATTACTTGTCATCAATTACCCACGTTACTCAATTTTGTGCCACATCTCGTTTTACGAAATTCTAATACAACTTGTACTAATAGTGAAAAATTCAAATTTCTAATTGTAACGAAAAGAATAATATTTTAATGGTCATGACTGTCTTTTTACTAACCCATACTAAACATCGCAGTTCCGGTACCAGCTCTTGACATTATTAATATTGATCCTTCCATCACTGCTGGCATTGGAATATTCCACCTACATAAATCATGAAGAGAAAGAACATACAAAAAACCTCAAGTTAAAAATTTACTCGTTTTTTTAATTTGAAATATGATTAAAGATTTCTATTTTTATTTTTTTATTTTTTTACGAACCTGTTGGAAATGCAAGCCCAAGTGACACCAATAATGCAACCATAAGTATTAGGGTTCGTCGCAAGTTTACGCCAAACTGCCTTCATCAAAGACCAGATTGAAGGCTTATTACTACCACTATTCGCACAAACTTCACCTGAATTAATAATATTCTCTTCCAAATCCACCTTTGAATTCGAAGAATTATTACTATTATTTCCCTTATTATTTTGTTCGACGTCACTGATCGAATAAATATCGGTTCGAGCTCGCCGGATTTCCAAAACCAAGAGAAGAACGGTAAGCCAAACAATGGCCTGAATGACTGAGTTTTGAACCACAAGATCCACACCCAACTGGCCGTACATGGCTCGGGCAAGAGGGACTCCCACAACTAGCGAATTGGTCAAAGTAGACAAAGAAAAGCTTGTTATGGACCAACAATAGCTTCCTTTACTACTAAACTTTGCCCAAAATGCCAGAACAAGTACAATGATCACCTTTGAAAGTGCATCGGCAGCAATGAAAGGGTAGTTCATCTTGAAAGGATCGGCGTGAGCCGTGAATTCAAAAGTAAAGAGAGGTAAGGTGAAATACGCCACGAGGCGATTTATGGCGTCGCATTGATCTCTTGTGAAGATTTTCCACCATTTTACTGAACCATAACCTAACATGAGTGCAACATAAAGTGGTACCATGGCGGCAACCACCTTGTAAACATCTTCCCATCCTATCATTTTTTTTTAATCTTTTTTCTAGGGTGCTTAAAAGTTTCTTGAGGGCTTAAACAAGAATGTGTATCCCTCAAGAGATGAAAATGAAGGTTTTGATGAGCTATATATGCAAGCAAGCTTAAGTTGTGGTCCTTTGGGACTGTTGAAGAGATGGGGCATATTTGATAAGTACATCATGGCTACTGCTATTTATATAGCCACTGCATGTGTCAAAAGAAGGAAGTTATTAGAGAATAGAAACTATCCCTTTGGATCATAGCTGTTCTCCTGTTTATGTAATCAATAAGGGGCATAAGGAATATTATATCATCTTCCTTTAATTTGCAAAATACATAAATTATAGAAAAATGCAATTAGGGCTATCACAAATTAGGATACTAAAACTAGTAACATAACTATTCTATCTCAAAATAATTATATATCTTGTTTATTACTACCTCCGTCCCAAAAAAATAGTCCACATTGAGTTTTGAAATTTGTACTCTTTTTAGTACAAATTTTAAAACTCAAAATGGACTATTTTCTTAGTACAGAGGGAGTATAATAAAATAGTACTTGTTCCTGATTGGAGTGAATAATTAGTACTCTTATGATGTTTACTAGCTAGTCTTGCTTTTCAATTTAGTTTGATTGCAAATCCATGGTTTGCTAGCTATTTGCATGTTTGAGTGTAGTAAGAATTGATTCTAGGGATTCTTTGGAAAGTGATTAAGTTGGCATTCTATTTTAGTGCGAGACAAGATCAATCGACATGGCATCATGTTGGGCTTTTGAATTAAGTTTATAATACACCATTTGGGTTGCGTAATTTGGGAGTTGTGGTCAGCAAATGTAAAGAATATAGGAATGAGTTGATTGGTTTATTCCGTCCCACTTTTGCCATTGCGGTTTCTGATTTTTCTGGGGTTGTTTTGGCTTTTTATAGTTTTATATCATCCACACACTATTAGTTGATGATGATCCTGTTGGGGCCTCTTCAGGTGGTATGGAAGATCTAATTTTAAATTGTCGTTTGTGCATGGAAATGTTCCATTGCCTACGTTGCAAGATGCAAGATTCTCACATTGTGCAATCAAGAAGCTTTTGTTTTGTTTTTTTTTTTTTTATATTACAGGATCGGCAATAGTGACTAATCCTTCTCACTCATAATAGTTTCTTTCTTTGTTTTTAATTTCCTTTTTCTTTAACAAATATGCTTAGGACAAAAAATTACTGGTCGGCTAAATATAAACATATATAGACGAGTGAGGAGCGTGTAACGACATTCTACTTTACTCTGGGAAGAAAGAGAGCATCTTTTAACGGCTCTATTAAGAGAACAATTTTCCAATGATTTTTCAACCATAAGAGTTAGAATCATCATGAAATGAAGATGTGACCTAGTGATAGATGATTTAGTTCCGCTGCATGTGTACAGACAATATTCTTTATTTAATCTTAGTCTCTTAATCCACTATATATTATTATCAATTTATTATCACTCTTAACATCTAAACAATATTTTGGGCCGGAAAGAAAATCATATTACATATTAATATTTCTTAATTATTAGTCAACGATTAATTCCTCTAACACATTTTTAATCACATCGCAGTATCGCACCATCATTATTAATGGATTCATTGCTCAATAGTCGCCATGCAAATACCACTTGTCGCTGCCGCCGTCCGCCTTGATTACCACCAAATGTGCCTGTTTTTCGCCCGCTTACTTTTGTTTGGGGGTGTCGTTTTTACAAAAAGAGGTCCAAACATGAGAATTTTACCAATAATCAATCTACATTCATCACGTTGAAATCACGATTTGACAACCGATGGTCGCTTAATAGAACCCACTTCACTCCCAACAGCGAACTAATAAGTCACTGCAACCCACTTGATTCCCGACGGCGGACAATGACATGATCGATTAGTGTTTGATGATAAGCTACTTGGTTAATTGATATATATATGCTCATTCCGTAATAGTGTTAAATTGTGTTCGTTGTTGCTAACCTAATTACTTCACATTGTCATTCACCAGTCACCACAATTTGTACCATTAAATACCTCTCTCGTCACTATATAGCTACGCCGATGAGAATAAGATACCATACCCGCAATCATACGTGCTGTCATGCAAAGTGCAAGTAATCTTGCTTCCTCTTTTTTGGTGAACAGAGACGGATCGTTATAATTTTTAAAGTTGGTGAAATTCAAACTTGTAATATCTTGATCCCGAAAAATTTAATCACTGAATTATTGGATAAATTATTAGTTTGTTCTTTGAGGCCGTCAAATATTCAAGCATAACCTATATCGTCCACTCATATAATTGTTCCTTAATTATCAGCCTTTTCATTTTATTCTCGGGATGCTTAATTTGAATTCTATAGCTATATATCTGCGGTATGATGTCTACCAAAATTATCATTAATCAAGAACTAATTCATTCAATTGTCCGACAGAGACTCGCTCTTCTTTTGGACTACATTTCATTTCAATGGGCTTAATCGGTACTAATTAATCCAAAATGCGTATATAATGAATGCTGGCTAGCTAGTACATATGTTTCCATCTCATGCATGCTTTTATCTGGATTTTCTATAAATGACAGATATTTTCCATTGGAAGAAGATCATTTCCTCTCAAGAAAAAATGACATTATATGCATGCATGTTCAAGGTAAGACTGTATTATTAAATCGAGCTAATGTTTCAAACTAAACCAAGTCACTTTTTGAGATTGGTTAAAAAAAAAAAAAAAAAAAAATTCTCTACAAGGGAAAACTGAAACCGCACATATGATTTGAAAGAGGAAGAATTACTGAATTGGGGTATAAAAAAAATGAAAGGACTTAGCAAGGGTTCTCCGTGCAACAATTCCAGAAACTCCTAAAGTTTAAGAAATTAAAATTCTGAATTAAATAAATAAAGGTATGTATTCCAGTTAGGTTTTATTCTTCTTCAGTTCTCTCGTAAATTACGATCGTGAGGAAAAAATAAATAAATAAAACGCATAGATGCCAGCAGCACCCAACAAGTTGACCAGGTGATTGGACAAAAATAAGCTCCCTCCCAATGCATGGGATTGCGTCAAAAATCAAAATGCTTTCTTGCGACTCAAACAATTCATATATGCTATGATGCATGCTTGGTTGATTTTGGTTCAGTAGTTTAATGATTAATATATTTCATGGACCTCAAGAAAGATAAATATGAGATCATTTTTCTGATTTAATTCAGTAATATATTATTATTAATGCGTTGGAGACAAGATATCCCCTTTTTATTTATATATTGCAAAAAGATAATAAAGGAATTTGTCGATGAACTAATGCCTTACACCCACTTTAATTCCTGTCAGAAGTTATTCTTCATTGATCACCTCATCAAAACCATATCATTTGAGTGAGACTATACAGTTCAAAAAGTCCAATAATTTTTCGAATAAAATTAATGGTTACGTGACTTACGTCTGTTTGGGTAATTCCTTGTATATGTTTCTAATTTTGTTCATTTTTTATTCCTGTGTTTGAGAAAGACCGAGACCCAAATTATTTATAAAAGAAAAATTACAAGAAAGTTAAACTAAAATATTTTTTGCTTACATCTGTTTGTTTGCTTTTTTTATGGTTTTTTTTTTCAGTTTTTTTCAGTTTACCGAGATGACCCAACATATCTTTTTACATTTCCAACACACCTTTTTACATGCTCAATATAAAAAAATATCTAAAAACACACACTAAAAATACGAAACAATCATACTTAATTTTCATGTGTTCTGAAGATTCGGTGAAAGATCGAAGGCAAAATGATGTTATGTCTCCAGAAGCCTACAAATTATATACAGTTAACACAATTCTACGGTTTCAATTTAAATATATGAAAAATTATGTTAAAAATATTCTATCTCGCTATTAGATTTCCGCTTATTAAATTAGGACGGTACCAAACAATAGATTTTTTAGGAGTAAAAGTTTGTACTCCCTCCGTCCCATAATTATTGTCCAGTTTTACTAAAATGAAAGATTTTATTTTTTGTCAAACTTAACTATATTTTACCTTAAATAACCGGATATACCTCTACATAAGTAATTATTTAACCTCTAAGATTTTATGGGTAATGTTTTTTACTAAGGACAAATGTGTAACTTGATCCATAAAAAGTCAAATTGGACAATAATTTTGGGACAAAATTTTTTGGGTAAAGGAGACAATAATTATGGGATGGAGGGAGTATTATATATATACATATATATATATATATATATAATGAACTGAAAACATGAATAAATGAACGGAGAAGTTGTAGAATAGGTTGGATAAGGAATTGGCTACAGTACCAGTTAAATATAGCTAGATTCATAATCGATGGTTGTGGTTTTTTAATAATATATACCTTTAATAATTTGTTTAGTTTTAATTTCTTAGGTACAACAATTCGTTTGGTCTGTTTGAAAGGCAGACTATACAGGCATTCCACGTCAAAAATATACTAGCACAAGTTCGATAATGTAGAATACACTTGTAGGGATAGGAACAGAAAATGAAAATATTTGTTAAGTGATCAAACTAAGATCGAGCTGTCCTCCTCTTGTAAGTTTAAAACTTGCCTGGCCTCTATATATCTTTTTGAATAAAAAACCAAACAAAAAGGAAAAAGATATATGGAATCAAGATAAAATTTGGGGTAAGTTTCAAATACTACCTCCGTCCCAAAAAAAAAAAAATAGTTCACATTCAATTTTTAAATTTGTACTAAAAATAGTAAAAATTCAAAACCCAACGTGAACTATTTTTTTGAGACGGAAAAAGTAACACAACTGAACAACATAAATTAGAATTATTTCAATCATTCTCTCCGCATAATGATCTTGAACACCAAATATGTAATACAAATATATATATATATATATATATGTATATGTAGTATACTAATTGAGAGAACTTTGATTATAGTATTCAGTCTAGTACAAAAGAATCTCACAGATGATTGATACAACGCTTCTGTAAAACATGAATACACACACAGCTGAAAAGCTCTATAACAACACCCAAGGGAAGCTCACCGCAAAAACATCATTTACAAAGTATAAACCCAATTACAATTTACAAGTTCAAGCTAAGAGGAATACTTTTGCATCAAAACAACTTACAGTACCATTAAGATGTCTGGGATTCAACAACAGGCGCGGGAGATTGTTTTGTCACTGCAGTTAATATGTCTGCATAACTCACTACCCCAACTAGGTTGTCCTCATTTTCGGCCTCGGTGACCCAGACATGTGTTGCCCGGTGAGATAACATCTGCGCCATCACGGCCGCTAGTGTTGATGTGCTTTTACATGTCAGCGGAGCACTTCTACCCCGGAACATACTCCTAGAAGCTCCAAGGTTTGCGCTTGTGCTGTTGCTAAAGAACCCAATATTTCTACTACTGAATTTTTTCAGCCTAGTCGAGCCGCCATTGTTAGCTACATTTACATCTCTAGCCAAAGAACTGGCTGACAGATCTGGCACTGACCTTGAGGTCACATTATCTTCAACCCCCATAACAAACTGGCCTGCAGAGAGATTGGCCAGCGCCCAGGCAGCCGCTAAATAGTCGCATCTCCACAGTTTGTAAGAAGAGATATCACCGATGATGATATTACGACCATCAGATGTGGACTCAACAACAGCAACTGCACTTGGATCGTGAGGAATCTTACGGGTGGCATCAATAGCAGGTAAGGATGCTTCGATGCAACTATAGTGTGGGTTTATCGCTCCTAACGACGAAATGGAAGTCAGGGGGAGAGGAGCTAAGGCACCAAGGCACCCAATAAGGAAACGAATCACATCTTCTCTAGACAAACAACAGAACTTATCTCGAATGATGGCAGTCGAAGATGAAGGACGATTCATGATGGCTGAAGAGTTGGAAAAACTATCAATATTCCTCAGCCACTTTCCGTGATAAAGAACAGAAAATCTTTTACTTACGCCTCTCCATCCAATGCTTTTAGGAACAAGGAGCCGCTTAACACCTTGCTTCATCATCTCTAGTGCATCTATCAACCTGGCATTCCAAATATCAATTGGAATGTCATAATATGCAACAAATCAGGCTAGGAACTTTAGTATTCGCCAATTAAGAATAACCAAATCTACTCTTTCCTTTTCTTTTTTATTTCTTAATCTTTCTTGTTCATTTACATAAAAAGCAAGATATAAACTTCAACGCTCTTATGTTGTAGAATATTAAACTTAAAGAAATTACAAGACAAAGCAAAATCATGGGAGGAAAATACAATCAGTAATGCTCAGGTAAGTGTTTATGGCCACACAGAGTTTCCATAGTTGTACAATGATCCTCCATTTAATAAGAAAAGTTATAAGGCCTGCACCAGCTTTATCAAGGGATTTTCCAAATAAAATAATAGCTATCTCTTTCTCTGAACTGTCATAATATAAACCATATCAACAAGACTAAAGCAGCAAACTTAAGGCTTTATCCAATTACGTAGAATAGGCGATGCAGATCATATTATGCCATCACATTCCATCAAAATGGGTACCAGAAACAAAGTACAGAATCAATATATGAACCATGGGTTGATCATACAGAAGGCTTCAGTTCATTAGATTATTATAGATGGCAAGCTCAGTTAACGAAGGACTCATTGTAAGTGGACAAGAAGATCAGATCTCACAGGAAATACCACATATCATCTTAAGTGATTGGAACTAATGAAAGGAGTAAAATGTCAAGGTCGTGGTTCTCTGGCAGGTACAAAGTCACTCAAAACTGATGATAAGGTATGCCACTCACAAGCATATAACTAGGGCAAATAATTCTCAAAAACCATGCATAAGAATTAAGACACTCCCAATATTTCAATATTCCACGCTTTAACAGCTGCACATTGTTCCAGCCATGCCTATTTGACTACAGTTGACAATAAGCAGTGCAGCCAAAATACCAAACTTTTACTTTTAATTTCATTTCTAAATTTACCAAAATACTTCAGTGTACCATGTTCTCTGCAAGTTCAACTTAGTTTGATAAGATGAGAGTGTCAAATACTATCATACTAATACTCCAGGCTTTTACATTAGTTGATTTCATCCTGCAGATAGTTATTAAATACCTCATAGTTACTGTTATATAGAGGTACTTCTGTATTTCTCTTCTTCTACTCTGCATCAGCTCATCTTTCTATTGCACTATTCTATATGTAGTTTTCCCTGAACCTACATCAGATACTTCTCTTCATTAACAACTCAAACAAATTTCTTAAGCTCCTAAGGTCCTTCCTACTAAAGACTGCCTCATGAAATCAACAGTAGTCGGCCAGCTACTGCAGTAGCAAGTAAAATTTATGACAAGCCTCATTTTTCATCCAGAGGTTTCATAATATAGGAATTCCTCCCCCAAAAGAGTGCTTTTATTTTAACGATAACATAATGTTTTCAAAGCCATCCAACGCATAGGATCACCTTCATTTCAGACTAGAATTTGTAAGATTCCAACTTTCCTGAATCTAACTACAACTCAAGGGTGCAAAGTGAAATTGCATATCAATGACAGTCATAGAAGTATATCAGAAAAAGAAGTTGGTTAGATTCACTCTACAATAGTGCTTTTAAGTTTTAACCTGTGCATCACCCATATTTCATCAAGTTCTGGCTATTCTGAAGGTAGACGAGATTAAAAAGAGTCCATAATGCTAACAATGGAAGCAATAAAATAACTGAGGAAAAGAGATAAACACACTGAAGAAAACACTCACAACATCCTAGTACTATCCTCAAAAAACAAGTAGGACCAGCTAGTTGTCAGTCACACATAAACTAAGGCCAGCCGAAAACAGGGGATTGCAGACCATATAACTGAAACAGCATTCTGGGGTCAAGAATTTAGGCCACACTATCGTGTACAGCTAAAGAAACACTCAAGTTGAAGAAACCGGGGGGGGGGGCGCTAGCACGGAAACTCAACATCAACACCAATATTACACAAGGTACTGCAGCATTTGGCCAATAGAATCCTTGACTCAAGCAACTAGGTTACCTTTCATCCGTTATTTGACCAGACAATATAAACATGGTGGGGTTACCAAAACAATATTTAAACATGGTAATCTGAATACTGTTATCCTCATTGACGTTTTGGGTTAAAGAATACCATACTATACCACATAGAAAAACAGGCACTCGTAATCTAATGCATTTCACACATTCTAGCACATGCGAAATGAGGTTTTCTCAAGCAAGCTGGTGTCCCGTTGACAATCATAGATAAGTATATCAAAGGAACACCTGGCCTACATCCCTAAATCTCATTGCTCAACCAGGAAAACTTATAGCTAATGGCATCTCATAAGCAAGTAAATGGCAAGTTAAAAGAAACACGGATTAGAGTATATGAGATCATAAAAAAGGATTTACAGCAACATACATAAGGAACAAAGATCACAGAGTTCAATGCACAACGTTTAGCATGCCCTCCAGAGTGACAGAATTAAGTTGCATTGGAGAGAACTGAGTTATCAACAATTATCTTGAAACTGAATCTCAAGCAAGCACAAAACAGATATAAAGACATGGTAATGACTCCCAAACCACCAAATGCTACAATGTGTAATACAACAGGATCTAACCTCGTTGCTGGATCAACCTCCTTTAACAAGGAAGAGTTGGGAACAACCACCTCCGAAACTGGGGTCTTTAGGGCCTTATCTTGATCAGCCAAGCACTCACTTTTGGCCAAGAATGCAATAATGTCAAGGGAATTAAGAATGCCAACAAACCTCTGCTGCCTCATTTCGGCATTCTCCATCACACTCTTCGGTGATCTCTTCTTCCACACGGTTATTCCGCCTTCCGTAGACTCTCCGATGGCCTGAATTGCAGCCTCCACCGTGTCCGTCTCAGCAAATTCCACCAGTTCTGGCTTCCCTACAGTCAGATCCCCTACCACATGGTACAAGAAAACTGAAGCCATTTTCTTTGCTGAAACACCAAGATAGATCCTTTATGCCCGATATCAATGAAGAATACAAATCTCCTTCCTCAGATTTCTCCCAAATATACGAGGGAGCCGAATTTGAGGTCTGAATTTCTTCAATAAAAGGTAATGTATGGTGACTTCTGATTCAATGACGAGGATGAAAAATCAACTCCACTGAATTGCACGTGGAGAGATCTCCCAATCTGAGTTCCTGAATTATTTCAGCTGCCAATCAACCAATGATTAATCAAGAAATAACAAGATTGGATAAGAGCTTGATAATTTCCCTCCTGACAACGGACCCCAAAAAAACTGGGTCTTTGCTCTTTGGTCGAAATCTTCCAAAGAGACTGAGATTTCTTGATTATTCAAACGATCCGAAACCAAACCAATCGAAAATCTGCCGATTTCCGACTTTATCACCTACCAAACCGAAACAAGAACAGATCAAAATGCAAGCGACCCAGAAGGGATTCTTCAAAGGGGCGCTATAAGAGGGTATGAAGAAAGATGAGGAGGAGGTGAAGGCCAGTGAGGGGTAGACGAGCGACGGTAACACTCACAGAGTCGTCCACACCGGCCATTGAGAAATGGAATAATGAATGCCCATCAAAACAAAAAAAGATTGGATTACAATTGGACCAAACTTTTTAGTACTATCTTTTTTTATGTTTTGGCCAATAATTTCAGGAACAGAGCAAAAATCGGTGTTTCCTTGTTGGGATCTGGAAATGTCTGGAGCCCGTTTATTGAGCAAAGTTCTACACGGAACTAGAAGGATTATTTACAGTTCTCTCTGCACTGTTTACAGACAATCAAAATATAGATAAACCCGGGAAACACGAACGAGAGGTTCGGGTCCGGAAGAATGTCAGCAATAAATGAGGCCGTGGATTCGGGAGTTTTTGACCTAAACAATTTTCTTTAAAAAAAAGGTAGACCAAATTAATTTTTTTGAAATTTTTGTGGACAAATCTATATCCTTCGGATTTCAAAAATCCGAATCCGAGGTAAACTCGGATTTCGGAAATCCGAATTTAATAGAAAACGGATTTTGAAAATCCGAATTCATTTTAATTAAAACTAAAATTAATTATCCGAATCCGAGGTAAACTCGGATTTCGGAAATCCGAGTTCTCAATTTTAAATATAACTCGGATTTCGGAAATCCGTGGGATATATTCATGTCCACAAATATTCTGAAAAATTTAAATTTGTCCACCTTTGTTTTAATTAAATTTTTTAGGGAAAAGACCCGTGGATTCGGTCACTCCAATTTCCAGTGGCTCTTACTCTTTGGTCGCTCAAATTTCCAATTTGACACTTTTGGTCCTTTATTTTTTTCAAATTTCGTAATAAATAGTATTCCCTCGACTCTCCAACGCCACCACGATGCTAAGTTTGGTGTTTAGAGTTTGCACTCTAATGAAGAACTAAATAACTTTATTATTTTAATGCAATGAAATAGTGTTGTACTAAATTTGGTTTAAACTGTTAATTGCACTATTTTTATACTTTGCTCTAAATATATAATTTGATATATGATTAGTGTTATGAAATCTATATCATATTAAAGATCTTGTTGAGATCTTCTAAATAAAACCCATATGGACTATATTATTTATTTATTTTAAAATTTTAATTTTAGTCATTATTAAAATTAAATATGAAAATAATTGATACTTCTATAATAAAATTAAAAAAATTAAAAAACAATTTATATATTAAAATTATCACCAAACTATAAAATTTTTAACTATCAAAATAAAATTTTAAAAAATAACATTTATAAATTTGTTGAATCAATGTCGAGGAACATAGACATTTGGTGTAAAAAGATATTTGGAATATTCCATTTTATATTTCAAATTATTGTGGAATGATTGGAGTTGATCTCAGTCCCAAAATTATTGTCCAATTTGAATTTTCAATTCTAGTTCAAATCCAAACTGGATAATAATTTTGAGACGGAAGAGTAATATTGTTGTATCCTCACAAAAAATAAGGGCTTGTTTCGCCAATATTTTATTTTGCATTTTGTCTCATTTTAACTTTTAAAACACCTCTCAAACACAACACTCAATACTATCCAAACAACTTTTTAATTTATTTTTTAAAAATTTATTTCAAACATTATTTTTACACATGTTTTATCCACAACCACCGGACCACCTCCGTCGTCACCGTTTGCCACCGGACTGCCCATCGCCGCCACCGAATCACCGCCAGCCAGCGACCAGATGACTAGTTTCCGGCCAACTCGCCAGAAACCGGCCAGGCGGTCGCCGGCGATGGAGGTAGTCCGATGGTGGTGTAAAAATATTATTATTTTCTTTAAAATTTTGGCTCAAACCACCTTTTAAATCACATCTCAAACTCAAATAAAAAACTAAATCAGAAACTAAAATAAACCATTGTCCAAACAAGACTAAGTATCCCTATTTAAAAATATATATATATATATATATATATATATATATATAATTCACCCTGCTATAGAAAGTTATGAAAGAAGCGACAAATTAAGTTTGCCCCGTTTTGTTCTTTTCATTCTCACCCATTGTTCAATCAAAGTCTTATTGGATTCAAATGAAAATACAATAAAACTTAGCAATTATAACGTAGGATATTCGTACTATTTAATGAGGGATCTGAAAGATATTTGGTTAATGTTAGTAAAACTCTATTAAGCTCAATGAAAAGAGCACCATCCGTATTAAAATTTACACATTTGGAAGATTTCATTCGACAATAACATTATTGTATCTCATTTTCTTTTCTTTTTTTTCCCTTTTCATGTTCAAGAGTTAGCAGCTGCCTGATTTTCTTCATCAAACACATATACAGTATATGGTTTTTTTTCCCCCTTTACTTCAGTAGATATTCTACATTAAGTTGTTAGGTCAGCTAGTGAGAGTGTTGAAGCTTTCTATCCACACAATTGAAATTATATTATCAACGCAGTAGAGAAACATGCATGATACATTATTGTGTTGTTTTTCGATGTTATATCATAATAATGAGAAGATAATCTTTTTTGGCCTCTTGATAATGTTCAGATTAAATTGAATCGATTAGCTAGCGTTTATTCTTGACAATGTAATATAATTGAATAGTAATACTGTCGTGGGAGACAATTTTTATGTTACGGCTTTTGAGTCGTGTCCATATAGATTAGGCACGATCCAAAGAAATCAACCTCTGTAATTTTGCAATAAAGTTTTTTAAATCACCGCCTTCATCATCATCACCATCCCTATAACCAGCATTTGTGGTCAATATCAAAAAAGACTAATCTCGTCGTTGTCATTGTCCAAATCCCTGAAAAATGCACGGAAATAATCGGAATCAGGTGGCCCAAAAGTCTTATTGTCATCATCATCCTCATCAACTCCAGCTTCGGCTTCCTTAACAGGTAAAAGGTCAAAAGACTATATGGGTAGAATGGCTTTCTTAATGTCCGCAATTTGGTATGGTTTGTGGCTCTGTGAAAAAAATATATTAGAGCAATCAAAATCAGATTCAAATTCAAAGGGATCATATATCATGAAAAAAAAAAATCAATTAACAATTGAAGTAGTATATAAGAAAACAGAGTACCCTGTCTCTATTGAGATGCATGAGGGCGGTCTTTGCTGCCTCCTTCACGGGGACATAAAAGTCCCTGAAGAGCCGGATGGAAAGAAAGGTTACTCCATTGAGTAAGAGATGACAAAGTTCATTACCTTCTGAATTGAGGATTTCGAGACTTGGAAAAAAAAAACAGAGCAAATTAGAAAAGCCCCCAATTTTATTCCTGGTGATCCGGGTTTTAATCAAACAATTTGATGTACACCGCTTTTCTTCATTTGTGGAACGAATCCCTTGAATATCTTCATCCGGTGCTCTCGGTGTTCTCCATCTTTACAGTATAACAGATGATCTTAGCAGATGAAACCGGTCGGTGGAATATTGGACATAAGAAGCTCTTCCATTGTTTTTGCCTCTGCTGGCCTGGCTCTAACGCTGCTTGCCCTTTGGGGTTCGACATCGTCGCTGCCAATCACCGCCGCGGAGCGTCTGAGTCCCGGCAGTCTAATTAAAAGGGCGGTTCACGGTTCTTATTTCTTAGAAAACGGCGGAAGTGAAGTGAAAGCCGGCTCAGGTTTGTCTTCACTGTAAGGTTCACGCTAGTTGGATAAATTAATCATTAGTTAAAGTAAAACTTTTGGAAACATTGCAACTAGTGTTACTAAAAATTTGACGCCAAATAAAAATGATGATATTTCAATGTCTTTGAAATCAATCACATGAAAATAAAGTACTTAATTATTTTTTTTTATAACATATTAAATCTACACCAGAGCTGAAAGCAATGGAAAAAATCAAAGATGAAATCTCCTCGAATAACTGAAAGACTAAAGCATATATTACCCTATTTGTATTTTACTATTGCCTAGATTTGTTTTTTCATGTTTCAAGCTATTAGTAATTTATGATATTGAAAAACTTATTAATTTGTAGATGTTATTAATTTAATTTTGATTATTAGTTTATAGATATTATATTGTATACTGCTAAGATTATATATTCACGCTGATTTACTAAATTATATATATACATATCATGAAGGAAACTAATACTTAATTAACACATGTTTAGAATATGCTAGCACTCAATGGCAGTACTTCATGTCACTGTAGTCCTCTCGAACCACGAGGCGCAATTTTTATATCAAATAAGTCGCAACAAAAATTGATTTCTAAATACACATGTTCAATCTTCACAACTCAATCTCGTTTCCATTGAATCTCTCGTACACTATTCCAATATGACTATAAATACATCATTTGGACATTTAGCCATCTTTATAATGCTTTGATTATAAACTTCAGTCAAAACCTTTCTACCACTAATCTCTCATGTTAAAGTTAAGAGTTGAAAAAAAAACCCCTCATAATTCAGCTTCTATAATAGTACAAAAATCAATATTCATGGTAAAATTTCTCAACAATTTCATATAACTATCCACAGCCACACCATTCATACTTACTACTTACCTCGACTTATTAAAGCTTCTGTCAAAATTCACTTTTTCAATAACTTCTCACTCAAGAAACCTCGTCTGATTCCAACAACTTTTTCAATTTCAGTTGAGATTGAATTTATTGAACTAACGAGATTCGATAAAAGAAACAAATAATTCAAATTCTATTATCTATATAATCAAAATAATTGGCATGATACTTTTTAATTAGTACTCTTTCTGGTCCTAGAAAAAATTGAAATATGAAGAAAAGAAATAGAGAGAAAAACATTTCTATACTATTGGATAAAAAATAACTTTAATGATAAAAACTACTCTTGATAATTAATAAATTAGGTCTACCATTTTCACTAGAAATTATCACTAAAATTGATCTCTGTCACTAAAATAGATCCAAACTCTACTATTGATAATTATCTTTAACATCTTCATGCGGCGGTGAAAAACCTTCTTGTGGACCATTATCGACTTTTAATCTTAACTGATTCTGGCCATGTTTTGGACAAAAAGGTTTGAATTTTATTGTTAGATTTTTGTGTGACTAGTCAAAACTCTTTTTTTTTGTGAAAAGATGAGATTTTTGCCATAATGATTTTTTTTTTTGATTGTTAGATTGTTGTACGACAAGTCAAAACTCTTCTTATGAGAGAATGAGACTTTTGTCATAATAGGAATTTTTGTGGATTGACTCATTGGTATCTTTCCTCTTTGTCAGAAACTGAAATTTGTGGATCAATTGAAGTTGATTTGTGAAAGAAAATGATAAAAATTGTGGTTAATGGAGAGAAAAAGTGTGAGTTTAATGGGATTGATATGTGACAGATGCTTTTGATGACTATGGATATTTTTTGGAGAAAGTATTAGATTAATAGTAGAGAAGGAAGGAAAGATAGTGATTTGGGATGAATTTAGAATTTAAGTCACATATGCTAATATCCATGAATGAACATGATCATGATTTATTTTTTTTTGAAGATGACAAAAAAAATGATAGGTGGAAGCATGAAATCATGATTTATTTTTTTGAAGAAAACAAAAAACTGAAGTAGGAAAGAACCTGCTCTGATACCAAGAAGAAAACGAATTTGAAGAACATAAATAAAAGAAAGAAACTTAATAGGAAAAATCTTTGAAGACTATATTGTAACTAATTGATTTCAAAATAAAGAGCTAATGCCATATTTATAGGCATTCTACAGTATTAGATAAAAACTACTACACTATTGGATAAAAATTATTCCTGATAATCATTAAATTAAATCTCCCCTCAACTACTGATGTGGACATCAAAGGTGATCAAGTTCCATGACAAGTCAATGCTCAACAAGTAATCAAGTTCAAACTCAAAGAGTGATTCAAGATCCATTAGCCAATATTGGAGGTCCTATTACGAGGTCTCGAAGGAAGAAAATGAATGAATCGCTCAATAACTTGTTCATGGATGTTCAAGCTCTCAATGTGGATTCAATTTCATTGTTTATCTTGGAGTAGAATTGAAGCTTTCAGTGCATGTCAAGCTCTTGGTCAAAGTGAGGAAGTTAACAACAAAGTCAACAAGAAGGCGTCGAGCAGAATTGAAGTCGACGGCGCGCACAGATTTTTCCAACTTTCCTAATTCGGTTAGGAAAAGTATTTTTCCGTAATTTTAATATTATGGCCGACCTTCCAAGCCTTCTAGAAGATTCTAGTTAGTTTTAAATAATTGTGACATGTGCAATTATTTATTTAAATATCATTTAAATCTATATTAGGAAACATAGGAAGACAAATCCGATTTAAATTTGTATTCAAGTTTCTTTTTGTCCAAGCCAACCTAGGCCTATATAAAGGGGGCTGGACGACCAAAATTACATGTCCTTTGATTATTTATGATTTTTAATACGAAAAAGAGAGGAAATTCTTTGTTCTTCTATTCTTTGTGAAGAATAGTATATTGCACCAATTGTTTTGTGCTTTGTTGCAAGTGTGCGCGTGTATTAGGTGTTTATTCATATGTGGAGCTTTGTTAGCCGTTCATTGGAGCCTTTTAGCTAGTCGTTCTGCCCGTAAATCGAAAGGGTGAGGTTGTTAGAGAGGTAATCTAATTGGGTTGTTAGCTACAAATACTTCTCCATCTTCTTAACCTTTCCATCATTTTTTTGTGTAAATTTTAGTGGTTTGCATCGTTCCTTTTCTCTTCTTCCACGTTTTTTGAGTGTTCTCCATTGGTTTGGCTATTTATCTAGTCTTGGGAAATAAAAACTTCCTCGTTTGAGGTAATTCTATCATCTTGCCTCAAGATTCGCATCAACTACTATTAATCATTATCTTTAATAGTCTTTAATCTAAAACACAAATAACTAATGTATAATAATTAAGAAAATCAGTTGCGTTAGTTTTTGTAAAATATCTATATTAACCATGTTAATTATTTCCTCACATTTCAAGTTATGATAAAATTAATACACTACAAATAAAACCTTAAAAACATCAAATAATTTTTTAGAACAAATAAAACTTAAAAATAGTTTATAATAAGGATCAAAAAGAATACTTGTTTTCTTTTTGGTCATAAGTAATAATCATAGTATATCAAAGACACACAATTACAAAAGTGTAATTACAAAAGTTTGAAGTTGGACAATTACAATTAGCCATACACACCATATTTAATATACGCTACCAGAACTTAAAACTTAAAATGTTGGACCATGCAAATGTAATTGGTTCAAAAGAGCAATCCTAACGCACTTGCGCAAACATTCAACTTTGTTGGTGAAAATGTTTTGAGAAGATTTATATCTATCCTAGAGAAATAATTATGCTATATAGTATTTTAGTTCAACAAAATAAATTACTATTTCATGAAACGGAGAGACTTATTTTTGGGTTGGATGATATAATTTATTTTCGCTACTAGTGGCAACTAAGTTCGGATTGGAGGAGTGGAACTTCTTTCCCAACTCCTACACCTGTGATCGTTTAAATCATTAGTAAAATAGGTTACTCCTATTACATACTCCTTCTGTCCCAAAATTATTATTCAATTTGGGTTTTCACTTTTAGTACAATTTGAACTAGAAATGAAAACTCAAACTGGACAATAATTATGGGACGGAGGGAGTACCTTATTAAAGGGAACTAATAGGCTTTGTTTGTTTGTTTGGTTTTTTGATGGTTTTTCATATTATTTTAATAATAACTCTTATATTACAGCATATTTTTTTGCATTTCTAATTTATTTTTTTATAGTTTTATTACGTAAGAATACACACTAAAAAACGAAACAAAGATATCATTTTCTGCATTTTCAGTCACATTAACTACTATCGTGTTTTTGGAGGGAAAAATTTCACCAGCTCCATGTACCTACCGCCGGAACTGGACCCATTTCGTTTCCTATCCGATGGTCAAATCATATTCTGATTAGGGTCTGACTAATGACTTTTCAGTCGGACAAGGGAGAAAGTTTCTTTTGAAAAAAAAAAAATCTTATTGTTACTGTATAAAAGAAAAGCCACAAAAAATAAACACGCACACACACAGTAGGGAGAAAGGGCTAATAGACGAGCGTGACCACACGCGACGAGTAAAAAGAGGTGGTTGAGAGATTCTGAACCTATGATAAATCCCAGACGACAAAAAGATGAACCATGAACCCAGCATGAGTACACACGCTTACAAACAACCCCAACAGATTATTACTCGAACAAGAAAAAAGGGAAAAAAGAAAAAAAGAAAAAGAATTTATAAACAGGGAATTTCAAAAAGAAAACAAAAGTTGTTTACTTTATTTCATTTCTTCACATCTTACAAGGCCTAAATGACACTTTGATAGCTTTTAGCAGCTAAAGTTAAAAAAGATTTCCCCTTTCTTTTATTTTTTTTTCAACAGCAAATTCAAGAAGCTTGAAAGAAAGAATGTCTGTTCATCTTGTGGCTCAGTTCATACTGTTTACTAAGCTAAACCTCCCCGGGAAAATAACCCAAGTTTTCTCTTTCTGCATCAGCTTGTTTTAGTGCCATTTTGCAGGTAATACTACTACTACTACTTCGCCGAACTGATTCCTGCTTAGCATTTTTTGGTTTTGTGCAAAACAAACCCACACTCTGCAGGGAGTGAGTGTACATTCTTGTGTAAGCTCTGTATATCTTCTCATATTTATGGAAGAAAGATGGGATTTTTGTGTTAAGGCAAGCAAAAGTACTCATGCTTCTATGCATTTTCTAATACTGTTGTTGTTTTTCTTGGTATTCTTGTCAAGCCCATTAGCTACTCTTGCTGTTTCTTTGAGCCGTGATAATCCTGTGAATGTGAGTGTGAGTGGTGAAGTTGGGATTGACCCAATGGATAGGGCTGCCCTTTTGATGTTTAAGTCACAACTGCAAGACTCTTCAAGGAGTTTGTCGAGTTGGGATGGTGGTGTTGTTGGGTGCAACTTCACAGGGGTCAGCTGTTCAAACCAGACTGGCAGGGTTATTGAGCTTAACCTTACTGGGATGAATTTGTTAGGCCTAATTCACCCTTCTTTGTGCAACCTTACATCCCTTAAAACTCTCATTTTGTCACATAACAGCTTTAATGATTCTCTTCCTTTTTGCTTTGAGGGGTTATTGAGCCTGGAAATATTGGATCTTAGCTTTAACATGTTTAGTGGGTTTGTTCCTGTTTCACTCAAAAAGCTTCACAATTTAGTCAGTCTGGACCTTAGTCATAACATGTTAAACAGTAGCATCCCATTTTGGATAGGGAATTTCTCTGTGAAACTTGAAAAGATCAATATGAGTTTCAACAGCTTTGGAGGTGAGATACCGAAGAGCTTGTTGGTTTTAAAGGCATTGAGATATTTGGATTTATCACACAATTTTTTGGTGGGGTATGTTGGTGATTTTCAGCAAGCTTTGGTGCATATCAACCTTGAGTCTAACTTGCTTTCTGGCACCTTGCCATGTTTTTCTCCTGCCTCTGGATCGCTTTCAGTTCTCAATTTAGCTAATAATTCGATTTTGGGAGGTTTGCCAACTTGTCTTTCTGATCTTCGAGGCTTGACGAAGTTGAATTTATCATCTAATGGATTAAGGTATGGGATTTCTCCTAGACTTGTGTTTTCTGCGAGATTAGTTGCCTTGGACTTGAGTTTCAATGAGTTATCTGGGGAAATTCCAAGCCGAATAGTTGAGTCATCAGAGAAGTCTGGGCTCTTACTTCTTGATCTGTCACACAACCAGTTTTCTGGGGGTATTCCATTGACAGTTACAGAGCTAAAAAGCTTGCAGGCATTGTTGCTTTCCAATAACCGTCTTACTGGAGAAATACCGTCGAGGATTGGGAACTTAACTTACCTCCAAGTGGTTGATCTGTCACATAATATACTGTCAGGCTCAATACCATTGAACATTGTTGGCTGCTTCCAACTACTTGCCTTGATTGTGAATAACAACAATCTTTCGGGTGTAATCCAACCCGAGCTGGATGCACTAGATAGTCTGAAGATACTTGATATAAGCAGTAATCAGATATCAGGGGAGATACCTCTGACTTTAGCAGGATGCAAGTCTTTGGAAGTTGTGGATTTCAGTTCTAACAATCTCTCTGGAAACCTCAATGATGCAATTACAAAGTGGTCTAACCTCAGGTTTCTTTCAGTTGCTCGGAATAAGTTCAGTGGGTCTCTACCTAGTTGGCTATTTTCATTTGCATCTATTCGGACCATAAATCTTTCTGGTAATAGGTTATCTGGCTACATTGTGGATGGCAACTTCAATACTAGTTCAAATTTCAATAGCTTTGGTGCTGCGGTGACAACTCCTGCATCGCCATTTGGCGTTTCTTCGAAGTTGGAGATGACAGTCTCAGTCATTGTAGCTGGTAAAACTGAATTAGCCTTCAACTACAATCTCTCAACCGCTATCGGGCTTGATCTTTCTGATAACCAACTACATGGGGAAATCCCAGATGGTCTGTTTGACTTGAGAGGGCTTGAATATCTTAATATGTCCCATAACCTTCTTGGTGGCCAAATATCTGAAAGTGTGGGAAAGATGTACAGCCTAAGGGCTTTAGACTTGTCGCATAATTCATTGTCAGGTAAGATTCCAGATAACATTTCCAGCCTGGGAAACTTAACAATCCTGAACCTTTCATACAATTGTTTCTCTGGGATTGTGACCAAGAAGCAGGAGTTGTGGAGATTTCCAGGAGCTTTTGCCGGCAACCCTTACTTATGTGTTGAGGTCTCTACTGATGGCTGTCAGAAAGAAAGCATCCCAGAAGTACCCAGAAACAAATTTGAGGGAGACTTGGACAATGGACCAATCTCAGTTTGGATTTTTTGTTTGAGTGCCTTAGTGAGTTTTTACTCTGGCATTGCAGCATTGTTCTGTTCAACTCGAACCCGAAACTACATTCTACAAACAAAAGTATAAAGCCTTGTTGTACATGCGATTGATTGAGGTCATTTGTAGATTCCCCTTGTACAGGAAATGTGTTTTCTGGCTGATCATATATTTGTTCGGTTTCAGAGAAATTTCTACGGTGTGGCTTAAGAATTAACAGAATACTACACTCTAGGCATAAAAATTCTGGAGGAACAGTAATGTTTCATTTCTGCCAAATGATGGAACAATTCAGTATAGAAGCACGACCATTTTGGAATTGAATGAGAAGCTGAAGATATTTTATTGAGAATATATTAAATCATACTAGGGAATGAGGGCCTCTGAATATGGAGGAGGGCATTTGCGATCAGTCAATAGGGGTGGGCATCAATTCTCCTCATGTCCTCCAACTTATTTTGAAGAATCAATGCTGGGAATTTGTTGGTGTATTTTCGCTTTCTATGCGCAAGTAGAAATGTTCCAAGTTCATATGTCTACGGTCTACCGATATTTTCCCTAGCAATCAGAGTCTTTGTCTCGATTGTTATGAGCCAACTGTGATTTTTTTTTTCTTTTTTTTCCCCTGTATATACTCTACGTTAAATGAGAATTGATGTGGAATAAAAATGAGGTTAGGCTGAATGAGTAGATTTCAACATAGTAGGTAATGGCTGATTTTTTTTTTATATATATATTTTTCTCGTACAATGAAAGAGGCGAGTAGCCTAAAATACTAGACGATCAAAAGTCATATTCCAACTACGCGGGTGAGATACAAAAAATTTAACAAGAAAAACACCACTTTTTTTTGCCTCAAAAGTCAAATGCAATGCATACATCCAAATTACTAATCACAACTAACACAAGAACTGAACAGAGCAATGAAAAATTGGTAATTATTAGTGATTCTCACAGAACTAAGGTGCTCATTCCACCGCCCCGCCCCCCACCCCCTAAAAAGAAGTTGGGTGAAGAAATGTTGACATTTGTGTCATTATTAGTATTCTAGTACATTATCACCACTTCGATTCTTAGTCCCACACAAACGGAATGATGATCAGGTGGTTGATTCAGTTGAATCGTATGAGGGGGTCATGTTCTGATACTGCTGAATGACCAGAACTGAAGCTATGGTTGAAAAATCTGAAGAAGCCAACAAATTCCCAACAGGGCCAAGTTCAGGGTGGTAATCTCCCCTTCCAACAAATGACAATGCCAATTCGCCGTCAGGCATTCGACCAACCAAAAACAAATTGCAGCGGTTGTGGGCATTCATTGCTGCAATGACTTCATTTGGGTTATTCACGGCTATGTCAATGTATTGGACAGAGTTATCTTCTTTCATTCTTTCCTTCAAGCTAAGAAGGGCCTCTTCATCAGTTGAAATGGCATGGGTGGATTGCTGGTTGTTTTCTGCAACAATGTGGATAATGTCTTCTACAGTTGTAGACACCACTGAAAACCTAATGACTTTCAAACTGATTCCAGGATGCTCAGCCATGCGCAATCCATAAGCAAGCGCTTCCCGGTCATCATGCCCTCCAAAGAACAGAACCACAATTTGATATGATACATTTCTTGCGGATACATGAGTAGTCCCTCCAAGCCCGCGATCAACCAATATTGCTACGCTGCAGGATGCCTGCTCGAGTACCTTGTTATTAACCACACGGTATTCAGCTCGAGTAATCTCTAGAGAACCATCTAACCTCTGGTGCTGGTGGTATGGTAATATTATGATTGCCGCCCCCTTCCTCTCAGCAGTCGCGTAAATGTCTTCGTGCATGTCTGTGAATGAAGAGATTGATGTCATAGGTTTTATCGAAACTTTACTTAGTTGTTGATACGCCTCAAAAGCCACAACAACATTAGCTGCAGAATTGTCTTTGTTCTGAAAAGGTAGCCCATTCCTGCTTGCCTTTTGCACCATCCTTATAGCAGATGACCTTTCGGAGAGTTCCATCAGATGCATAGCATAAACACGTAGGCTTTCGCGCTTTTGAGTACCCCTTGATGCTTCAAAAAGATTTATAATAGACGGGATGTTTCTAGCACTGTGGAAGCAAGCAAGGATCCGAAGTTCACTGTTGCGATTTTTCCTTTCTATTGTTCTGTGCTTGTAGTCATCTCTTTTTGTTCTCCTTGCCGGTTTATATACAGCCCTAACTAGAGGAGTGGTGATGAAGGTTGTGAAGAGAGCCATCAAGACCATGATTGCGAATGTCTGATCATTTAGAACCTGTCCAAAACACAATGCATCAGTCATTCATAACCAGTTAAAAGTTTATACAGAAATTTAGTCACATTATCGAAAATGGCCTCACCTTTCTGTCTTTACCAATGTTAAGGACAATGAGTTCCACCAAGCCTTTAGTATTCATAAGAAAACCAAGGGCAAGCGCTTCGGTCACAGGCACTTTGCAGATTCTAGAAACAATGAAAGTGCCAAATATCTTCCCAAAACAAGCGGTGAATATAACAAGAACCAATAGTCCCCAAGATTGAGCTCCTTGTATGGTAGCAACATTTGTTTTCAATCCATTTGAAACGAAAAACAGTGGGAGGAAAAGGCCAGATACCAAGTCCTCAACTTTTTCAACCAATGCATTAGCAAGTGCGCTTTCCTTTGGAACCAGAACTCCGAAAACAAAAGCCCCAAACATTGCATGAATTCCAATTGCATCAGTCACAAAGCCTGCAGCAAGAACAGCAGCTAGTGTACCACAAATGAATGTCTCAGGGACAGGCTCACCCTCAGGACAACGGTTAGCCATCCATTTAAAAACTGGCGAGACGAGAAGAATTGAGCATACCACGAAACCACAACCAGAGAGTAGGATCCATACTGGAACCGCAGGAGAAAGGTTATGACCGGATAAGGCAATGGCTAGAGCAAGCAGTATCCATGCAGCAACATCATTTACTGCAGCTGCTGACAATGCCAATTTCCCAACATCAGTTGTTAGTAACTTTAGCTCAGCGAGAATCCGGGCTAAAACTGGGAAGGCAGTGATGGAAAGCGCGACGCCCATGAACACAAGAAATGACATCGGGTTTACACCTTTCGCTATGGTTGCTCGCAAAATAAATGATGAACCAACTCCTAATGCAAAAGGAAGGCTTATCCCTGCTATGGCAATAGCAAGGGCTTTTTTCCCAGTCTTAGCCAGAGATTTAAAGTTAAGCTCTAAACCCACCAGAAAGAGAAACAAGAGCAGACCAATGTTTGCTAGAGTATCCAACACAATAACACTTTTGGGTGGAAATACTGCCTTCATGTAGTCTTTGCTCCTACCAAGAGCTGATGGCCCCAGCAAAATCCCTCCCTGATAGAGATCAAATACAAATCAAAATTCTTCCTGGTGCAAGAATTAGATGGAAAACGAATGCTCGAAATACTAAGATAATCATCATCATCATCATACTCGAATTCATGAGGAAGAAAATGGGGACTTACCACAATCTCTGCAATCACACGAGGCTCTCTTAATGGCTTCAGCAAATAAGCTAGACACCTAGTAACAACAAGAACTAAGCAGATTTGCAAAATGGCAAGGGGAAGAGCAAAATCCAAGGGATTATCTCCCTGGAAAACGCCATTCGAAGTAGGCTTCATCGCGGGTGGACATGCATGCCCAACAGTACCATTGGAAGCCATTCCAGTTTATGCCCTAGATACAAACCCAACTGTTAATAAATTCCGGAATCGAGGACACATGATTTCAGAAAACAGTACAACAAAAGTGGACTGCTAAAGTGGGACGGAAAGAGTAACAAGCCATGGATCATTGAAACAACAATTATGTTTTCTTTAGCATGCATTAGTCATAAGAATTCCATGCAGTAGGGCTTTAACTGGAGCAGTTTATTTATTCATTGACAAAAACACATCGAAAGATTAAACTGGAAATCTTCATTAAGACACACCCACACAAAAACAACAACAATCTTGATTGGAAGCAAATGATGATTAATATATAGCCAGTCCATAACAATATTCCCTACCCCAAGTTCAACTACAAAAGAAAAGCTTCCGACTTCCCTCTGTCCCCAAAAAAACAGTAGGTGAAAAATTAAAAAAACGTTACTCCAATATAATAGGTGAAAAATTAAAAAATCTGAGATTCCAAGAATTTTACAAAGAAAGAAACAATAGAATTCATTAGCTACCTGATGGGCTGATGATGATGCTGATGATGATGAAGAAAACTGAAGAAGTAGGAAAAAGCAGAGTTATTTTATACTGAGTACAAATATATTCTGATGATTGGTTCAGGAGTTGTAGTATAAATAGATGATGATCAGGAGTTGTTGTATAAATATATTCTGATTTTCAGGAGTTGTAGTATAAATAGATGATACTACTACTACTTTTGTTTAAAAATAAAAATAAAAGAAGTTTTAAGTTCAATACGTGATGGAGAGATAAAGTCGCATTAAATCCTTACCCTCAGTGCATTTGGTTTTTTGAACTCTTTGTTTTTTTACCTGCTGTTTTGGAACACACCTGCAGTCTATTCCGACAATTTTGCCCCTGAAACCTAATTTTCAAAAGCTTTCAAAACATATTTAAAAAACTTTAGGCTTTGATTGTTTAGTTTTTTTTTTATGATTTTTTTAGATTAATAAAATAATAACTGTCCCATCCCGGCATACCTTTTTATATTTCCAATACAACTTTTTACATTTTCGATTCAAAAAACACCTAAAAATACACATTAAAAAGAACGAAACAAGATTTATAATATATGGTATCCCAAAAAAAAATGGCGAATCACGACAACGATATTTTACACAAAGAGGCTCGGAAACAGCTCCGGTAATTTTAGGGTGCGCAACGATACACAAAGAGGCTCGGAAACAACTCCGCTAAGTCAATTTTGGCAGTGGAATCCGGAAGCAAACCGGCTTCCAAGTGAAAGAGAGCCGGCTCTCATTGTAAGGTGCTCACTATGGTGAGCATGGAAAGCATGGCAAGCATGGTATGTACGGGATTCACGGTAAATTTGGCAAACACAAGAAGTGGAAGTACATAGTTTTCATGTGAAGGGGCAAATACTGATCGCCTGGAGGATCTTATATTTTAGTATTTTATCAATAAGTAGAAAGATTGTGTCTCTGCATATGCAAGATTGCGAGGCATATCTTACTTTCCTATGTTAACGTAAATCAAGACGCTATGTCAATGTAATTAGTAAGCAGGTTGGGACTTCCGGATGAACAATCTGAACACCGTCCACTCTGTGTTTGAAATTTGTATTTGACTTCCCTAACAGAGACAAGCATTGTCTTTTTTTGTTTAATGAAAAAAAAAATGTCAAACGCAAAGGGTAAAATTCAAATTACTCTCTCCATTTAAATTTGCAGGTCATTTTAGGTTTGGAGATATTTTAAAAAAATGTAGGTCGTTTTATAAATTCTAGGCATATTAATGACTATTTTTCTAACTTTAGGTCGTTTTATAAATTCTAGGCATATTAATGACTATTTTTCTAACTTTAACCTCAATAAATGATGCTAATCTATTTTTAGTTAGTTTTGTTTATAATTTCAATGTAATTAATGAGGGGTAAAATAGATATTTAACACTTAAATTAATTATTGGATGATTGTCTCCTTAGTTTCGTGTGAAGTATAAAAAGATTTATATTTTGAAACGGACGGAATAAAAACAAAGAAAATTAAGAAAATAAACTTTCAATTCATTGCTAACTGGCGGGGACTGTTAATTTAGTACAAAACTGTGACTCAGGTCCTCGTATGTTTGCTTAATCTTAAAACTACCCCTGAACATTGAGTGGTGCAGTCACTTACAATGAAGCGGCAGGCGCAAACTCGTCCCTTTCCTCCCCACAGGGCGGTGTCGGCGAGAGCGGACTCCCCGCACTTATCCTAACATGTGTCCTTGCATTCCCGCGTCACAACGCCGTTGGGGCACATAATGTCTTCAAGCACATGGTAGCAAGTTTCACCGTTCTTCATAATTATCATCGTATTAGTCAGCGTTGATAGATTTAAAAGTAATACTTATACATTGAAGGTGATTATATAAGGCATGTGTGATTCATTTATGGATTTTTTAATTTATTTTTTAAATGTAACTCCTATTGCACCAAAAAAAAAAAAAAAACCCTCAACATTGCTTAAGAGACCAAACAGGATAGTCATGCTGCTGGACATATTCATTTTTGTTTTTTTTTTTTGTGTTTTCCTTTTTAATATTTTTTTTCCTGTGTATTTCTTACGAAATTCAACTTATTGATGTAGATTGAGGATGGATGTATTTATACGTAAGTAAAAGATCGTACGGAAGGAAGTTAGTGAACGTAAAATAATGTTTGGACATTTGATGCGGCAAATTCTAGAAACTAAACTCAAAACAACTGAGTTTCAGAATTGTCTTTGATGATTGTAACGCTTGAAGCGTAACTTTTGTAGGGCTTGGAAGAGTTCCTCAAGGCGCCAAGTGCTTTTTGTTCCTCTGAACCCGACAACACTGTCATCCTCGATCTCCTAAACCCAGCGATGTATAGTAATTCCTTTTTTTTTTTTTTGGAAAAAAAAAAAGAAAAAGAAAAGCAGAAGCTGTAACATGATCAAATGATGATTTTATAAATGCTCACTCGATAGTACAGTAGAAGATATAGTTACAGGTGTCCAAAAAAAACTCCCAAAAATGGCTTTACATTGTAGAACAACTTAAAGGAGCTCTGGAGAAAAAAAATGAATAATTATTACTAATTAAGGAGTACTATTCCCGAATGAATCTATGAAGAAAAACGATAAGGTACATTCTGATACACTCTTTCGAAAGTTGCATGATGCTTATGCTCGCTGAATAAGAAGCTGCATCACGCCTGCCACTCTGCTAGTACAACACAGTCAGCCATCAAACTGAGGCGAAAGGCGATTGGTATGTTCAATTAGGTAAAACTCGGCAACTTGATCGCTCAAATCCTCTTGCTGATGCAATCCAGTGTTATTCAAGTAGTCTTCTAACATCTCATAATCAGCAGCTCTTTCTTAGCTAATACTTAATTGGTCCATCCAAGCTCCCAGATGCAAACTAAAGCAGTTATGAAACAGATAAAACTATTGAGAATGTACTTCAAGAATTTATAAAATAGACGATTGACAAAGTTGAGGTGAATCTGAGGTCCAAGATACCCATTGTCGATCACAAACCTCAAAAGGTATGGAATCATAACATTCTCTTAAAATGCAGAAATCATAAAACAAATCAGCAATTCATTGTCAACAAACACCTTGCAACTAACAAAAGTATCTATTACCTGGTGCACGATAGGGTTTGTCGATGAGGCAAATTCATTAGTCATTCCTTGCCACACAACCTTTCCATCATAGAGAAACAACAGCCTAGGAAAGCAGCCAACTTTTAGTCCAAGGATAAGCTAGGACAATTGATCCAGTGATACAACTGTTTAAAGGATAAAAGTATCAGGTACCTGTCAACAGCTCTTTTGATTGTACTATGTTGATGGGTGACAACAACATATGAAGCAATCTTTCCAGGCTTTTTAACTTCATCCTCTCCTTTCATATGAACAGATCGAATGAGATCTTCAACTACAGTTGATGCGATTGGATCAAGTCCAGCAGTAGGCTCATCATATAAGAGCACCTGCCGAGAAAAAGAAAGAGCTATTGCACCTGTAAACAAAACCTAAATGCCGGAACAGAAAGAACAATCAACGCAGCAATACGAGTTAAAAGACTAGCAGAAGAAGTATAGAACCTTCTCAAACTAGTAAAAAGTAAGTCGCGAGAAGGGACAAGTTATGATTATATGAAAAAGAGCATCTGCCTATGTCAACGGAAAAGTAGTTTGATCACAAGATTTGGGTATAAACCCAAGATTGACATGACTATAACTTAATCTCCTTGGATGGTCAGAAACATTGCAACTCATGGGGACTCAGAAGAAGGAGAAATTCGGACATGAATAGCACATCTCTAAATGAACATAAATTCCTTTACGCACCTCTGGTTCCACTACAGACTTTGTTGTATCAAAAATTATGGAGCGGGCTAAGGCCACCCTCTTTTTCATTCCACCAGACAATTCTGAAGGTAGTCGATCCTCAACTCCCTGCAAGCAGCATCAAAATACTTTCTAAGCAACCAATAGAAAATTAGGAAGGATTTGAACATGATAAATTCCTAATGGTTATATTGACTTCAGAGAGATACCATTTTCAATGACTTCCTACTAAACTATCTATATCTGATTTTTTGGGAAATAGATTGAACTGCTAAAAGCATGTATATCAGTCAATATGGTAACATCAAATTATTAACTCTGATAGAAAGAATTACACACAACATACCGTTAATACAAGGACCGCATGTCTATCAGCCAAGCCAACATACCCTTAAAACTGCCAAAGGTGAGTCTTGACTCAGTGTTTTTCCGGTTTATTATGTTGGGGGGACTTGTGGTGACGAGAAAATAAACAACTAGTATTGGGTTTGACTATTTAGTCCTTTGTTGTAAATGCAAGAGTCAAAGCTTTTATAAGAGAGATCAATTTCAATTCACAGAATGATGTCATCAAATGCTTCAATTACTTCAGCGATCAATTTTACCACAAAAAGCAGAGTGACCAACTTCAAGACATGGTGCCAATCTTGCCTACTTACTCTCCACAATACAGTCTAACATTTCCACCATTTTAACATAAAGTTCAAGCAACATTGTATCATTAGTTTCCAGATAATACGTGAACGGCAAATATTACAGGAAAACGCCATGATACTAAAACAAGCATTCATTACATTCTACGAAAAATGAATCCATAGACATAATTTCACATTGCCCATGAAAATTTTCATATATGCACTCACTCACTTAAAAGATATATCCCATCTGATAGACATGAACCAAAAACTAACAGAAACAGTTGAAAATGCAATGCATACTTGAACAATGCAAGGACCACTAAAATTGCCTCGCTTCTTCAGATGGATAAAATACGTATATTGATTGTATACTGTAATGACTACAAATTACAAAATGCAGTAGAAAATTTCTTCCCACCGTATAAATAGCAAAGCAAGTGTAATTATGTAGGTAATATTCTGGTTTTGTATTCATCCTATCAAACAGATGATCATATTCCCACATACCTTCAACCCAACGGCAGCCAAAGTTTCAGTAACAAGCTCCGAAATTTGATCACTGGACATGGTCGAATTTTCATATCTGTTACGAAGAGAAAGAAGATAAGAATGAAGAAGTACAGCTGTTACTTGTTAGCAAACATAAAATGAGAACTTTATTTTCTTGAGAATAACTTACAGAAGAAAACCAACATTTTCACGAACGGTTAGAGAATCAAAAAGCGCTGCACTCTGGAATACCTGTTATAAATAGGGAAAATGAAAAGCTAACATGAGAGCACAATTCATAGAGGAGTTCAAGATCCCAATCAGTTGAAATCATAATTCATGGTAAATTTTAAGATCCCAATCAGTTGAAAGAGTTGCTTACTAAGCCAATCCGTACGCCAGAAATTTCATCGTCGCTGATCAAACCATGCCGTGTTTTGCCACGTATTAAAACCTCTCCCTACTCACAGATCATTCACAAAGAACCAAAGGAAAAAATTCGGATCATGCACAACTCATCTTAACAACATTAATGTGACCTAAAAGACCAAACAGCTGGGCAGAAATAGCATGAAAAGTAACCTTGTCAGGAGCAAGGAGTCCAGCCATAATCTTCAGTATTGTTGACTTCCCTGTGCCAGAAGGCCCAATAATTCCAACAGCTTCTCCGCGCCTAATCTATAGACAATCCACAGAAATTTGGAGCCATAAACTGAGAGAATTAAACAGATATGTACCCAAAAATTGGACCGAACACATTATCACAATTAGAGAATTTGTTTCATCATTGCAACAAGGTTGTGCTCAAAGATAGCTAATAACTAGAAAAGTTAATCCTCAAACTTAATGCCTCTTTATCAACTAGGAAATGGCAAACATGATCACATCTATTCAAATCAGACTCTTGAAGAGTTACACACACATACTTGAAAAAGTACAAAATCATGGCGGTCAGTTCCACACATCAGGAAAGACTTTGATATGCATAATACGACCAATGTAGAAGTTGGAAATATGACTCATGACGTATGACCAGAATAAAAGTTACTCTCAATATATTTCACATCCTCGTAGAGTGCAAACTCGGTTTCGGTTTTGTGTTTCATCTATTACGATGAACTTTTCATATGATCAAAAACACTCTAACCAACCTAGCCAGTTGTCAATATCAACGAAAGAAAACCAACTAAAGTAGATACAAATATCTACTTCAGATACATAAACTCGGCCATTCGAAGAGAAATGTCTTATTGCAAGGAAAAAGAGTTTACTTAATACGCAGAGTAACATCCAAAGAACAAAATTGTTAGAAAATTTTCTTCTAGTAGATAAGTGAACAAGAATCAAGAACCTATTTTCGGCTGACAATCACAGAGAGAAGATCAACCTTGAAGCTAACACCTCTTAGAATGTGTTTCTTTCCAAACGACTTGTAAACGTCTCTACATTCAATCAGCACATCATCGTCTGGCTCCCTCGGCATGCTAAATTTATCAGGTCTAGTTGAATCCTAGAAACATCAAGACATTTTACAGTTAATCCTAGAAATCACTACCATCAAGCTCAAACCAGAATTAGATTTTAGCCAAAATTTCAATACCAAACAAACAAGCAGCGAATATAAAAATTTGTGATGGCGAGAAAGTAATGTGTTAAACAAGAGAAAGAAAGGGGCAGCAAGAAACTTACTTTAAATGCGAAAAAACAAAAGAAACAAAAGGGAAGAAAAACAAGAGCAAAGAACATTACATGGAATCCGGCAGCTGCGGATTCCCCAGCATCTCTGGGCCTCAAGTCTTTAGTTGGAGCCATGCAACCACATGTAATGCTCCTCTTTACAGATGAACGCAAATCCAATGGCTTCGCTTCATAGAATACATAAGACTTGGTAGACTGAGAATTGCCCTTTTTCCAGCACAAACTCAATGGCAATACACCTGAACCCACAGAGGAAGCCATCCGAACGACCGGATTCCGCGTCTGGTTTTCAAGATTGGTTATTTTGAGTGTGGCCCAGATGAAATCCGGAGCTCCAAACCATGTAAAAAGATTGAATTTTGATGCAATTTATTGAATCACTGGCTGGTTTTTTCTAATCAGGGACAAATACAATTGGGTGGTCGGTGATGGGAATGGATTCAATTCAAGGTTTGTGGGCGCTGTGAATATTCTACTCAAAATCAAACTTCTTTCCGAGTTTGTGGCCTATCAATTTCCCCCCTTTGATGCTAAACTGTTGCTAGGGAGTGCTAGGATTTGTGTCAGCTGCTGATTGAAGAGCTTGTGTGAACTAAGAAAGAAATTTGGAATTCAGTTTTACTCTCTCAGATGCCTTTTCCTTTTTAATATTACTGTTGGAAAAGTGGACTTGTTTTAGGTACGAACATGGGGTTGTTTTAGATTTTCCTAAAAATTGAGGAGTCAATTGATAATTGAAATGTGCAAAAAGGCGTACAAGGTTTTAGGATACGATGTTACAGAGTACTGTACTAGGATTTTACATGTAATCAGTTCAGCTCTGTTCATCGAATTCTGATTCTTTCTATTTCGAGTGTCTTAGTTCCAGTTGGCAGATTAAGCACATTTCTTCTCCTCCTCCAGCAGTAGAGAGTTAGGTTGGTTTTTGTGAATGTTCTTACAAATTCGTGTTTTCCTTTTTTGTCTTCAATTCTCCAGCGCTGATGGGTTGTCTTCCATCCTGAATCCCTGTTGTGAACCCTTTTACCAGTGGATGGGTAAATGGAGTTTGTGTTCTTTCCTTCAATGTTGGAGGCAAGGTGATTATCACTTGATGTTTTCATTAATTGTTCCTCGCCCTGTGTACAATGGCATGTTGGTGTTGTAATTGATCGACAACTGTTTGATTGTAGGTCTCTTAGTTTTACTGAAATGGTAATTGTTGGGAATTTAGTTGTTTTTTTGGGCGGAGCAGGAGCATTAGTATTGCTAATCAATGTGTGTATGTGAGGTTCTGGTCGCTTTAAATCCTCTTTTCGTCTTCGAATTTGGGTTCATTTTGCTGTCTCGTTCCTTTCCAGTCAAATTGTGGACTGCCTGGTTCTCTGATCTTTTGTTTGCTTTGCTTGGATTGAAGGTGAGATTGACATCACATATTGGACCCGGACCAGAACCTGAACCTAAACTCTTCTCTAAAATCAGCGAAAAGGTAAGATATTGTAGCTCTAAATTCCCTTTTATTCTTCCAACTAGGAATTGTTAAACTATGTACTTGTACATCTTAGCTAGAACAACTGAACGAAGGATTAATTTGTATCTATTTAGTTTTCCTTCTCTTTTTTCCCTTGGCTTATTTTGAATTCCCTTTTTTTCTTTACTTATGATATTGAAGCTGAAAAGCATGAACATCAACTCCACCAGCCCTGAGCCGACTTCTAAGAACAATGGTGAAGGTGTCAAGGGAACCATGATTGTGGCTTTTGCTTTCAAGTTAGGGATTATGATATCTGTCGGATCATGTGCTAGCATGGATGGTGAACCAGGTAAGTTGGCTCTTTGTCCATCATTCTTGGATAGGACCGGAAAATGCTCTAGGAACTAAAAATTAAGTGGTAGAATGGTTAGCAACTTCATTAGATAAAAATGTGGTGTGGGTAGCCATAATAGATGCAATCATGATAAGAAAATGAAAGAACTTGACAGTCTGAAGATGTGCTTAGTAGAAAAAATGGATTTTGATGCGCAATATTAAGTGTCTACAGGGAAATGAGAAAGGAAGCTAGAGCAAAAAGTTTTTTCATATCTTTAAACATAAACGAGGATATGTACATTGATTACTAACTCTCCTTTCCCCTTGTCAAGTTTAGCAAATGATTCTGTTGAGAAAATTACCATACTAGATAATCACATTCTTGTAGCCTTTGCCGGGCTAGTTGAGCACCGCCATCGCCTTATCAAAAATCTGAAAGAGCAGTTAACAGTTTTGTATTTACATATACATAAACTGTTTAGCTACATCTTGGTTTGAAAATCAGTGAAAGTTTACACTTTCTATTCTCAATTCCCACTAGAAGGGAACATCAGTGTGTTTGTATTTATGTGATATTGGGAAAACTGATTAGTTTCTATGTATTAGTACAATACCCTTCAAATGTCTGGGAGAGAAATGTCTGCTTTGGAGGTGGCAGAGTTGCTGGTCAACAATTTGCCTCCTGATATAGAGGAGTCATTCGGAGTAGTGATTGCTGGATGGGGCGAATCGGCAACTTTAGTAATCTTTCTTCGCATGGATTATACGCCTGGCTCAATTGCAAGTATTTTACTTTATGTTTGTTGATCTCATAAAGTATGGGTTTTTCCTTTGCGTAGGGACCTGAGCTTTATTATGTGGATGGTAGGAGGAGAATAAGTAAACAAACAAGGTTGGGGTGTGGATCTGGTTCACGATATGCCTTAGGTGTTCTCGATGATGTGCATGTCATTTTCATTGTTCTCGTCCAGCGTATGTTATGATACTTACACATTGTGTCATATTCAAGTCATCCTGATTTGTTGGTGTTTACGGGTTTTCTTTTTCTTTGTTTTTTTCCTTGAAGGCTCCAATTCCATGATGACTTGAACTTTTATCGAGCTGCAGACTTAGCTAGGTATGCAATATGCGCAGTGGCACATAAAAGTAATCTTACTGAGGGTAGAGTCTCTGGTATGTTTGTTCTCGTGGATGCTTTCGTACATGATATTGTTGCAACTGAAATACATATTGTTTGTAGCTGATCTGATAATAAGTTCCTTTCTCGTTTAATGATTGAAGTGTTCTTCACTGAACGAGGTAACCATAACAAGGTGGTCGAGGACGGGATACTATCTTTGCTTAGAACAATTTACCAAGAGGCTTGACCAAGAATGATGATAGCCTGGACTTCTCCAGTGAAAACATAGAAGTCCCATCTTCGGATCAACCGTTAGCTATTTTCAGCATTTTTCCTATCCTTTTCTACCTATAATCTATACAATTGAATGTAATTATCTTTGGCAAAATTGAAAATGTGGGAATGGTGATAGTTTCAAAAGCTGAAACAGAAGGAAAAGTGAAATTACTCCAAAGGTTCAGCTGCTACATCTTGAGTTTTGGTATCTTCAATCTCTGAAATGTCAATGCCATGGATCAACAGATCTTTCCGTAATAATTCTGCATTTTTGAACAAAATACCTGTGATGCCGGCTTCAATTGCTGCTTCAACATTTCTCATTCTAGTGCAAAAAGTTAAAAGGTCAATCATTGACAGCCACGGAACCAAATTGCAATGCCCAAAAGAGAAGGTTGAAAGCAAACTGAAAGCATACAGAATCCCGAATGGTTAAGATTCAAACACAGCTAATCTCTGTGCCCATCTGACGTAATGGTTAAGATACAAAAATCCCGAATGTGCCAAAAAATAATGGTTTTAACTATTAAGTTCAAATATCAAAGACTAGTTTTTGTTAGTAAGTTCCATTGATATGGATCAACAGCTACAATAATGACCCAGCAACCTACAATGCTCAATCTAGATAGTGGTGCAATTTGGAAATGAATCATACATCATTTTGTCAAAGTCCACACATGATAGTTTTCATCTTTTCACAAGTTTTAAGTCCTTGCTAGTTTATAAACCATGCCAACCCAATGAGGATATGTAAATGCATACCTATCATCAATGAATATGCAGCTACTGGGATGGACTTTAAGGTGGTCGATCACTTCTAAGTAAAAATCAGCTTCAGGTTTCCTTTTTCCTGCATGGTAGCAATCACAGTCATGTCAAAGCAAGACACATGAACAAGGTGAGAAATTTAGAGAGGGGAAAAAAGCACAGATAATATCTTCTTCTTTTTCATGCTGCAAATACTGAAAGAATAGAATCTTCAAAATGACAATTTGAGCCGCCATAAGTTTTTTTAGGAAAAGTAAAGTTTAAACAACAAATTTCACAAAGAGCCTTCAATCAGAATCATGTCTGATTGAGACATTATCCTGAAAGAACTGACTGAATGACGATTTACCCATTCATTTCATGCTAAACAGAAGGATAAATACACCAATGAAGAAACAAACGAGAGAAAGGTTTCTGAGAATACCAAATATACATGAACAAAATGTCCAGGATAGGTAAGTAGAGAGTTTTAATTTATCTTCAATCATCAAATACCTGCAATAACCAAATTTCAGCAACAATCGAGACGACCATGCTTGCACCAAAAAGAAAATAAAACTAAAAACTACCAGTTCGGATAATTTGTGAAAGCATGCATTTCATAGCCAGCATTCTTCAAAGAATGAAGTAATTCTTCGACCCCTTCTATGTAAGAATATCCTCTTTTCATGCAGCTTTTGAGACCTGCACATGTTACAAGAGATGAGAGAATATGAGAAACTGTGGAAGCCGATATTTCACCCAAAACAGAAACAAATGTTCATGGAACGTCCTAGTTCTGGCTAAACAACAAGGAATTAATCTTCACAAATGGACGGCATGTTGCATAGAATAATATGCATGATTGCGACCCGGTTTCCCCAACCCAGACCCATAAAATCAGCTCCCTTGACAGCAGCTCAATGCGCTGTGTATAGCTTGTTCAAGGAATAAATCCCTATTTCTAGCAATTTTTATACTTCGGAAGTTAAAGTTAAAATGGAACTAGTTCTCTGTTGACCTACCACTCCCAGCCTCTTAACTCAGATAATATATATCTTCTCAATCAAATAACCAACTTCATAGACAATCGAAAACAAAGTTTGACTGAAATCTTAAAGTATTATTAGGTCAGGTACTAAAAACTTCACACACAAAGTAAAACATATTAAAAACAACAAGCGAAAAAAGAATCTCAGCAAAAAAAATACCAAAAAATTTATTAAAAATGGCCTGTTTTAGGGTTCTACAGAATTAGTACAATACCTGGAGTCTCTAATTTACGAAGTTTTTACAAGCATTCAGTCACATAAGAAGCACACAAACAGTAACAATCAAAAGTATGAATTGAGTTTCAAGTTCAAAACAAATTAGCTAAATCAAGCTTTCAGTGGCAGAATAAAATAGTTGTGCACATCAGAATTATACGTTATTCGTATTCGAGGTGAGCAATTACTTGACGAATTTAAATTTGCAAGGCAGTTCTCACTCACCTTCCATGTCACAATACCTCTCATCTTTGAAAAACTTACGAGCCAGCTCTGACTGAGACAAAAAGAGAATGTAGTTTAGGCAAAACCGAAAAAAAAAAAAAAGATTTTATGTAAACATAACAGACAAGAAAAAGTTCACAGAACTTCAACCAGAGGTTCAAGTAAAGCTACATATTTTGGCCATATGTATCATTGGAGGTCAGAACTAGAAAAGTCAACCACAAATGAGCTCCCAGAAATGATCTGTGAACTTTAAGAACACTAACAAAAAGAATTCTGTGTTTCCACTACTAGCACCATTCTTAAACAGGAGGTTTATTACTTGAATCGAAAGGACTGCAGAGGCAAAGATAAAATTTTGAAGGTCACTCGGAGTTGTTGTTCATAATAATAAAAGGGGATCAGTAGGGAAATCATCATAAACACGACTGCAAAAATTGCAAGAAATAGAACACTCTATGCTCCCTAAATAACTGAAAATGACATCTCCTATGAATGATCAACTCACAGTTCAAAGAGAGACCAGAAAAAGAAGTTTTTGCTCTAAACAGAGTTCAATTCACATGAGAGTTTAGTCCACATAAGCAATATAATTGTCAGAAGAAAAAGCAGCAATACCAGCTATGTTTGTTTCAGTGTTCCCTTGGAATATTCTCGAGGGGACGTTAAAAATTCGTGCAGGAAATGTGTTGTGAAAAAAAAAACAGTTTTATTGACAGAAAATTATTCAAAGAATGGTATTTGGAGGTATTTTATATTTCAAATATGATGTAAAACCAAACGGTAGTTGTACTGGGTATTTGTTTCCGTACAAGTTAAAATAAATAAATTTAAAAGCGCAGGAAAAATGATGCACAAACACAGCCAAATATTTCAGGATTGCTCATGAAAATTACATAAATTTATGGTATGGGAGCAATTCCAAGAGGTGGTGTCAATTGTCTATGTTACTTAAATTTCCCTGATTATAATGCACTAACTAATCCTGAGCAGGCTCCATGAAATAGGACAGACTTCTGCAAAGCCCAGTTAGGAGACAGCTCTGTAGGTCAATAGTGTTCGAAGTAATTTCGTCCTAGCCTTTGACTCTACAATTACTAAGAAAATAATAACCTTGTCGGTTCCTGGATGCATTAAAGTTGTTCAAATCCATATATTCCATAGTTCCGAAGACACTTCACCCAAAGATTCTTCGCATGGCAGGAAGAAAAGTTTTAGGAGCTGCATACACTGGCTGATGGAAATCTGCTTTCTCTGAATAATTTTTTTGGGTTACAGCCACAAAACTACTATCCTTCATTTTTAATTCGACGCTCATAATTATCCTATATTCTAAATTGGTGAATGTCTCTCGCACATAATAAGCCCAAATGTTACTTTCAACCAACCCACACAATATCTATCACATAAAGAAAAATGGAACTCTAAATATCTCAGATAATTAAACCGGAGGAAAACTCATACTGGCAGTCCATGGTCATGAACAAGCAATGATCACATTCATGAATCTGTACAAACGGATCAATCATATTCAATCAAGAAAGCATTTTAATGGACAGATTGTAGTGAAAAGGAAACGATACAGTACAACAGGCAAAAGTATTATCTGCTCCTTCAACTCCAAAGGATATAACTACATCAGAAACTTTATTACCAGTCACATCAGACCAGAAGATCGAAATTGAATTAAATGAAAATAGACTGTACATCATTTACCTCATCAATAAGACCCCTTTCAAATTCACACCAGACCGTCGGGTGCTTGGACTCAATCAGTTCCTTGAACGACATTCTGAATACAACATCTCAACCAAATTCCAGAAAAGGAAAGAAAGTTTAGAATCAACAACCATGATACACAAGAACACGCTTCATTTATTTACATCCCAAAGGAAAGAAAAACATAGCAGAACCGAGTGAAAGTAATTGCATATAAAACGCCACAAAGTTGAGAACTTTAACCGAGAAATCATTTTGATCATTGATAGAAAACAAGAAAAATACCGGAAGAATGCTGGAACGTCATGATAAAATGGGTCGCGGACAATCGTGTCCATCACATCAAACAATAAAATGGGCAGCTTTCTTCTGCTGTTATCATCACTCATAGCAATGGAGGGGGTGGCGGCGCTGAAGTTGTTTTTCAGTGCAAATCTTACAGGAAAATTGTGGGTTCGTTTCCTTCTTAGAGGAGAATTGAATGAGGAAGCAAAAGGTCTTCCCTTGAATACTGATAGAGCAGAAATTGCCATCCAACCATGTATTTTCTCCTCAGCAAAGCAGAGAAGAAATCCCAGACCAAAAATAAAATAATGGACTAATTACATTCCTCCCTCAAATATTTTAAATATTACTAGTCAAACCCGAATAATTTCGGAATTATTTATTCCTCAACCTATTATACTATCTGTTATTAGTTATTACCAGACAAAATGTGAAAAAACATAAAGTCCAAGGAGTGAGTTGCAAGAGGTAATTGGGAAGCAGTACAAAAACCACCAAATTATAGTTGCTTCCATGGTTGGTTATAAAATCAGACCAAGGGACAAAGACACCTTACAATTGTTTCATCAAATTCAACATACAGTAATCATATTCTCGGAAGTTATAACATCCCAATTCAAATTACCCTAATTCGTACTCATGGGTCCGAACGAGTTTGCAATGGTAAGCAATTTTTTTGGGAGAAATTTCTGTTCTTTTCTGTTTCTCTGTTCTGGAATCCAGCCTGAACCAAAATTCAGCTGTGTTTTTTTTTTACTTACTTTCAGTCACGATGCACGAAGAAGAACTCAGACTGACACTTGTTTATTGTATGCCCTTCAAGAAGTTCTCTGCTTTAAGTTGTGAGGGAAAAGAAAAACTTTTATTACCAACTACTGTTCTTTCCTTTGTGGCTTTGTGCAACTTGCTGTTCATTTTTTTTTTTAATTTTTAATTTATTTGGTAAGAAAAGAAAAGGGATTAAAAATTAGTGTGCTCATGATAAATGGTAATTTCCATTGATGTATGGCAGCTTGAGCTCTGTGATTGTGATGTAACTTTATATGTTGAAGGACAGCATATATGCTTCTGGTAGAAGTAGGTGTGCTGGGAGCTTGAATTATATGTCCATTTAGTTGTATGGTTGACTGTTCTGTTTTTTCTGAATGTAGCTAATCTTGAAGTTCGTTTACTCGAAACTATTCCCTTACCTGACCTGGGTGATGATTTCTCATATACACTAGTAAATCTGATGTTGGATATGAAACTATTTCTTTGAGCATCACCCTATTGATTCTGTTTCCTGAATGATTTGCCTAGGGTCATAGGAATTGAATTTAAAATTTTACATGTCCCTAGCATTTTACATATTCATAGTTGTATACAGAACTGAAGATTCACCAGAATGGGTGATTTTAGCTTATTTCAGCTTTTCTAGTTTCCTTTTCTTGTTACCCTTCCTATTTAGAGTATTTTGTGATCAGGAAAGTGCGTTTAGATTCTTTTCGGTTTGTATATAAGTTGTTGATTGGGAACTACTTTTGCACTGTATGGAATACCACTGATACCCAGTGTATTTTTGGTTGCCTGCTTGTTACATGGTTGTTTTTCCTTAATGGGTGTAGTTTCAATGCAATTATTTTTACATTAATCATTCTAAAATATTTTGTATTCTAGTCCTCTTTATGAATTAACAGTTGCTTCCCACTAGCATGTGATGGAGCAGTTCCCGTGTTTTGTTTTGTTTTTTAAATTGTCTGAAACACTTAATCAAAAGTCAACCATATCTGTATATGTTTGGTTTTGGGTTAACAAAGTTTATAATGCCGCCTTCTTGCAGGTTGAGGAGTTGGCTTCTCTTATTAGGGACAATCTTCCTTGCAAGCATCTTGTTCTCTCCGTGGAAGAAGCTTTAGTGAATTTTCTTCAGTACGATACTAGGTAGCAATAGCTTTCATCTCATATAGTGGTGAAATTTTGACATAATGTTCCAATCATCACGCTTGTTTTGTTTGTGGAAAATATAAAACTGAAAACTCTATGATTTTGAGGCTGACTCTGATATTTGCATTTGAGTCTGATGGGAGTTGTACCTTTGTCGGAATATATCTTTATAGATTATATGAAATATCGTTTGTTTGAGGAGTCGGTACTCCTTAGTTCGCTATTTTGAACTGATCAAGGACCAAAAGGAGAGGTTGTTAAAGGGTTCACCATCTGTTGGAAATCATCTCCTGTTGGTTTTCTCCGATTTTTTAAGTTTCAGAGACTGTCAATTTCCTCTCATCCAATTCTCTTTTGATTCCTAGGGTTAATTTCATCTTTACTGAAGGAAATTGTAATGAATTTGATTTTCTTGCAAAATGCAGAGCAGATGGAATACTTGAGCTTCAACCCATGGGCTCCTACAATCGGCTTCTATTACATCGTCTAGCTGATATTTTTGGGTATAAACTCTTACTTTATGAATAAATAAATAGAGTGAGAGAAATGGAGAGGTAGAGAGGGAAAAACTCTCTTGTTCTTTGGGATTCTGATTATACCAATGTGAATTCCTATGAAGAGACTGATTTCCTGTGCCAGGTTTTCTCATGAATCAGTTGGCGACGGAGATGAAAGACATTTAGTGTTGGAACGTTGCCCCGAGACTTCAGTGTATGTATTCTAATTTTTAGGTTGTTGTGTTCAACTTTTGACCGAGAATCTCCTATTTGCTTTGTGTGGAAATGATAATTACTTTTATGGAGTTCTATGTTACAGAATAGGAGCTTAATATTTGATATGGCCGGTATTGTTACAGACCTTCCATCCTTGTAAGCGATTTATTAGGACAGTATGATGATGAATTGCCAATTCCTACAGTTGTGGAAGTATTAGAAAAGAGGAAACAAAATGAACCAGGTATTACTTCATTTTCATCGAATTTGAGGCCAAAACTTAGTTATTGGTATACTGTTTTAGCGGCATGTTCTGTTACTTACCACTAATGAACTTTAAAATCTCGGCATCTAACTGTCAACACTCCATATCTTTGTAATTAACTCCATTGGAGTTTCTCTCTTGAAGGGGAAAAAAAGAACTAGTTGATGCAGTACTTTATGTTTTTTCCTTTTGAAATAACCTGAAGGTGGCAAGAACAAAACATACATGCTTCTTGTCTTGAATATGAAATTTTTATTATTATATTACTTCCGTGCCTGAACTTCATGTATCAGTGAGTTTTAAATCCATGCTTCATTTGACTGTCTATGTATATGATAATCAGGGCCAGTCCCAGAAATACCAAAATTTGAACTCTCACTTGAGGAGAGAGAAGCTGCTTATTTGGCAGCTCGTGAACGAATCTTTTCTGTTGGTGAACACACAACTAGAGAGTTAGTGAAGCCGAGGCCACATCATAATCCTGTGGTTGCTCGACGTATGATTGCACATGCCCTCGGGCAAAAGATGAAGCCTGTCGACGATGAAGTTGGCCTTACAAATTTAAAGGAGCTTGGAGGCCAAGCTAAAATTGCTAACCAAAATGATGAGGAATTAGCCTTCAAATCTGGCATCAATGGTAAACATCTAAAAGCCCTGGGTGATAAAAAAGGAAGCAGTCTCGGTGATGGTGAATCATCTAACTCAGCAAAGAAGACGCCCCTGGATAAAATCGACAAATCCAATAAGCTGGATCCCTATAGTACAGAGAGAAGTGAGATTAGGATTACAAAGAACAATTTCAGGGAGGAACATGCAGGGGCAGCAAAGAGAATGTTTGTTAATGCGCTGGGATTTCATCCAAGAAACGGGAACCTTCCTAGATCTGGTCAAAGCAAATGAACAATAGCTGGAAGCTAGTTCCCAGGACATCAGTACGTACTGAGAAAGTTATGCTTTAACTTGCATGATTGAAAAGCAAGGTAGCACAAAACAAAGATGTGCAAGAGTAATACTATCCTCTTAAGAGAACCCCATGAAGATCACTTGTGGCCTTTGCCAACTTGACAGATACAAGGAAAGTTTCTCAACTCTGGAGATATATATATATATTATATATGCTGGGCTGGCGCCACAGATTTGGGTTCTGGGTTGGGTGTTTCGCCAACCTCTAGGGCATTGCCAGGCCTAAGTTTAACCGCAAAGTTGAGCCGAAAATTTGTAGTTTTTTATGTTCCATTACACCTCTGCAACATTTTTGCTCAGGACATGTTGTTTCTTGTGTTAGAGATTCCAGCTACCAACTGTTGTTTCATGTCTATTCTATTGCCCTATCTACATCTAATTTGGCTTTGCCGTCCTGCCATTTTGTTCCTCAACCTTATTTTCTGCACTCCACCTTCTCCAATTTTTCTCTGATCAGTGTGATTCCTGCTTCGATTAACCGTAGAGAAAGGAATCCCGGTTTGGTTTAGGACAAGGACAGCTTAGTTAAAATCCTTTTTCACAATTGGGATTTGATTTCCACTTTGTTTAACTTTTAATTTCCTTTATATAGCTGCTGTTGGAATTTCTACTTCATTGATTTTTTATATTATTATTATTATTTTTTAAGTTCGAGAATTGCATTAGTTTTACGAAGCTAATAAGAATCCAATTGGGTCTAGGAAGAATTACGAAAACGCTTTATAAATAGCTGGGATTCATTATAGTTGAATTTGGTGGTATTCCAAAGATGGGTGACGGAAGCGACTTGCTGAAGAAACTCCAGTATCTTTCCTTGGTTTCCAAGGTATGTACTGAACTTGACACTCATCTGCGGTTAAAAGATTAGGTTTTAGCTGAATTTATCATTGAAATTTGGAGGATGCAGCTCAGTTTGATGCGGAAACTCAAACAACATGGCGCTATCATGCCTGATTATTTGGTCCGTACCGTACGCTCCTGACTGTGATTTCACGCCATTCTGCATCAAAGGCCTAAGTCAAAATGTGATAATGATGTTAAGGAATCTGGTTATCATAGTTTAAAGATCGCTGATAACAGAGAGAGAGGGTGAGGGAATTGGAGCGAGAAATCACTTTGGAAGTTGAGGCCAAGCAGTCTAAACGCGAGAGGAAAGCAGATGAACAAAGATACAAAGATAAAGAGGGCAGGGATAGTGGTTATGAGGATAATGGAGGCAGAGAAAGGCACAGTCTGAGCAGGAGACATCAGAGGAATTGCCGAGATGGTTATGAAGAAGAGGAGAGGGAGAGCAATGATAGCGGGAAAAGAAATAATGATTGGCACCATGAAGGGTGAGGTGGAACTGTATAGGGTGTACAAAGGAAAGGTGTCAAAGAGTGATGGACACTGGTTGCTTTGTACAGCTTAGAGGATTTAGAGAGAAAGAAGGATTGATGCATGATCGCAGATGGCGAGCAGAAGGATAGCAAAGGCCAAAAAAGGATGTCTTGAAGAGGGATCAGGAAGTTTCTGTGAAGGTTATTTCCATGAATGGACAGAAGTTGAGCTTGTCGATGAGGGATGTCGATCAGAATACGGCGAGCCACGCCGAGCAAATGTGGTGGTGGTGGTGGTGGGTCTGTTTCCAGGACAGGGCTCTTTGGCATTAGAATTACTGATGAAGATGATTATGTGACTTCAAGGAGGTGGTTGAGGAGAATGAGCTCACCAGAGAAATGGGAGGCGAAGCAGCTTATTACTTCTGCGGTTTTGAGGGTTAAAGAGTATCCCATGTATTTTCAGGATTCAGATGGACTAGTTTTCGAGGAGGAAGGTGCTGAGGAGGAGATAGAGATTGAGCTGAATGAAGATGAGCCAGCTTTCTTGCAAGGCAAGAGCCAATATTCCGTCGACGCATCTCCAGTCAAGATTCTCAAGAACCCAGATGGGTGTCTGAGTCGTGCTGCAGCACTTCAATCGGCTTTGGTAAAAGAGACAAGAGAAATAAGGGGACATCAGCAGAGAACAATGTTGGATTCTATTCCAAAAGATCTAAACAGGCCATGGGAAGACCCAATGCCTGGGACAGGTGAGAGACATTTAGCACAGGAGCTGAGAGGTGTTGGATTGTTGTCTGCATATGACATGCCAGAATGGGAAAAAGATGCTTACGGAAAAGCTCCTTCTTTTGGGTCAAGATCCAAGCTTTCTATTCCAGAGCAGAGACAGAGCTTACCCATTTATAAATTGAAGAATGAAATAGTTCAGGCTGTTCATGATAATCAAGTTCTTGCTGTTGTTGGTGAAACAGGTTCAGGAAAGACCACACAGGTTACTCAGTACTTGGCTGAAGCTGGATATACAACAATGGGTAAAATCGGGTGTACCCAGCCTCGCAAAGTAGCTGCTATCAATGTGGCTAAGAGGGTCCCCGAGGAGTTTGGTTGTCGTTTGGGTGAAGAGGTTGGATACGCTATCCGTTTTGAGGATCGCACTGGGCCTGAGACTGTGATCAAGTACATGACTGATGGCATATTGCTGAAGGAGATTCTGGTTGATGAGAATTTGTCTCAATATTCAGTGATAATGTTGGATGAGGCTCATGAGAGGACAACCAACACCGATGTGTTGCTTGGATTACTAAAACAACTTATCAAGCGCAGACCTGACCTTCGGCTGATTGTCACATCTGCCACTCTGGATGCTGAGAAATTCTCTAGCTTCTTCTTTGCTTGCAACATATTTCAGATTCCTGGAAGAACTTTTCCAGTGACTACATTTTACGCCAAGCAAGAAGAAAGTGACTACGTTGATGCCGCTGTGAGAACAGTTTTGCAAATCCACGCAGAGGAACCCAAATGTGAAAAAGGTGATATTCTCCTCTTCTTGACTGGTCAGGAGGAGATTGAATATGCATGTGAGCGTCTCTCTGAGAGTATGAAAAGACCGAGTAAAAGTAAAACTGTTCCCGAAGTAATCATCTTACCAGTGATCAGTGCCCAACCAAGTGAGCTGCAAACAAGGATTTTTGAACCAGCCCCGCAGGGGAAGAGGAAGGTGGTTGTTGCGACTAACATTGCTGAGGCTTCATTGACCATTGATGATATATTCTATGTCATTGATTCTGGATTTATGAAGCAGAAAGTTTACAATCCTAAACTGCGGCTTGATTCCCTCGTTATTACACCCATTTCACAAGCTTCTGCCAAGCAGAGATAAGGACGAGCTGGTCGTACAAAATCAGGAGAATGTTATCGCCTCTACACTGAAAGTGCATTCCAGGAAATGTCCCCAACTACAATACCTGAGATTCAACGGATAAATCTGGGGAACACTGTTCTTAGCATGAAAGCCATGGGGATAAATGATCTGTTGTCTTTTGACTTCATGGACCCCCCCATCTCCTCAAGCTCTCATGTCTGCCGTGGAACAACTGTACCGCGCGCATTGGTGCTTTGGATGAAGAAGGGTTTATCACTAAACCGGGTCGAATAATGGCAGGATTCCCTCTTGAGCCTCCACTATCTAAGATGCTTCTTGCTAGTGATGAGATCTTGAGAATAATCTCCATGATTGAAGCTAAAAAAATATTTCGTAGACCCAGGGAAAAACAAGATCAAGCTGATCAGAAAAAAGCCAACTTCTTCCAGCCTGAGGGAGATCACCTGACATTGCTTGCTGTTTATCAAGCCTGGAAGGCTAATAACTTTTCTGGGCCATTGTTTTGAGAATTTTGTCCAGTCTCGATCTTTGAAAATGGCTCGGGATATCAGAAAACAACTTCTATCCATCATGGACAAGATCAAGTTGGATGTTGTAAGTTGTGGGAAGAATTTCAGGAAAGTAAGGAAGGCCATAACCGCCGGGTTCTTTTTCCATGCTGCCAGGAAAGATCCCCAAGAGGGGTATAGGACCCTTGTGGATAATCAGCCGGTGTATATTTTTTTGAGGCTGTATCCAGTATATCCGGGGCACCGTGCCCCCCTCCTATTTTTTGTATTTTTAGTCCTTATTGTCTCAATCTTTCTATATTTTATAAGTTTAGTCCCTGTGACTTTTTTTCTCCCTCCTTTAAGAAATATCTCCAATTTTTCAATGACCATATCTCATAATCCGTAAAGAATTAGAGAACGTGTTATGCATGAAAATTATAGTATTCGTCGAGATCTATTCAATAAGATCTATTTCGAATATTTTTTTTGAGTTTAAAAATGACTAAATTTTGATGGGCAGAATAAGTTGGATATCCAGGAAGTTGGATAACCAGTATGCACGAGTTGGATAACCAGTATGAACAAAGTGGATAATTAGTTCAAACAATTTGGATAATCATGTAAATCCATTAGATAACCAGCATTAGCGTATTGGATAATCCAATACAAACCAATAATTGGATAACCAATACAAACGAGTTGGATAACCAACTTAGTTTATTATTTTTTTAAAAAATAATAAAAACAAAAACAAGGTTGGATAAATAATACTAATTAGTTGGATAATCTGTCCATCAGAATTAAGTCATTTTTAAGCCCGAAAAAATGTTCGCTGTGGATTTCGTCGGATAGATCTCGACGAGTACTATAAATTTCATATACAATTCGTTCATAAATTCTTCACGGATTGGGAGATATGCTCGTTGAAAGATTAGAGTTGGATATGCATACAAACCAAATGAATGGATATTCAGTACAAATAAGTTGGATAACCAGTATGAACAGATTGGATATCCAGTTTAAAAAGATGGATAACCAACTTATTTTACATTCATATTATTCTTTTCCTTGTATCTAATGATTCGTAAAGAATTATAACATGAATTATATATGAAATTTATAGTACTCGACGAGATCTATCCGATAAGATCCATGTTGAATACATTTTTTGAACTTTAAATGCATTTAAATTTTACGGGCAGAAATGAAGAAATGTGTTTTTCGTTTTTCTTTGAAAAATGGTTATCCGTTGTGTTCATGCTGATTATCCAACCGGTTTGGAGTGATTATCCATTCGGTTCGTACTTGTTATCCAATTATATGTTTGACATTCACTCTTCAAAAAAAAAAAAAGATGGATATACACCCCTATTCTGTCCATCAGAATTAAGTCATTTTTAAGCCCGAAAAAATATTCACTATAGATTTTGTTGGATAGATCTCGACGAGTACTATAAATTTCATATATAATTCGTTCACAAATTCTTCACGGATTGGGAGATATTCTCGTTGAAAGATTGGAGATATTTTTTAAAGGGAAGAGAAAAAAAGCCACAGAGACTAAACTTGTAAAATGTAGAAAGATTGAGAAAAAAGTACAATAAGGACTAAAAATGCAAAAAATAGGAGGGGGCACGGTGCCCGGGTATACTGGATAATTTACCTTCTTGCCGGCAGCATTATCATTATACCAGCTGAAATCTAATACTAGTATCTACGTAAACAAAAAAACTTGTCCAAATTCAACATTTTTGTTCTTTTCATTAGTTCTCTGTGGAGGGCTTGTTGGCCTCTCATTCATCAAATAGGCAATATTACTCTTGTTAACAATCTGCACTAAACAATTTTGGACTGCGCAGGATGTTGACTCGATATGATCCGAATTAAATTTTCATCCGTCACACCATTTTCGTCGTAATTTTAAGGACCAACAAATATATGATTCGATATTTTCATTTTATTTTTTTTTCGTTGAGTCAAAGTAAATAATCTATCATATTTGAAAATTTTCATGTCAAAACTCAAATTGATCAACTACCAACATCATGAAAATAATACACACACTGACACCAAAAAAAAAAAAAAAAAAAAAAAAACTTTGTCGACTTTCTCAATGACATTGCAAGGTAGACAAAAAATTTGACGTTGTCAATTTTTAATTTTTTTTTTTTAAAAAATACATATTGTGACAATTACAATAGTAGCAATAACTAAAGAATAATTCAAATCATCAAACTTTTTAATACTCTTATCAAGAGTCAATAGGAAAATTAATAAATAATTTTCAATACATAAATTTATGGATCACGAAGAATTTTCTTTAAAAAAAACTACCACCAAATTACAAATGTAACGCAATAAAATTGGATCGTGTCGACATTCACATTAGTCATTATCGACAGGATCATCCACTATACTTTGCGTTATATTTAGATACATGGATTCCGATGCCTTTTGAAAGCAAACAAATGTGTGAGTCAAAAAGGAAAATTAGAGAAAAGTAAAATTTAAAAATTATGTAAATATCTAAGCATTTCAAAATTTTCATGTTAAAACTAAAGTTGATTAATTACAAAAACAAAAATACCATCAACAAATCAATAAAAATCATAAGAAACACTAAAATTTCGACTTTCATCTATTTTTTCCGTTGACATTACATAGTTGACGAAAATGTCAACAGAAATAACTTCTTCCAAAAAAAAAGGTATGGTATATTTTACACTAAGGTATACCAATATTAAAGCATAAAACTTTTATTTACTAATAGTAGCGTTAACTAATGATTAAATTTTTAACATATAGGTAGCGACCATTTTTTAGTGAAGGTAAAAAGGCCGACAACTAAACTATATCATTTTTGTACTGCAGCCGTTTTTACAGTTATGAAATATCAATATAACAATTTACAATACTTCGTATAGATTTAGATCCATTAAATGTTTCTTCATCATCTTGTAAGGCAAACAAAAATGCGGTTAGAAAAAATCAAAATAATAGAAAAATATAATAGACATTATTGTAATATTTTGTAATTTTTTTATTGTTAGTCAAGACTTAGACAAATATTTTTACGATATTTTTTTTTGATAAGTTTTAAACACAGTTTTGTATACTTATTTTCAGAATTTGATAAAACCCAAAGTGTTACTATCCTGGATTTAACTTCTTTTAAAAAAAAATTATAAATAGCTATAATATTTGAACTTTTAATGTCTATTTATTACCACATAAAAATACTGGCCTCTGAAAATCAAACAAAACTATGAATTTGTCTTACGTCGACCTTCTCGTCTATTTTTTAAAAAAAATTTAATAAAACCAAGCTACTATCCTGGATTTAAATTTTTTAAAAATACTAAAAAATATCTGTAATGTTTGAACTTTTAATGTCTATTTATTAACACATAATATACTACCCTGCGAAAATGAAAAAAAAATATATATATGAATTTTGAATTATGTCGACCTTCTCGTCTATTTTACTAAGTAGACGAAAAAATTGACTGCATATATATATATATATATATATTCTTTTTTTAAAAAAAAGAAAAACATACCACTTGTTTTACGGCGATTGAAATTTTCATTAGCCATAAGAAAACCAATGGTTAATATTTTTTTTGGGAAAATTTGGATCAAGGGCGGTGGAGAGACCTAAATTAATAAAAGGGGCATAACTCTTCTATAATTTGGATTAGAGACCGTAAATAATGTTATGAAATATTTAAAATAAAAATATTCATATAATGATTGGATTACCCTAATTTCTTTATAATGACTCTTGGATAATTTAAAATAAAAATTTTTTTACAACGATAACATACAACTCTAATTACACAATTTCCTGAATATCAAATTTCGTTAAATTAGAATGTGACAATTTACTATGTAAATATATTTTCTACATATCAAGATTGTTATTCATAGTTTACTTTTCATTAAAATTTTATAATCAAACATGAAGAGTAAATCGTGTACTTCAAAAAATTGAGTGGCCATGGTAAAATACAACATCCAATATGTATAGAAGTATATTAAATTAATCGCACAATAACTTTGATCCAATCACTTAAATGCATAAATAATTAGATTCTAAATGAGCAACAAATGATCAGATATATTAAAAATCGAAAAGAAGAATTTGTTTGTAAAATAAAAAATAATTGTTGCATTTAATATTGTAAAAAATCTTCAACTTAATGTTTAATCATATAAAAAACAAAAAGAATGTATAAGAATATATCCAAGTTAATAGAAATGAAAATTATTTTATTTTGTAATTTATTTATTAGATTTTTGTGATTTCGCAAAACAAGACGTCGGCGGTAGAGCTTGGGTTGAGAATATGAGCGAGGAACATGGTTTTGTTCCTTTTTCTTTTTAATTTATTTGATAAAAATTAAGGACCATCTTGTCAAAGGATAAATATTTTAATTTTTTCAATTTTAGAAAGTAAATTACTGCCCTTAATCCAAATTATAGAAGAGTTGTACCCTTTTTATTAATTTATATCTTTTCACTACCCTTAATTCATATTTTTCCTTTTTTTTTTTGGTAGATATAGTTCATAACCTAGAAGAAACAACTTGTCTTAGTTAATTATTTTAATTTTTTTGTTTAAAATGGTAAATTATTAATTTTCATGTTTACTTTAACTCGAGTTTTTCTTCTTCATTTCTTAAATTTTCTTTAAAAAATTTTATAATCTAGAAGTTAAAATACAAAAGGAAAATAAATTTTTAAAATTTAAAATTATATTACCAGTATATACAAGTTAGGAAGTATAAGAAGAAGAATTGTAAAAAAAAAAATTAAAAGATTAAAAAATAAAAATAAAAAAATGACAAAAATATCTCTGAACCCAAAAACATGTGAAAAATGGATTTCCGTCACTATTTAACGACCAAAATTAACAGAATAATCTGAAATGGATTAAAACTTTAGTAAGGTAACCTGTGCTATAAATAAATTTAATTGATGACCTAGAGTGGAAATATATTAAAGGTTGATGACTTGTTTTAATGTTCACTCTAATTTTTTTACCGGAAAAACTTTGTTTCTCGCCACGCTCAAAGAATGAAAGAAATAGAAAAAATAAAAAATAAAAAGATACCCATAATATTTTAATATAAAAAAATATCCTTACTGGTAGTAAAATAATAATTACAGTATTCTTTTATTTTTGAAAACTCAAATTAATTTTGTTTGAAGCAAACTGAATTATTAAATATTAATAAAAAATAAGAGAAAATACATAAAAAAAAAAATTCAATTGATTGATAATCATAGGTTTGTTACTTGTTGTTACGTCCTTACTCCTTACAGAGACCGACTTAACATGACATAAATCGGGTCGGATCGGACCCAATAATAAAAAAGAATTCGCGGAATTGCGATTTGTCGAATTGCAGAACAACAAAAACCCTAGAACTCCTCCAATTTGGGTTCGAAAAGTTGCACTGTTCGCGGTTGGGGAGGTGAATTCGTGGTTCCATGGCGGACATAGACGAGGGCCTAAAGAAACTCGAGTATCTCTCCCTGGTTTCGAAGGTATGTACCGAACTCGAGACTCATTTAGGGTTTGAAGATAAAGTTTTGGCTGAATTTATCATTGAAATCGGTAGAAATTGTGAGGATGTAGATCAGTTTGATTCCAAGCTTAAAGAGAATGGCGCTGAGATGCCTGATTATTTCGTTCGTACCCTCCTCACTATAATCCACGCCATTCTACCTCCTAAACCTAAGTCGAAATCTGATGATGATGCTAGTAAAAAATCGGGTTATTTTGGATTGAAAATTGCTGATAGCAGGGAGAGGGTTAAGGAGTTGGAGCGAGAAATCGCTTTGGAAGTTAAGGAGAAACAATCTACACAAGGGAGAGAAGAGGAAGAAGATAGATACAGAGATAGGCGGGACAGGGACAGAGATAGGGATAGGGACAGGAGAAGGGATCGAGAAAGAGATAGGCACAGAGACCGAGATGGGGACAGGGATAGAGATAGAGGTAGAGAAAGGGGTAAAGATAGGGGAAGAGGTAGAGACAGGGATGATGGTTATGAGGATGATAGAGGCTTGGAAAGGCATAGGCCAAATAGTAGACATGAAAGGAACGGGGGAGAAAGTTATGCTGGAGGCGAACGGGAGAGCGATGATACAAGGGGAAGAAACAATGATTGGCACCGTGGAGGAGATGAGGTGGAACTTTATGGGGTGTATAAAGGAAGGGTGTCAAGAGTCATGGAAACTGGTTGCTTTGTACAACTGAGTGGCTTTAGAGGAAAGGAGGGATTGGTGCATGTTTCGCAGATGGCGAGCAGGAGGATAGCAAATGCCAAGGATGTCGTGAAGAGGGATCAGGAAGTTTTTGTGAAGGTCATCTCCATGAATGGACAGAAATTGAGCTTGTCGATGAGGGATGTTGATCAAAATACGGGAAAGGATTTGCTCCCACTGAAGAAGAATGCTGAGGATGATCGTTTTAGGGTGAATCCAAGCAGCAATGGTGGGCCTGTTTCTAGGACAGGGCTCTCTGGCATTCGAATCACTGATGAAGATGATTCTGTTCCTTCAAGGAGGCCGTTGAAGAGAATGAGCTCACCCGAGAAATGGGAGGCGAAGCAGCTTATTGCTTCTGGGGTTTTGGGTGTTAAAGAGTATCCCATGTACGATCAGGAAGCAGATGGGCTAATGTTTGACGAGGAAGGTGCTGAGGAGGAGCTAGAAATTGAACTGAATGAAGATGAACCTGCTTTTTTGCAAGGTCAGAGCCGGTATTCCATTGACATGTCTCCGGTCAAGATTTTCAAGAATCCTGAAGGGTCGTTGAGTCGTGCTGCAGCACTTCAATCAGCTTTGATAAAAGAAAGAAGAGAAGTGAGGGAACAACAACAGAGGACAATGTTGGATTCTATTCCAAAAGATTTGAATAGGCCTTGGGAAGACCCAATGCCTGAGAATGGTGAGAGGCATTTGGCACAGGAGCTTAGAGGTGTTGGATTGTCGGCATATGACATGCCAGAATGGAAAAAGGATGCTTATGGGAAAGCTCTTACTTTTGGGCAAAGATCCAAGCTTTCTATTCAGGAGCAGAGACAGAGCTTACCCATTTATAAGTTAAAGAATGAGCTTGTTCAGGCTGTTCATGATAACCAGGTTCTGGTTGTTATTGGGGAGACAGGTTCGGGCAAGACGACACAAGTCACTCAGTATTTGGCTGAGGCTGGATATACTACCAAGGGAAAGATCGGGTGCACACAGCCTCGTAGAGTAGCTGCCATGTCTGTGGCTAAGAGGGTCGCCGAGGAGTTTGGTTGTAGATTGGGTGAGGAGGTTGGATATGCTATCCGTTTTGAGGATTGCACTGGGCCTGAGACTGTGATTAAGTACATGACCGATGGCATGTTGCTGAGGGAGATTCTGGTTGATGAGAGTTTGTCGCAGTACTCAGTGATCATGTTGGATGAAGCTCATGAGAGGACAATCCACACAGATGTACTGTTTGGACTCCTTAAACAACTTATCAACCGGAGACCTGACCTTCGGCTTATTGTCACATCTGCCACTCTGGATGCCGAGAAATTCTCAGGCTATTTCTTTAATTGTAACATATTCACCATTCCTGGAAGAACTTTCCCTGTGGAAATACTTTACACGAAGCAACCAGAAAGTGACTACCTTGATGCATCTCTTATCACAGTTTTGCAAATCCACTTGACTGAACCTGAAGGTGATATCCTCCTCTTCTTGACTGGTCAGGAGGAGATCGATTATGCATGCCAGTGTCTCTATGAGAGGATGAAAGGACTGGGTAACAATGTTCCTGAGCTAATTATCTTACCAGTATATAGTGCCCTTCCTAGTGAGATGCAGACAAGAATTTTTGAACCTGCCCCACCAGGGAAGAGGAAGGTGGTTGTTGCGACTAACATAGCCGAGGCTTCATTGACCATTGATGGTATTTTCTATGTCATTGATCCTGGATTTGCGAAGCAAAATGTTTATAATCCTAAACAGGGGCTGGATTCCCTTGTTATAACACCCATCTCACAAGCTTCTGCGAAGCAGAGGGCAGGACGAGCTGGACGTACAGGACCAGGAAAGTGCTACCGCCTCTACACAGAAAGTGCCTTCCACAATGAAATGTCCCCAACGTCAATACCAGAAATTCAAAGGATAAACCTTGGGAACACTGTGCTTAACATGAAAGCTATGGGGATTAATGATCTTTTGTCCTTTGACTTCATGGACCCTCCTTCTCCTCAAGCTCTCATATCTGCAATGGAACAGCTGTACAGTCTTGGGGCTTTGGATGAAGAGGGGCTTCTTACTAAATTGGGTAGAAAAATGGCAGAATTCCCTCTTGACCCGCCTCTATCTAAGATGCTCCTTGCTAGTGTGGATCTTGGTTGCAGTGATGAAATCTTGACGATAATTGCCATGATTCAAACTGGGAATATCTTCTACAGACCCAGGGAAAAACAAGCTCAAGCTGATCAAAAAAGGGCCAAGTTCTTCCAGCCTGAGGGAGATCACCTGACATTGCTAGCTGTTTACGAGGCTTGGAAGGCAAAGAACTTTTCTAGTCCATGGTGTTTTGAAAATTTTGTTCAGTCGCGATCTTTGAGGAGGGCTCAGGACGTCAGGAAGCAACTTTTATCCATTATGGACAAGTACAAGTTGGATGTTGTGAGCGCTGGGAAGAATTTCACAAAGATAAGGAAGGCCATAGCTGCTGGATTCTTTTTCCATGCTGCCAGGAAGGATCCACAAGAGGGTTATAGGACTCTTGTGGAGAACCAGCCTGTGTATATTCATCCTAGCAGCGCTCTTTTCCAGAGGCAGCCAGACTGGGTTATATACCATGAATTGGTTATGACCACAAAAGAGTATATGCGGGAGGTCACTGTGATAGATCCGAAGTGGCTGGTTGAGTTGGCACCGAGATTCTTCAAGGTGTCAGATCCGACAAAAATGAGCAAGCGAAAGAGACAAGAGCGCATTGAACCACTTTATGATCGATATCACGAGCCTAACTCATGGCGTCTTAGTAAAAGAAGGGCTTGAGGGGTACTTTATTTGTATAACTTCTCTTTTAGCAGAGCAACTTCTTTTTTAGCAGAGCAACTTCTTTTATTATATTGTATTATGGGGAAGGCAGTCCGTTTTGAGCTGAAGTCATGGCATTATCGATCTTTTCCTCACTTCAGTTTTGTAGGTGCATTTCTTTCGTTCCTACTTTTTAGTAGTCGAAAGTTTTATTGGCATTGATTGGAACTTGATTTGAACTGAAAAGCTAACCAGTTCATTTGTTTGACAAGGTCGACCTTTAGCAAAGGAAATGCTGTACATTTCAGTATATGTGTTTTGGACAAAAAAGGAACATGATAATCCTGTTCTTTTACATGGAATATCTGTCTGCTTTCTTGTTCCTCTGCTCCTGCATTGTCTCTTTATGGTTTTTCATATGTTTATTCTCAGTGGTATCTTTGATTTTCACCGAACAAGAAATATAAGTATGGGTTGAGAACAGGAGAGATTTCTGGAATTTTTTGTCCTAGCAAGCCATGCTTCACTGAAATGCCCGATTCTGTTCCTGTCAATATCAATTTCCACCCTCCCCCCCCTCCCTCTTCCGAATTGGAATACGTCGCATATGATTAATGCGCAGGGTAATTTACATTTAGTGTACCAATCATGTTGTGATTGATTGAACTTGCAAATGCTTGTGATGATATAGTGGTTGCGAATTTCCTCTTTTGAAGAGATACGTGGACAAAAATCTCTATGGTTAGAACTACATCCATAAGCACCGAATTGCATTTCTGCAATTAACTTTCCTTTGTGAGTACAAGCCTGATATATTATTTCTTCAAGTAACACATACGGTTTGCGAAGCCCGGTAGATTTAGTGGCTGTCGCCTCAGTTGTTTGTTGAATGGTCAATAGTTATTTTTCTGTAAATTCAATGATTCATCCTTATTGTGAACTATGTTGCATTCAAAACGGCACATGGTAACTATTGGATCTTCTCCACAATGGATTTACAATGAAGAAACCAGAAGTCTGTACGCAGGCAACACTTTACAAATTAGAAAAAAATCTGCTTGGCGCAGCAAAGAATGACTATGCTAATGAACCTACCTCTCTATCAAGAATTTCACACAAAAAAAAAAAAAAAAAACAAAGGTAAAAGAAACCACTGCTTTCACTGCTGCGGCATATATTATACAAAACAACACTGGCGATACAGCAAAGATTAGCTCCATGATGTTACACCTGTCTTATCCTCATCCTTACCCTTGGCAGCAAACATTGGCAGCAAACATTGGCAGCAAAATCGGCATTTTTGAGTAGACCTGAGATATGCTTTTTAGACCTTGAATGTAACACTTTGCCCCCGCAGATGTACTTGGAACACTGGACTGTTTTAAATATTGGGGCCTAACACAGCCACTATGCTATCTTGGACCAGACTCTGGAAACGGGGATAGCTTATTTTGGCTTAAAGCATGAAGCATTGACTGAGTAGCGGCCAATTTATCCCTTAGCATAACATTATAATCATAAAGGTTTTGGATACTTTTTTGGAGGTCAGTGATGTTGGCCTCACCAGACGTCCCACATTCTGAGAGAAGTCAGAAACGGAGAGATAAATGAGTTTCAGAATGATCAGACTGTTCAATGCACCATACTAAGTGAATTAACCAAACTACGTTAGATAGATATTGAAGTTACATCGTACAGTCTTAGGACAAGTGAGATAAAAAGCAATGACAGAGGCGAGCTGCTTAATGCAACTATGCACAAAAGAACAGAAATAGTTTAGACCAATATTGAAACCTTGCAAGCATAACAATTGAAAATTATCTAATCGAAGTTTTCTACTCCAATTAAAAAGAAACGAAATATGACTGACTTCAAAATCAGCGGTTAAATGTAAATTTTACTGCAGTCATATGATGAAAAGATCCTTATCTGCTGCAACACCAAAAAAGAATGCTGGATCTTAACAGTAAGAAACTATAAGAGAAAAAAAGTAAAGACAGGTCAAGAATGAGAACTACTTTTGCCTTAGAATCAATAGACATAGAAAACCATGATTGAATTTCACGGTTTAAGTGGGTAACATTCCATGTCATCATTTACACTATCTTTTAAGAAGCCCGTGATCAACAAAATTCCTGCGATTTCAGGGTAAGGCAACTGATTGAATAAGAGCATTCAGCAAAAACATAGTTGTCTTGTTTAAATATCCAACTAGAGAAAAGAGGACAGAATCACAAAATTTTCATGAATTCGAATTCTAATAGAGTGAAACTAATAGAGACCCAAACGAGAACTTGAGACACCATAGATATCAATAGAAAAAAACAAACAAAATTCTATGTTCTTTACTTTTCTCAGTTTCTGCAATTAGAGAAAGAAGGAAAAGAGAAATGAGATCTGCAGGTTCATGTGTCAAGCACTTACGTAACACTGGAGGTGGTGGAAACGTTAAATCTTCTTGAACGGGAAGCATGTCAGTCTGACTGACTTCACCAACAAGTGAACCACTTGTTGCACCAGGATTTCCAACTCTGACTTTTCTTGGCACCCCATTTTCCTAAAATTGAAAATAACATAGTGAGCTAAAACCTTTAATAGCAGCAGCCGAGGAAAGAAGTTCACATAAAAACCAAAACTTCATCAAAGGTTAGGAAAAACTGATAGAACAATTTTATTCTAAATAGGCATTGTTCGTGCATGTTTATGCCTTAAAGAGAATGTATCCAGAAGGTAATGTTTTCCACATAGGATTTCAATGTTGATGGCAATAAAGCTGTGTCAAGAAGGTAATATTTTCCAAGTAGAATTTGGAAGTTGATGGCAATAAAGATGTGTATTGGTCTTTGTAGTATTCCTTGATGGTTCCAAGTTATTTATAGGATGCACCATTGTCATTCATCCCCTGCCTAAAAGTTATAGCACCAGTAATAGAGCAAATCAATGATGAATTCCAAATAAAACGACTGTGTCACTAACCAGCACGTAGAATGGCGCGACTCAAACTGAATGAAGAGACATTTCAATTGCTCTCAGAAAGAAGTACATACAACATGGATGCCTCAACAATCTCAGTTCATATAAAGCGAAACTGTCGACTTAAGCATGAGTCAAAAAGCTAACTCACAGGTTCATGAGTTGTATTTGTGGATTTTGGAGCAGATGAAGGCTTCATCGAGCAATTTGACATCTGCGCTTGGTTGATATCAGGAACAGTTTGCTGTTAAGCAACAAAATCAAATCAGAGTTTCCAAAAATATCACAGGAAGACCAATAAACAATTACAGAAGAGCACATGACATTACCAAGTGAAAAACACTTTCTGACCTTCTCACAAGGTTGTTTGACGTTTCTGTTAAAACTGAGCATCTCCAAAGTTTTCTGCCGTTTAGGTCTATGGGATGGCCTGCTTTTGTGCCATGAATTCACAGTGAGGCCAGCGCAACATGCCTCTTTTTTATCATTGGTTTTATTATCATCCAGTGAGCTACAACCCCATGTATACATCACATATTTCCTCAGCTATTTGAGAATTAAAAAACAAAAATCATTAGTGAGCTACTGGGATCAGGACCACAATATGCTGTAAATATATTTTACTTCTTCACCAGAAAGCCATAAAGAAAGAAAGCATCATTTCCAACAATAAACAATTTGTTTCTCTCAGTGTGCCAAATAACAAAAAAGAAGAAAAACACTTACTTTGTCCCAACGCTCTTGAGCTTTTCTACGATTTCTTACATTTCTCATCACAACATCCTCTTGACGAAGCTTCTTACTTCTGTATTCGCACTATAAAGGACAATACTTAGGAGATATACAGCACTCTTCCTCACACAAAGAACTGAAATGCAAGAGCCTTAAAAAGGAGGATGTTCTGAGAAAGTTAAACATACTTGCAACAAGAGGTAGAAAAAGATACAGACACTGAAGCAATAAAGGCCCCCCATATCTGCCAGGAAGCTCACTGCATTCTCCGAAAATAACACAGAATCAGATAATTGACTTAAAACCGTCTAAAATTTAGGGTAAATTAATTTCATATAACAGCATGAAGGTCAATAGCGGAACAATCTTCAAAACTTAGAAATGACTCAAAAGAAAAGTTCGAAGGCATAATAAGATTTTTATAGTTCCGAAGGAATGAAGACCAAGCCACAGTAATCAACGGCAAAATCGGCTGAGCATGTTGTTCGAAAGTATGGCCAACGTGAAAAGGTGTAGTTCATCGGAAAAATAAAACAGTGTTACTGGAAACGTGATATTTATAGGCTTCTACTTGGGTAGATATATGCAAAATATAAGAAACTGGTGGACTGAGAAACGTCACCAAGTGGAAACCGCATGATACAGTATATTAGCACAAAACAGGTAAAAGCCAGGATAGATATCGGATAATTTGAGCAAAGGACAGTTGAATGACACAAATCTAGTGGAAATATAGAACAAAAGTGCATATAAATACAAGACATTTTCTCACCAGGACCCAAAACATTTTGGCTGTCAATCTCAACAATATAGTCTGAGAGGAAATTCACATACAATGTCATGTTTAGCAGTCCATCACTGGAGCTCTCAAGAGAGGCTCGAAGTTGATCCACATCACTAAAAGATGAACCCGGAATAAAATCATGAAATAAAGGTTGGATGAGCTTCAAATCATGTACATTTCGGTAGTGTCTAGGAAACAGGTTGAATTTGAAGATATTTGGTTCAGTCCCTCTAAATGTGACTCTTTTGCTCTGACCAATGGTACCATTCTTTATGGTTCCAGCGACTGAACTTAAATGCTTATCATCATCATGACTTTTGGCAGATAGCTTAAAGTCAAAACCAACAGCTGTCGCAGGATCATTAGGAAGATCAACAAACTGCCATGGAATATATGCAATGTCTGGAATAAGCGGGCAATTGATGCATTTAAGGGTAATGGTGGGGCCCCTGCTAGTATTTTGGCAAGAAAAGTTGGTAAAGGTTGAAAGAGGAGCAACTTTATAATCAATTGTTCCTGGATTTCCAGAAACTAATGTCCCAAGACCACGTAAATTTGAGCAGCTCATTCCAGAAATTGCAGTTATATTGAACTCCAAGTCATTCAAGAAGGCGGCTAAATCAGGCGCATTGCTTGCTCTTATGTTATGCACCTCAACACTTCTCTTGGATATAATTTGGTACAACAACCTGTACATGTTTATAACCCCAAGCCACCATCAAAAACACTACCAGAAAGAGAGGACAAAAAGAAAGACAACAATCCATCCGCTGGGCACAAGATATTGTGAAACAATTAAAAGATTAAGGAATGAACATAAACTTACGCAGCAAATAGACCAATAAAAAGCATCCAACTAGCTATTGAAAGGGCTCCACCAAGTTCTGTTTTCCGCTTCATAACTACTTTCTGATCATCCTACACCAGACATTGTACCCATAAGTTCATGGGAACCACCAGACATTACATAATTCAAAAGAATAGAAACCTTCCGAAGGAAAAGCACATAATCCAACCTCATTTAAACTATGTGGTGAAGTTCTCTTGGGTTGATGTTTCAACTTATTCACCTTTTTCCGCAAGATAGAGATATTAAGAAAATAATAACAGGAACTTTTTCAAGTTAATCCTCAAAGGTCGTAGAGAGATCAATCGGATAAGTTCACAGGGAACATTTCCAAGCCAACCAAAAGACAAAAGGAACGGGAAGGCAGTGGCGCTGCCTTAATGTATTTCTAATTTAATTGGTGACATATCATTCAAAATTGTATTACTTGCTATGTTAGCAGCTAAAAGAGATGCCTATAAGTATGACTTGGGAGCATGACTGAAAAACTTTAATACCATGCATCCAATAACTAGTGATGTATGCTCCCTATATCTTCATACAATAAGATACTACAATTAATAAGAGACTGCCCCATTTGAATGATAACTCAAACGGCCTGCATTCTTTAGCATTATGGAACTTAGCAACATATATATAGAGTTGTAATTGAACCAACAAAGTCGAAGATATATCTAAGACCAATACCACATGGAATGTGTTCCTGTTCAAATTATAGAGAAGTGCAACATAGTTCTAGCTTCATAAACACACAGCCCAAAATTTCCTTGAAAAGCACTCCAGAATCATTAATATGCCTTACCAGCCAATGGCGGGTGGCGAAACAAACATCAAGGCGACTAATCCACCACCGAATTTTGAACCACAGAGACCTGCCATCACCAAGTGGGCCAAAAACACGCACAAGAAGGCAGAAAAGCAGCCAACTGGCAAGCATAGCAAAGGTAGCCTCAAGGAACACAGCTTGAGACTGCGTAAACTTCTTAATGGAATCAAAATCAAAGATGGTGGTCGGGAAATTTATGGAGTAGTCCACGCCGGTGCGCAGTTCCACCGGTTCCCACCCAGAGAAAAGTTGGCAGCTTCTACTACTGCCATTAAACAAATACCCTGGGTTGCAAGCACACAAACTGGTATTATAGCTGAAAGAATCAGTTGGGCATTGCATCATTAACTGTTTTTCCCAATTTCTGGGATGTGGGTTCTGCTACTAATCCCTCAAAGATTAGAACTTCAGAAATTCGGGAGCGGAAAGTAAGTAAGTAACTAACTATAGGAAGGGAAAAAAAAGAGGGAAAGAAAGGAAGAAAGGGATTTTTGGTTGAGAAATTCTGGAGGTTTTCAAAGGGTGAGGTGAACCAGAGAAGTAAAGAATATTATAGAACAAAGATCAGAAAAGATGCAGTCTTTCTATAAAAACTTTATGTGGAGTGGGATGATGAGGCCCACCAAGTCCATTGGGTTCAAGATTTCATCAACGAGGCTTTCAGTTCAACTTACATAGGAATTGTCACAAAGGGAATACAAAGGCAAAGACATTGACTGATAATCTGCAGAAAAAGGAAACCAAGACAAAAGAAAAAACCGGGAGCAAACTGTGTACTGCGTGTCCTGCACCCAAAACCTTTATAAAAACACTATCTTTTTTTACTTTTTTTCTTTTTCCTTCTTGAACTCTTCTGGGCAGTGGAAATTGAGAACCCTAACAACTGGAACTAACGGCTCTCCGGCTATCGGAGACTCTAGCAAAGAAAGCAACAATCCCAGGTCCTGCGATTCAACAATTGTTCCATTGATGCGATGATGACATACAGGTATTCATACTACTGGGTTATGCTTTTTTAATTTTGTGGTTGAGAGTAGCTAATTCTGTGCGGAAATTTATGCTCATAAAGGTAAAAATTGTTATCCATTACTGTTGTTAATGCGATGTCTAGACTAAACCAGAGAACTAGAGACAGCAGCATCACTCTCCAGCTCACTAAACTTTTTAATTTTTTAATTGATGAGAATTGCAATTGCTTTATCCATCTTTTTTTTCTTTTTTCTGGTTTCCTCAAAAGCTCGATGTTATGGTATGGATTTCTTTAGTTAATTGTGAAGCACTTGCATCACGTGTTGCCTGTCTCTCAGGTTGTGCTTTATTAAGAATCTTATTCAGTATCTTTGAAGATTTGATTGCATAAAAGGGAGTCTTAATTTGCCCACTAAACCAATAAAATAGTATATTCCTTTGCTTCTCATGGTGAAGTTTCATCCAGGAATCAAGCTTCCAAGATTAAAGTGTGGGCTAATGGTTGAGATGTTTATAGAAAATGCTTGAAGTCAGATTAGGCTTGTTAGTTCTCAGTTGACTGTTGATAGTATTAAACAAATCAAACTTTAATCAAGATTTCACTTTCTGGGTTGATTTAGTTTGTGCCCCTTAAGTTAGTTAGTGATTCTTTCTCCCAGCCACAGTCACAGCTTCAAGAAAACAGTTCCAGGGATGAGATACAGTTTTGAACAGAATCTTTCAATGAAATGAAGGAATTTCCTTCATTATCTGCGTAATAAAATGAAGCACAAACTTTAGCATCCAAATCCAATGGCCCCTACCACCCACATTCACACATCTCACAATATAATTATTTGTGATGTATTTAACTGCAGAATCTTATCTCATTCTGATGTCGAAGCTGACAAATGGTGGAATATAAAAGCAGCATTGCTTAATATTACGTGAGTCATGGTTGCTTGTTAGGACAATGTCTCTGGTGTTCTTACATTTAAGAGTAAATAAGTTATACATCTTTCTTAATAGAGGCATTGACTCAGATCTTCTGTAGCAATAGACAAAGATCAAAATAAATATGGATTTGTTGCCTTTTCACTGTATGATAGTGTGAATGAGATAAACACTTCTGTAGGTGTGCTTGTAAGCTCGAATTGTTGAGTTCAACCAACCTAAAAATAAAATAGAGGAATACTAATCATAAATCTTCCTGTGTGTTTGCGCACCACAACTAGCATTATTAGAATTTCTAGACTAAAGAAGACTTTGAATTTAGTATGCTGAGGAAACTTAATTTCCGGTTGGTGGTGGGTATCTTTCTTGGGTCCATGTTTATGATCAAATAAGTGAATATTTGCATGGCTCTTATTCAGTTCCCTTTTTAAAATATGCTTACTTCTATTGGAATGTATTATCGCAGAGAAATTTAATTGCAAGTTGTCACAATGTTTGGAGGTGGGTTCTTGAAGATACTTCCCATAGTAGCCACATCCGCAGTTGTTATCCTTGGTGGAGCAGTTGCAATCTCTGCCGTCACCCACTCAGCTATTCGCTATAGTAACTCCATGAAAATGGTACTTTGAAGCATCTTTCAAAATCTGCATATTTTTGTGCCTGAGATTCTGATTCTAAGATATCTTTTGGGGAACGGACTCATATAGATTTCTTTGCATAGTCTAGAACAATAACTCTTTTAGCTGGCTCTCCTTTGTGTGGACACATTTATGAGAAAGAGTTGTCGTCCGACTTATAAAGAAAAGAAAATCATGATATTCATTTGATTGGGTAGATGTATTTGCATTCGCCTGAGTTCCTTTCTAACACTAGTTGTCTTGGATTTATAATTTCAAGTTTTAGTACAACGATTTATTGACTTATTTTACTTCTTACAATGAACTTTTTCCGATAGAAGAAGTATGGGAAGAGTTGTAAGGCTTGTAAAGGAAGGGGATTTTATGCTTGCAAACAATGCAAAGCAATCGGTACCATAAGGTGGACGTCTGTGTATGATCCCATGTATGAATATGTACACCAATGTCTTTGCCCCACTTGCGATGGACTAAAGTAAGTGAATAGAGTGTCGCTTTGTAATAATACAGAAGTTTCAAAGAGTGGTTTCATTTCCCTAATTCGCTTGCAGGGTGCAACACTGTCTAAACTGCCTGGGTCGTGGCTCTTGTTTAAATGTGTGAAAGTTGCATGAACTTCAAGCAAGCAACAATTGATCAGCTTTTCTAGAGTTGCTCAGTTGCTCGTGAACATCTGCATAATAGTCATTTTGAACAAACTACATTCGACCTTATCTGGTTCAGTTACATTCTCCAAAGACTAACGTGGAAGAACGAGAGCATGTTTTTGGTCCAGAATTTCTGAACATCATTCAGACGAAGGCCCAAGGTCAGTCCATTGTGTTATGGAAAGCCTTAAAAATTTGTTCCTTGAGGAAGTTATCAAACTACCAAACTATGGGAATTGTGTCTTTCGACATTTTAATCTTTGGATGTAATTTGCATTCAGATTTCAATGTTAATGGCTTAATGCTCCTCCTGTAGTATAGAAGTTCTGTTTGTGATATATCTGAATGCAAATAGACGGGACAAACACTGCATGAAACCCTCTTATTACCGAAGTTTCCTCTTAAAGATGCTATTTCCAACGAAATTTTATAGGCGGCTGATAAATCCCGGGTCATTTTTTCCTTAGGTCCAAGGCTAATTTTTAAAATTTCTATTTTACCCTTACTAACTTAAATTAGATATTTAACTTGTTAATTAACTTGTTTTTATTACAATGGAAGGCGCTAACCGAAGATGCTTGTTAGCCACTTTTGTTTTTCGTTTTTTAAGAATTTTTTTTTATTAATTTCACTTTTTCGTTGTTTTCTTTTTTCTTTTTGAAATTTGTATTAGATTTGTTAATGAAATTTCATTTCTTATTTTTTTTCGTTTCTTTATTTTCTGTGAAACTCATACAATAATATTAATTAATAAAATCGAAATGTTTGCTCAATATTTTTTTTGGAACACTTTAACCAATGTATGGATACCTCCCCTCGTCTTCTCCCTAGAGCATGGGAATTATGTCGTTCGTGACCAGTGAACTTTTCCAAAATACAGATGGCTGCTTGTTTCATCATCTCCCATATTATTTTAATATAGGATAATGGTATAATTATTGGGAAAAAAAATAAACAAAGAGTGCAAATAGAGGCAAGCCAAGGTATTCAGGCAAAAGGAGTGATAAAATAGATGTCAAATGAACAATGAACTTAAGATATGTTTTAACCTAAAAAATATTAGGTGAAAGTTATGTGGTGAAACCAATATATGTGGCATACTTAACAATCCAAAAAAAAATAATAATAATAATAAAATTACGAAGGATGAAAAAGCAACAGCAACATCAAAGAGACACTTTTGTTCATTTAGAGTCATCATTCATCAGGTAAATTTGTGCTTCATCAGTGATTTTTGTGTCTCTGCACAAAAGGAGAATTCTTAACACCTGACTTCGATTAAGAATTAATGAAATTCTTTCATTCAATCGCAATCACTTTAATTTTCAAATAATCATATTTATTGAGTTTTAACAAATGTAATGATAGATTAGGGCTACATACATCAAAATATAACATTATGAGTACATACATCAAGCTTACTACTTGCTTTTACATTGCCAAAATACCTAAAAGAAAAACTTTTTTTTTACTATAAGCACAATATCAGCAACGAAACTTCCATTAGTAAAAGTGAATAGAAACCCATTTGCCCAAACAATATTAAAGCAATGATTGAATAATTAATTGATGAAAAAGAAAAGAAGAGAAAAACATAAATTCTAGATGATAACTTACTTCGTTTACAGGAGTGGCACAATTAAAAGTAAGCGAATTATTGACTTGAATTGTGAAAGTAAACAAAATAAATAAAAATAAAAAATAGAGAAATTGCGTTTAATTGAGTAAGGAAAAACAAAGTGACCAGTACGACTTGCCGCAGCGATCTCAGCGTCGCAATGATTTTTGGGAGGGTTATAAAAAGAAATAAAAAGGTGTTACTTTTTCAAGCCACCAACTTTAATTCTTTTAGCCATAAATTTCTAATTTTGACCATTTTACCTCTGTCATTTTTTCAAATCGAATAACTTGGCTAGCGAGAAAACTAAAAAAAAATTAAAACTAAAAAAAAAAAACGATCGACCATGCAATGAAACTGACCCGAGTTAACCCGGGACGGGACGGTCCACTCGTCCCGAGTTAACTCGGGACGGATTCATTGAAGGGTCGATCCCGGTTCGGTCCGATATAGTGAACCGGTCCGGTTAGGCCTATTTTTTTAATTTTTAGATTTTTTTATTTTTTGTTATTATTTTGTAATTAAAAAAATAGCAATAATTGCTATTTAAAAAAAATATAAAAATTAAAAAAAATAGCAATCAGATTCATTGCTTTTTAAAAAAAAATTTAGATTTTTTGTTATTTTTTTGTAATTAAAAAAAATAGCAATATTTGTTGTTTAAAAAAGTCTAAAAAAAAATAGTAATTGGATTCATTGCTATTTTTTTAGTTTTTAGATTTTTTGTTTTTTTTAATTAGTTAATCTAGTTTTTAGGTCATTAAAATTTTTATTCATTAAATTTATAAATAATTTATTATTTGAGCTATATTAAGTATCACTAATCTTTTAATACAAAAAATAGTTAATCTGTTTGTACATATTTGTCACAATCTTTGTAGTAAAATTATTATTTTTGATTATAAATGTATAATTATTATTTTTAACTAAAAATTATCTTAAAGAATAATGATTGAAGCAAAATTTTATATTTTAATATCAATTTAAATAAATTAACTTAACGAATAATCTTGAATTTATTTTCAAGTAAAAACCAATTATTTGTTTATTTTCAAGTAAATATAAAATTGAGAGTTTAAGCACTAAAGTATAAATATCGTTAATAATATTTAAAGTACGAAATATACAACAGGCAGCGATACTGCGAATAAACTAGCATTAAAATAAAAATTAATAATTTGTCTGTTCTCACGTGAATCGGACTGAATGACTTGCCCGGTTCGGTCCGAGTGACTTATTCTCTCCCCCTTTCCCTCTCTCTCCCCTTCAATTTGGTTTGGTCAAATAACAAGGACAAAATGATCAAAATTGAAAATTAGTGACTAAAAGAATTAAATTTAGTGGCTTTAAAAATCCTCCCCAAATAAAAAGGCTGAAGCTTCGTTTGATCAAAAGAGGGGAAGAAGATTAGCAAAATCCCTTCAAAAGAGGAGTAAGATTTGGCGGGTAAAGAAATTCCTGCTGGATGGATGAAAAAGGGGAGAAAATATGAATAAGGGTAAAATAAGACTTCTAAAATTTAGCACTGGACCCAAGGAAAAATGACCCTAGATTTATCCATTCCGGAGAAACATATTTGAAAAATCGGGAAACTGTAGTGTCCAAATATAATTACATGGTGGACTTTATGCCTCGTGATATGATCCAGGTGTTTTCTGACTCCGTGGAGAAGGGTATACAAAGCTCAAAAGACCAAAACTCCAGGTTTAAGATATTTCCGTTTAATTTGATATACAAGTCAAGAATCGGTCCGCCGACTGCTGACAAGGTCACTAGTAATATCATCCTCCTCATTCTCATACTGATCAAGAAATTGCTGGTAACGATCAGGATCATAAGCAACAGCTCTGCGTAATTGCTGTATAGCTTCGTCTTTGCGACCAACAGTAGATAAAGCACTGAATAAAAAATACACAGGATCTCAGAGGTCGGGTTGTGCAATACTAATGCTAAACAAAATTCTATGGCGAAGAACCAATATTTCATTACCTAGATAGCAGTAATAGCCCATCATAGTAATGAGACTTGCTCTTTGAGTCTTCGGGCTCCTGAAGAGAAGCTAATCTTTCTAGGTGAACGATGCCCTCATCTTTCTTCCCCTGCCACACAAGCACATATCCTATTGAAGCAAAATTGACGGCTACTTTTGTTTGCATAGTAATAGTTTATCTTCTAACCAGATGCCTTGAAAGCTCCACGGCTCAACAAAACTCGAACGCTAAACAATATTCTAAGCAAAAACATAGACACTCATAATAGAGAGTATTATCGTGATATATTCAAGGCAACATGGACCATATAATTTCCAGTTAAACAGATCTTTCCATATCAACCACGAAAATCTTTGTGTTTTCAAAAATCAAGAAATCAAAAGTTGATTATACGCGTAGGTTTACTGATATGCAAATTCTTGTGATCAGATTCTCGCCTAAAAAGTAAGCATGTGAAATGTGAAATGAAGACAGGCTCACAATGAATGAGTAGAGCAAATGTGATGGGATAAAACATACCTGTCGCATGTATACACTACCTGCCCATGTGGATGAAAGAATTAAGAGATCAACATCTTCAACATCTGAGGGAAGTCCAGCTTTGAGAAGCTGAAAAATTGTTTAGACTTCATTAGGAACCAAAGATAATAAACCTAAGGGTAGCTGCTAACTTGCTATTCTTCAAAAGAAACTTTTTTTTTTCTTTTTTTGAAATGGTCTTCAAAATCAACTTGAGTAAAGCATTGTCCTTTTGGATGTTGTACACACCATGTCACACAAAAATTTATATTACAAAGGCCTAAATGGATTTCGGCTCAACTTTCATGTACAACATAAAAGGAACTGCTTAAACCTACCTGCTGAATTGCATAAATAGAATTTTCATTGAAAAAGAAGCTCCAGTTCCTCTTAAAAAAAGTTGCAAGAAATCTGGGTTCGAACTAGAGTTTTGGAGACATTTAGTATTTGCTGCAAAACTGAACAAGAATCAAAGAGAAACTAAACAAGCATCTCACCTGTGAAACAGCAAGCTCCAAGTACTCAGTAGCTTCGGATAATAGGTTCTTTTGCATGAATATCTGCCCCATAAGAAGCATTGCTCTTACGCATTCTGGATCCTTCTCAAGAGCAAGTCTGTAATTCAAATTAGATGATGCGGCTTTTCCTCGACTGCATGAAATCAATAACCTACACGAGAAAAGCATATTACCTTAAAATTTCAACGACCCTGTCTAGCTGCCCCTTCGCTAATAATGTTACTGAAAGCTGTCCAAATTGCAAGATGCGAATGAGAATCAGACAAACTGACACATTACGATCAAAATAAACAGCAGATCTGGACATCAATTCACTTACAGCGACCAATTCTTTTGGCGATAATTCACGAGCCGAAACTCTACGCTGCCCTCCAGATTGAGTTGTTTCCTTAATACCAACTTTCTCTATTGCATTATGTTCTACTTCTTCCACAGAAGCTTTATTAGGCAAACCCAACCTCTCACGAACATCTGGATGTTGAAGCAATAATTGCTGCATAAGCCCCAAGGTGCAGAAGTTACCGTGGATTAATCAACTATTTAGGAAACATAATAGAAGAGCTAGTGATTGTATGAAGGAGGAAAAGCGGAGCCTTTCAACAGTCAACCTAAGTCAATCCATCTTATTTGAGAATACAATTACAGACTTCCCGAAGGACACCAGAAAAACTCAAACAGATTCATCTCGAAAAGAACTCTGAAATGAATATAATGTGAACATATCATATTCCTTCTTTTTTCACTTCTCCTACTGCCGTACTGGGCGTCTATTAAGTTGTCAAATGAGTGGGTACCAAAAAGGAAAGGGTGACAAGGTGATAAATTCAGCACTTAAGAGGATAACACTTCGAAAATTTCGCAATGGAGGTGCAACCTAAGCGCTTTGCCATTATCAAGGAAACCAACTACTTACCTGACAGACACTTAGTGAACTGTTTGTAAGCCAATATATTAAGGCACCCTGAGAAAGCAGAAAAAAAGTGAGATTAACTTCATCAGATGAGCATTTCCCATAAATATGGTGAAGATCTAGAATACTCTACAAACACACGGACAGTATACTGGTCATAAAGAACTAATTTCATATTGAAAATTAAGCAAAAGTAGCCCCATCAAAAATATTGGATGCCAGACGAACACTTCATTTTGTATTGAACATTAAGCACGAAAAGCCCAATTAAAAATACTGAACACCAGACGGATGATGGAAAATAAATTTATGAAAACAGGAAATGGGGAGAAAGCATTGTGGGATAACAATGCGCAAAACACCACATCATAACTTCCATCTCATGGAAGCCAAATAGGTAAAAGGCAAAATCAACTTCATCAATTGTCAGCTGTTCTAAATAAATAATCCTCCCATATGGATGACTACTCAATCCTCTGTTTAGATCCGTGGATGAAAATATATATATGAAAAAGGATTTTCACCAGAACAACTAGGACATAGTGAAAATAATCCTCCCATATGAATGACTATTCAGTCCTCTGTTTGGATAGCTGGATGAGAATAAATATTTGAGAAGGAACTACTACTAAAACTTGGACATAGTGTAAATTTTCTGAACGCTCCATACACTCTGAAAGGCAAATATCCTTTCTTCTCCAATAGACAAAGAGGGTTGGACCAATCACGACTGCAAGGCATGCAAAGAAGAAAGTTGTTTTACCTGAGGGATATTAAAAGTTATGAACAACATTGGAATCGTCAAAACTTCCAAATACATCCTATAATACTGCAACATTAAGCAGGAAATCATTATCAGTTTACCTTACAAATGAAACTAAACACAGAACAATAGCAGTTGAATAATTCAGTGAGAAAGTTAGAGGATCCAGAAAATAGCCTTTAAGGTAAGGCTAGCTGGACAAATTTTGATAAACTTCGGAATGAAAGCATCAAACAATCATCTTTGTCTTCAGTGTACAAACAACTTGCCTTGGCTAACATTGCAAAAACGCCAGAAACTTTTCCAAGAGATGATTTTCGAAATGAGATCTGAAGAAGCATAATGAAGGTACCAATAAGTCCTAAATGCAAAGGGCACAAGAAGAGAAAGCCTCAAATACGCAGGAAAGCAACATTAACAAAAATTAAAAACAAATCTGGGGAAATGTAAGATATAGTTAACAATAATGATCGGACCTAGTTTACCATTAGGTAAAGTATTTTTCCCGTAAAAAGTAAAAATGTTGAAATCGATTCATTTAATTGATGGTCAACACGTATCACTTGATATGGAATAATCACTCAATGGAACCATTGTATTTGCTGATGGGAGAGGAAGAAACTATCTAATGAGAACTTCATTTCCAATCAATTTAATGAGTAGTTGATTGGTGATTGCTAGATACTCTGTAGCTATGATGCAGGGTATATCAAGCTTTATGATACTTTTACCATTTCCAATGCAGGCATAAGGACCAAATCGACAGGGGCAAAGGAAACACATACAATTACTAAGATTTCTCAAAGATAGTTTACTCGCCACTCATAAGAGTCTACAAATAAAGTAAATGGTTCTACATAGAGCACAATAACACTACTCGTCGAGTCAGAGACCTGACAATGGGTATGTTTTGAGTCAAACATAGACTGCTTAAAAATTAGAGAGAAGATTCACATAGGGAAGAGGAGAAATGAAGCTGTACCTGGACATTAACGTAATGCAATCCAGCAATCAGTAAAGGAAATATGGGGCCTAAAGCACCAGTAGGATATTCAGTCAAGTTCTGGAACCAGAAGATGCCACCCTATATTCATTTAGAAAGAAAATCATCATCAGAATCAAAACAGAGAACGATGTCACTTTGATATAAAGAGCAAGCGGAGGTAAGAGAAGAAAAATTGCCCACAAAATCCAAGTATTTTTCACAGATCAAGGATCAATCATACTAAACACACAGCCTCAATAATCGAAATCCAGATCTAAGAACAGGACAGCACATAAATGTTCATGCTGCTTAATCACAAGTAAGCAATCATGCCACAAATATCACAGCCATGGACACCAGACACTTACGATCCAATTTCACTATTGATTATACTCGAAAACACATATACAAACACTCTGTATACTAAAGCTAAGACATCACTTATATGCATGCTCTTTTGTAGCAATTTTAAGGCATCTTTCATCCATGTAATCTTTTGTACCATATCAAACTACAGAGAGCTATCATTGCATATCCATTAAAGGTTACAAATCAACAAAGATGACAAGCAACAAAAATGATGAACAACAAAAAGTGGACGAAATATTGTTGCCAAGGAAAACACGAATTAGCTTAAGTATATTACCAAAAATTTGTATCACATTAACTGAAGAAATAAGGCAAGAATGCATATCTAGTTCTCGTCTTCTAAGAGCGTGTCAATGCATATAAACTTTTAGCATGCAAAAGTGGGATAGAGTTGCTCATTAAATTAACAAAACTGCAGAAGAAGCAAAATGTAAAGAGTGTGTCAAGAAAAATCACAATTAAAGTCCAGAAGTACAAGTAGAACCACCATGAAATCCAACCCTAATTGACTTACACAATCAAAACCAGGGTGACAGTCCAGTGACATTCTCCGAATAGATGTAACCCATAAGAGGAACAACGGAACCTGGAAAAAGATCACAAGAGTTCAAAACTAGAAAACACCACAAAGGTTCAAGAAGTGCTCAGGCACCCTAAAAAACTCGGTAAGGCGGTCAAAACATGAACTACCAGTATTTCAACAATTATTCCTATGAAGAAGATTGTACCAGTCAGAGAGCAGTTCTATGCTTAAGTCTAAGTATAGACTTGTCCCAATCAAGGAAACTTTCACAAGAATATTCAGTGAAGATAATTTCTCTAAGTGAATACAAAAACTCCGACACAGCCTGAACATTTCTTTACCTTCAATTTCAAAAACTCTTGACTGATTGTAACTATATCCAGTACCTCCAGTTTTGATATTAACTTAAAGGGCTGTGTTTCAGGTACACATTTGACAAGTTAACCATGTAATTGACAGTCATAACATAACTTCTCTTCAGGAATCTGAATGTAACAGTGTGCCCTAAATAAGTTACATAACTAATGTGTACCTTCCATGCATTCTATCAGTCTATACAAGGAGGCAAATGTAGGTTAAACAGATTCAGTCGTTAAGAAAAGAAAAACCTTACTTATACTTTACTTTGACTCAAGCGTCATTGCATTTCTTGGTTTAAGACAATTCTAGCTAAGGTTAGGGCCTGCATGGACACTGTTTTTTATTTTCTTTTTCATTACGGGGTTTGGTTTAAATATATTAAAAGTTGTATTGGAAATGTAAAAGGTTGTAAAAAGGTGTATTGGGAATATGAGAATACTTGTTTAAAGTGTCTCAATATATGAGTTTATGAGAACGTAAAATCCTGGCCATATAGGGCTTAGTATCCAGCTCATATTCAAGAAAATGCAAAAGCACAAGTCTAAAATTTCCCCTGCCACAGCAACAATACAGGCAATCAATACTACGTTCAGTCATAAACAAAATAGAACTATAAAGTATAATTTCTCATGATTTTGAAACTTTGATGCCGAACATGATTTTCACAGAACTCTAAATTATTTGGAAAAATCATAATCCTCATTTCTATCTTCAGTAAGCATAGCTTCGACCTAAATGCATAATAAATGTCAAATTTTTAATCAGAAAGCCAATGGTACCATGATCATAATGATAGGTTCAATTTAAAAAAGGAATTTCTTTTCCTCAATTCTTAGCAGCATAAATGACCTTGCTTAGTTGGATACATGAAGCATCACTTATTGTTGTCTTGAGCAACATCACCAATGGGAAAAAAAGCAGCAACAAAGGGACATGAAATGCATACCTGGACGGCAAATGATGCAATGAACCAAAAAAATGACGGACAACCTACAGCATTCTTCTCTTTCCGGAAAAGCGCAAATTGATCCTTGAAACTCCTTCCTGAGAAGGGCGGTGGCAATGGAGGAGGCACTTTCAAAAAACGCATCAGCCGCAGTGATCAATCAGTTCTAGTAATCAAATCCACTCAAATACTTAAAATAACAAATAGTTGTGGAGAAAAGAACATGGTAAAAAATCTCACATTTAGGAAAAAGTTCTCCGATCCTTTTCAGCTTGCGAAGTTGTAGCACAACGAAGGGAAATAACGTGAGCCTAAGCGCCAATGTGGAAGATGCAATAACTAGCCACCTGCAATTTTTCTTCTCCAATTCATTATTAACTCAATCAAAAATTCCACACAAACATCTAACATCTCCACCAAAAAAAGAAAAAAAAATGCAAAGAACTCAGATGAACATTGAAGAGGAAAAATAATTACCAAGGGAAGCCAGTGATATCGTGAAATCCATCTAGCAAGTAAGTCAGGGCTTGCACTGGAAGAATGGACTCCTCGTTTACAGCATCAACTCCAGCGCCAACTGTTGCGGCGAAGTCTATAGGCAAGGATACGAGCTCCTCCGACTGGCTTGACGAAAATGAACGACTAGCGAGGAAACTATAAGGTAGGGCATACCGAGCCTGAAAATCCGACGCCGCCGGCGAGTAGGTTGAGCGGAAGAAATGGTTTTGATGCTGAAATTGACGAGGAGATTGAGTTGATATGCAGTGATAACGGTAAACTGGACGGCTAGCCCGCCGGCGGAGGATGGTTTTAGAGAGGGCTAACAATTTCGGGTTTGCCATAACTGGCAAAATTTTCCCAGCCGGAGAAAATTGATTTGACGGCGGGCGCTTCTTTCGGCATGTTAGGAATTGTTGTACGTCACGAACCGGATTTTATACGTCACTGGATGCTACTGAATCGGGTCAGCTAAGGCCCAGGTTTTGACCCTCAAAACTCAAAAGTCCAATCCTGATTGTCAGTTTAGGACGAAATATTTATTTTTTTCAATACAAAATGCTAGAGTCGTAACGTTTAAGCAAATTGAATTGTTGAAATGCGGATGCTTAAATTCATGTTTGACTCAAATAATATTTCTCCGGTTTCAAAATAGTCGTGAGCATTATGTTTATTGTACTAATATAATTTCATCGACAAGTTTTTTTATTTTCAAATGAAAGGAATACTTAATAAATTAGTATAGCAACGGTGATAAAACCAGTAAAACAAATAAGTAATGTCATCAGAAGTTGATAAATTACAACTTAGATGGAAAATGATAAGTATCGTCAAGACTAGTGAGTTTCTAATTTAGTATTCTTCTGTCTCACATAAATAATTTGATTTGTTGTACTCTAATTCAATAATAAAGTGAATTATGTTGTGAGGCAGAAAAAAGCTTTAAGTAATGAGATTTTAAGAGGAAAAAAAATATACTAAAACAGAAAATGAAACATTTATTTTGAAGACACTGGATATACTTCCATTTTGTATTGTTAAAGCATTTTTACCACCTTCATTGAATTTACTTTTAGGAACAAAGCACTGTTGGAACTGGAACCTGGAACCCGTTGTAGTTTTTGGAAATTCATTTGGTCAGCCTCTGGAATACTAAAAATTACTTTGAAATCAAATGCATGTTCCGTAGTTGTTTACATTGGGAGCCTTTTCGAGTAGACTGAAATGAATGAGTAAAGAAAACGTTTGGGACACTGTGTCTGCGAATCAAAGAGTCAAAAGGCTCAAAACCGGTACAAATTTCTACAAGGACTCATAATCAACCAATGCATTCAAATTCCGTCACTTCGATTTCCAACAGAAGAAACTCATCAGCCATTTTGCTTTTGGATTCTGGAAGATGGAAAAGAGGCCTAATTCAATGTCATTCACCTATAAATACCATCCCTCAATCCCTTCAATCAGTCATCCACCTTTCTCAGTGAATTCATACAGCTTTTTACCCTCTTGAATTCTGAATTGAAACACTTACATTACGCAGCCAGAAATTTTGCTAAGCTGAAGAAAAAATGGGTGGTGCCCAGAACAGAAAAAATGCCTTTCATTGCAAAACAGTGAGCAGAGACTCCTCTGCAGTGGTTCAGTCGAATGTCGCCATTGTTCCGGTCTTTCAGGAAGAGCCATTAGCAGTCCAAGCCCCGCCGATTGTGTCATCGTATAATGATCGAATTCGGCCCTTACTCGATTGTGTGGACAGGCTGAGGAACCTGAATATAATGCAAGAAGGAATTCAGCTCCCAACCATTGTTGTTGTGGGTGATCAGTCCTCAGGGAAATCCAGCGTCCTGGAATCTCTTGCCGGGATCAGTCTTCCCAGAGGCCAGGGTATCTGCACTAGGGTGCCCTTGATTATGAGGCTGCAGAATCACTCTGATCCTGAACCTGATCTTTTCTTGGAGTTCAATGGCAAAGTGGTTGCCACTGATGAAGAAAAAGTTGCAGAAGATATTAGTCTCGCGACGAATGAGATTGCGGGCAACAGCAAGGGGATCTCCAATACCCCTTTGACATTGGTTGTGAAAAAAATGGGTGTTCCAGATTTAACAATGGTTGATTTGCCAGGGATCACAAGGGTTCCTGTCCATGGCCAGCCTGAGAATATCTATGAGCAGATATCGGATATTATAATGGAATACATCAAACCGGAAGAAAGTATCATCCTGAATGTTTTATCTGCAACAGTGGATTTTACAACCTGCGAGTCAATCAGGATGTCTCAGAAAGTGGACAAAAATGGGGAGCGAACTCTAGCTGTGGTGACCAAAACAGATAAGTCTCCAGAAGGCCTACTGGAGAAAGTTACTGCTGACGATGTCAACATCGGTCTTGGTTATGTTTGCGTGAGGAATCGAATTGGGAATGAATCCTATGAGGAAGCAAGGGCAGAGGAAGTTGCCCTGTTTGAAAATCATCATTTGCTGTCGAAGATTAGCAAGAACATGGTCGGAATACCCGTCTTAGCGCAGAAATTGGTGCATATTCAGGCCAGCATTATTTCGAAATGCTTGCCTGATATCGTGAGGAAGATCAGTGACAAGCTTGCAGCGAACATGGCGGATCTCAACAGACTACCTGCGAATTTAACCAATGTCGGTCAGGCCATGGCTGCGTTCATGAGGATTATGTCTTCCTCGAAAGAATCTTTGAGGAAACTTTTTCTCCGGGGTGAGTTTGAGGAGTATCCGGATGAAAAGCATATGCACTCCACAGCACGACTTGCGGAGATGTTCAGCAAGTATTCTGATGAGCTGCAGATTAAATGCCAAGAGAAAGAGCTGAGAAAGAATTTCTTGAAAGAAGAAATCATGATACTGGAGGAGACAAAAGGTATTGGATTGCCTAATTTTCTTCCTAGAACTGCTTTTCTTTCTTCTCTGCAGATGAAGGTTAATGGAATATGTTCAACACCATTGCAATTCGTAAGTGACATCTGGGACTACGTTGAATCCGTTTTAGTTCCTGTTATAATGAAGAACTGTGATAGCTACCCTCAGCTGCAATCTTCTATAAGGAGGGCTTCTCATGATCTTATTTCCAAAAAGCGGGAACAATCTGTCGATTGGGTTCTGGAGATCATTGAAATGGAGAAGATGACGGACTACACTTGTAATCCTGAGTATGTTACAACTTGGAACAATCTTATGACGAAACAGGAAGCTTTCATGGAGGTCATGAATGATCATACAAAGCCTACAGTTATCACGATCGATGGATTTGGCGTGGTTGAAGTGGGAGAATTGCGCGATCATGCTGCCTCGGTTGTGCAACAAGCGTTCGATCTGAAAATGAGGATGACCGCGTATTGGAAGCTTGTCTTGCGAAGGCTGGTTGACGCAATGGCGTTGCATCTGCTCTATAGTATCCAAAATCTGGTGAACAAAGATATGGAAACTGAGATCATTGATGAGTTCGTGGGACCGAATGGTGGTGGATTGGAAAGGATGCTAGAGGAATCTCCTGTGGTTGCTGAAAAGCGCTACAGGCTGACAAGAAGCATCAAACTGCTGAAGGAATCAAAGGACGTCGTTGCGAAGATAATGGACAGAGCTGCAGGTTATGCTGAGTAGGTCTGCTTATTGACTACTTCAAATAATGCCCAGCTGGTGTACTACTAGTTAGGGATTTATATCTATGTATTTGTCTTTGTTGTTTTTTTCTATTTTGAAGTTTCAGTTCTGTTTTTCACCAGTCTCGGTTATAAAATAATATCATCTTATTATTCTAAATGAATTCCTGTTTTGTATTGTTCTAGTTGCAGTGTTTGGTATCGGATCATGTCTGTCAATCTGAAATACAAACATAGTTAAAACTGTGGTATGCTAAATGGCTGTATGAAAGAGGTAAAGTATAAGACATTAAATCAGCATAGATAGACCAACCAAACGTAAATGGCCCAATATCGGAATGTTTATGAAATGAGTAAATTGCATTATTAGATAATAAAACTACGGAGGCAGTGATATGCAAATTTACAAATGCTCCTCAACCTCTCTAATCATCACGGCGAAAAACTCACTGGGTACCAACTCCACATTAGAACCTCCAATCCTTCTCTTGATGTCAACCTAGATGACAGCTCAACTGACAATCTTTCGCGACTAAAGACTTGCCATTGCGAGTAAAATCCGACATGAGACAAAGAAGACTGCCCCCGACACTGATCAAGTGTCATCGCGAAGCAGATTGAGAGGGGAAACTGTCTTCTTTTCATCTTGAAAGGGTATCCTTCATCAGATGGCGTGCTATCCAAGCGAGGAATAAAAACGTCTTCGCCTTCCTTCCTCCCTGACATTACCTTAGCCCGAATGACAAATTTCCCCAAGCTCGTAATAACTAGTCTCGTCCCATAAGATAAGCCGTCTAGCGGATTGATATCCATCAGAAGCCTAACTGGTACTCCAACTTTAAGCTTCAGTTCATGGTTAGGACATCCAGAGCACTTGACCATATTGAGGATTTCTGGAGGGAAGAAATCATCCATGTCAGAACTATCAGCACTCAGGTATGTAACCTCCTCCCCTTGTATCATTGAAAGCAAATGGTCATTTATGAGATCCACTTCATCTATGGTTGGAGCCAAAATGGCTCGCTGCTTTAGGTAATCTGGATTGCCCAAGTTCTCCATTATCGAAGGAAATGTCCAGTTCACAATTGCAGAAACTGGATCACCTGAAGGATGATGATTTCATGGTCAGTATCAATAAGACAATAACAACTAACACACCAATGTATATCAAAGACACATACCTAAATCTCTTATAGTTCTTTGATCTCTTCAATCGATTTTATATCAATATCCTTTTCCTTTGGAAAATCGCGGGTTGCTGAGAATGTTATTCGAGACACCGGTCGGCTAGTGCTGCTGGACTGAAGGTCTAAACCATTGGCTTCCATCAACCTTACAGAAAAATGCCAACATTGAGTTAGGATATTTGTATTATGATCCAAAATGTGTTAAAGGATGAATCAGTACGAGATTAATATACCTTGCTCTGTAATTGTTTATCTCTTCAGTATCAGTATTCACAAAGATCTTGGAATTGAAAAACGTACTCTGGACATAAACATTCCCCTGCAATGTGCCTCAGTTAACACACTATTTTTCTGTGTTAGACCCTTAAGGGACCAACCCAAAACAAGCAAACAAAAAAAATAATAAATAAATTAAAAAAATGCAAGAATGAGCCACCAAAAGATGTGGGAAATTAAATTACCAAGATATTCTTTTATCATGCCAAATTGCATCGCAAAAATGATTGGTCCACTATGATTCGCAGACATGTAGGTAGAAACTTCTTCAGCATAAGCCTTCCAGAGTCTTACCTTCAACTTGTTTTTGTTAGTGTATGTATAAGTTAGGGTTAGTGTAGGGACATTGTTCTAATCCTACTGTAATCATGTACACTATATATATGTTAAATCAATACAGAATGACTTATGGGGTTTACACATGTTCATGGTATCAGAGCACCTCGTTCTTGGTTTCACCGGTTTGCTTCCTTTATTGCTTCACCGGTTTGCTTCCTTTATCTGCACCAGAGTTCCCCTGATCATGAGGCTGCAAAGCCATCCTGATCCTCAACCAGAATTGCTTTTGGAGTATCAGGGCAAAGTTGTTTCAATTTCCTCCCTCACACTGCATTTATAGCTTACCTGCAGGAAATGGTGAAAGAAATCTATGACACTCCATTTGAGTTCATAAATAAGGCATGGAGCTATTTAGAAGGTGTATTAATCCCGGTGTTGATGAAGCATTGTGACAACTACTCACAACTCCAGTCTTTAATCAAGAATAGCTACCCAAAACTTGATTGGGAAGAAGAAAGAGCAGTCTGTTAATTGGGTAACCCAGATAATGGATATGGAGATTTGATTTGAAGATGGGGATGACAGCATATTGGAAGATTGTATTGCAGAGGCTGGTTGATGGGATGGCTTTTACATGTACAATTCACTGATTCAGCATTCAGAATTTAGTGGACAAAGAAATTGAGGTTGAAATAGTGGAGGAGTTAATGGGTGGCGGGAATCGGATCGAGAAGATGCTTGAAGAACCTCCTGCTGTTGCTGAGAAACGCTACAAACTTAACAGCAGCAATGCTTTTCTGAAGGAGGCTAAGAACATTGTTGCTGAAATAATTGACTGGGTTGCTGCTTATTGATTGAAATCTTTCAAAGACCCGTTTTTCCTTTTTTTGTTCTGTTTTAGATTGTTTTTTATTTTCTTTTTCTTTTTTTTCTTTTTTTTTTTTGGTAAAAGCTGTTTCAGATTGTTGATGTCTGGTCTTTTCTTTTTTCTTGGTGTATTTCTCGTTTACTTCTTTTTAGGTTTTTTTTTCTCCCTATTTCCTTCAGTTCAACTCTTTTGAGCCCTGAAGAAAACAATTTGCTTATTATGTATTTTCCATGTCCCATTTTAATAGTCCACAGTCCTTTATATTTAGCTTATAAAATTATGAATCCAATTATAATGGAGTAAGGAACTTGAAAAAAACTGAGAAAACTATGGTTCTGGATGATGAAATTGAATCCAAAGTTTGATGCTTTAGCTGATCATCAATCAATTCTGTAAAGAAACAACCCACCCTTTGGAGTTGTGATGAACTAAAAAGAAAAGGAAAAAGAATTCCTTTTTTCTAATCTGTCAATAATTGAAGCAAGAGATGTTTTTTAGCCACCTTGAAATGCGTAATATAATCCCTTTTCTTTCATCTCTGATCTTTTGCTGTTGTGGGGGCGAGATTGGTAGTTCTGGTAATAATGGTGCATGGATTCGGATTGGATCTGTTTCGGTTGGGGGGATGCTTTGTCATTTTCTGCATGAAGGCGGCTTCAAATTGACGCATGGCTTCTTCTCTGTGCCTGCAACTGTCTATGCTCTCTCTCTTACGCGTGTCTTTCCAGCAGATTTACTTTGCACCTTTCCCCATATATTTCACTTTATCCCTCCAAACCCTTCAGAAAAACTTTCTTCGCCGCTTTGTGAATGTGATTTTCCTTATGTTCAGAAGCTCAAGTTGACGGTTTACTAAGGCCATCTATCAGGTAAGAAAATTTTGATTAATTTCTTCCTTTATGTTTTTTTTAAGTTTTGATTTAATTACCTGTAAGAAACTCCTTGCTTTTTTAGTTTATGTCGGTCAGATTGATTGTTCATCCTCTTGAAGCACAAACTTGTTAGTAGTTCTGTTTTGAAATGAGTTTGGATTTATAAGAAATTTTGGGTTGTTGTGTTTGCATTTCTTTCAACCTCTCCGGATTGAGGGAGGTTCCTATGCTGCAACCCCTTTTGAGATTGGGGATTGAGGAGGGTTTTATAAAAAGGGATTTTAGCTAATTAGTGTGTTTTTTTTTACTGTGTGGATTATCTAGGATGGAAGAACCAGAAGAGGATTGGGTTGTGGAACAGTACTACTATCCATGTTCTTCTGGGGAGGAAGATGAATGTAAGAGTAAGGTTAGTTGGATATGGAACAGAGGGATTAATTTAGGGAAAAAGGTGATGATCACTGGTGTTGCAATTTCTTCTGCACCAATTGTTCTTCCACCGCTTGTTTTTGTTTCCGCTCTTGGTTTCGCTGCTTCTGTTCCGTTTGGTGTCTTGCTTGCTAGTTATACATGTACTGAGAAGCTTATGAATAAGTTGTTACCAATGCCGGTTCCATCTCAATCTTGGGAGTCTGAAAGCTTCCTCATGGACGAATCAGATCAGTTTGGGGGTGGGTTTGGGATGGAGGATGAGGTTCATAAGCAAATGGCCGACTTGAGGGAAGATATTGAAATGAGGATCGAGTTAGTGGAGGAAGGAGAGATAGTTTATGAAGATGAAAGGTTGAAAGACAAGGGTTATGAAGAAGATGTTGGGGAATACTTGGAAGGAGGGGACGAGGTTTCTTTTAGCAGTATGGAAGCCAAACCTGAAGGTGGTTTTGTGGAAGAAATTGACAAGAAACCACTGATTGAGGAAAGCAAGAATGATGAGAAGCCATCTCCGGAGGTCAAAAGAGTCATAGTCATAGCCGGTGAAGACAAGAAAATGAATGATGATGTGATGAAGCCAGATGAGTTGGTTGTTGTATCAAGGGTGGTGAAAATTGACGAACAACCTGCAGAAATATCGACTCCAGAGTCTCAAAGCCGAAAGGAAGAAACTACAGCTGTGGTGGAAAAAAAGAAGGATGAGGTCGAGAATACTGATGAATCTGGGAAGAAGAACAAGAAAAAGAACAAGCATCACTCCAAGAAACTGCATAAACTTTTGGGTAAGAAGGAAGATAAAAATGAAGAAAATGTTGAAGCAAAAAAGGGTGATGAACCAGTAACAAAAAGTGTAGTCCCTAATGATACAAGAAGTGGCCCTGCATCTCCGAAGCCTGCTGGGGCACAAGGTTCAGCAACCAATGGCCAGCATCATGAACAAGATAGGAAGACTGCAGGAGCAGAACTGAAATCTAGTGGACTGAAAGTGACTGCTGCTGATGAAAAGAAGGGCAGAACGACTTCTAATCCAGAGAAGAAAGGAACTGATGGTTAGTGGTATTTTCTTTGATTGTTGGCCTGTGATTTTAGTCGGTTCTTCATTTCAATTGCATAATTTAGTAGATGGCCACACCTATGGGTACCCGTTCCAGCGTACTGACATCAATGCTGAAAATGTGGTTTTTTTTTTCTGGCAGCAGCAGGAGTAGTTCACAAGCCCAAGCAACCTTCGACTGTTCCTGAGATGGTTGCTGCTAAATCTCCTAAAAAGGTCAGTTCCTCGGTGACATCTCATTTAATTTTCCAGGATAGTATGGTTTCCTCTGGAATGTATATCATTGTTGTCTTTGCATTGTTTTTACCACAGAATCTGATTCTGTTTATGCTTTGTGTCGGCTAATGCGAATTTGCCGATGCAATCTATTTTGCTGTAGATGATCCTCAGTGAGGAGAAGATATGGGATCAGATAAATGCATTGCGAGTGATAGTAGGATACACCACATCCCGTCACAAATCATGCATTGAAGAACTGAAGGCGTTGTACATCTTCACCGGAGTCGAACCCCCATCGTCATTTGACAAGGCTACCAACCTCGAAGAAACCGCTGATAAACTTCAGTTTCTAATGTCTGTTGTAGGAGTCAAGTAGAGAGTGTAGCGTGTTGTGGGTGTTTCTTTACGTTGTTTTTTGCCAGAAGTGTGTTTTTTGCTTACTACCCTTTTGGGTATACAACAGTAGTTTAAACGTTTGTGATGACAAAATATTGTGCTGTCGAAGGTCCTTCAATGGACCTTGTCCTTGCTCCTCTTTTTTTTTTTTTTTTAAATACTTGGTTACATTGTCTGGTTACCTCGTGATTGAGCCAATTGTCGGTATGTTAAATCATTTCAGTATTCTCTTCATTTTAAAATATATGTCGTTGAAGGAAAATCAATTTTTTTCAAAATAGATGTCGTTTTTGCATATTTAGATATATTTTGTCAATTTTTTCCGATATTGCTCTTATATGGGAAATTGTAATTGTATTTAAAATAGAAGTGTATTAGAACTAAACAATATTAGGAATGGAATTATATTGCAAAAAAAAAGGGTAGTTTGGTATTTTAATTAAGTATTTATTGTCTCCTTAAATTTTGTGAAACTCCTATAGCGACCTATATTTTGGAATGGAGGGGTACTTTTAACCAAATAACCTAGTTGCTTAAGTACACTTGCACCATTTTGATTGTTTAACTTAATTGGCAAGTTAGTAGCTTGAGGACCTGAGGTGTACTAATTTAACCACTAATAACCTAGTTGCTTAAGTATACTTGCACCATTTTGATTGTTTAACTTAATTGGCAAGTTAGTAGCTTGAGGACCTGAGGTGTACTAATTTAACCACTAAATAATACTGGTGTGCATGTGTATGTACTATGGAGTTATTTTTCACTAGTATTTTCTCTTCCTCGTGCACGCTTCCAATATCCTAACATAGTCTAAACTAGATGGTATTTGCACGATGTGCGAAATAAATAAATTATGTATATAATCACATAATAAAAATGAAAGAAATATTTTATATTTTAATAAATTAATATATAATTTAAAAACACTAAATTAAATAATGTTACATTAAAAGTAATTTCTATGCTCTACTTATTTACAGAAGAAAATAAAGAGATCTATATATTAATATACACGTTAAATATATTTTATATTCACAATTTAACATCTTTGACTATTCTTGTTACTTATGATATTGTACCACCTCGAACAAAGTATTGGAACTCAATGAGATGATTCAGACTTCAGAGTCACCTTCGGACGCATGAGCCAAACTGGAAAATATGACCATGCTTAGGCAACAGAACCATAGGTCACATCGCTGACAACTGATCTCCAGAACCACCCTATTTTCTCTAATTCATTTGTCTAAGATGATCCAAAGAAATAAATTATACCATAAGGTAAAACAATTTTTAAAAAATTTGAAACAAAGGTTTCATAATAATACTTGACAGTTAAATGGGTCTACCCATCACTGTGCCCTCTAATTTCATTTCACGAATCATCCTCACATATATATTTAAAAAAAAAAAACCAGGACGGTACTGGCGATTTTATAGATGAAGTGAAGAAATTTTCAGGGCAATACTTAAGACTTACCCAGTACAATTGAGAGTCCATCATATATAACGAAATTTTTAAATATAAGTAAATATACTGATATTTCGAAAGCAACCTAATCAAAATATACTAGTTACATGTGATGTCGGTTTTGGCAGTTCCGTCAAAACTATCTTTCCAACAATCCTAGTAAAGAAAACAATCAGACTTATTTCCTGCCACCGTGATTCGCTACTCTAAGATCACATATCTAAACTGTCGCGTTGGTGAGCATATAGAGTATCCAGATATGTGAGTGATATACAGGAAAACAGAGACCGTTGTCCCTAACCGGGTCACCAGAGTATAATTCCTAAGTTACCGCAATAAAAATAAACATATAAATAACAGTATAATTCAATTTTGGTTTGTTTAGAAAGGTACTAACAAATCGGTTTGGACCGGTCTGCTACTGTTTACCGAACCCAGGATGACCCGTTCTATAAAGAAACCGGACTGTGAAAACCAGATGGACCGGCCGAATTGAATGGACCGGCCGAATCATCCTCATATATTTTGTCATGTTGTCCCTTCAAAAAATCAAACATTGAAATCATTAATCAAGATTGGCAAAGAAACTCACCATGGGCGTGCATTTGAAAATTCTTACTACATGAAAATATTTGCCCATAGCTTGTAAAAGTTAGATGCGAAAAATTTTTTTGACAAAAAAGTAATGATTATATAAAAGAAAAACATAAATCCTTAAGAGAGAGAGAGAGAGAGAGAGAGAAGATTCTAGTGTAAATTGGGATTGCAAGCCAGCTGAGTTTTATAAGCACACCTTATATATACATAATAATTTTAGTCACAGGATTAATACGATTGGAGTGATTTTATGCATATGTTTATATTTGATTTTGTTAAAATAAATTTAATGGATTTTCGTGTATGCAATAATGACACACGATTATATCTTTAAAAAAATATTATTTACAATTTCTTTCAAATTTTCAAACTTATGATTAGGTATTAATGTATTGATTTGAGTTGAATTTCAAATAATATGATAAAATTAAAGTGACACAATTAATGTGATTAATCAAGCAGTTATTATTGTTTGATTTTATTTTTTTTTACTTTCAATGTTAACAAGTTGGACCTTTTTATAGACGATTACAACCAAAATGAAACATGAATGTAGTATGGGCAACTTTTTTTTCTTGTAAAATCTGGCTAAGAATTTTATTTTTTTCTAAATGAATGAATTTTATTTATTTATTTTGAAATATTTAGCCGAGAATTTTATTTTATTTTTTCGAAAGATTTGGTCGAGACTTTTATTTTTTTTCTTAAGGAATGAATTTTATTTTTTCTGAAAAATCTGGCCTAGAATTTTTATTTATTTATTTTTTTGAAGAAAATATGGCCTAGAATATATTTAATATTTCTAATTCAAATTCAAAAACGTAATTAATTAGTAATAGGAAGGGGTTTTTTCTTAGGGATTTTTAATTTTTACTTTTGTAGAATGGAATTTGTTTTAGTTAATTGGGTTTGAATAAATCATGAATGTAGCCATGATTTGGCCTTTAGTTCGTTCATTAAAGAAAAATTTTGTTCCCAAATTAAGATGATTTTCTTTAAAAATATGAGAGTATTTAATACTAAAATTAATTATTTGAATAGTTATGATGATTGGGGTGATTTGATATTATTAATATTCTTCAAGGATTATTAGCATAAATTCAGAAACTATTTTTTCTAAAAATTTTGAGAAATTGACATGTAGGATTTTTGCTTACTTGGCACTCTAGAAATATGTTTTTATTTTCTCTCTCTGGTTTCTCTCTTAGTATAATATATAATATACCATAGATAAATTATTATAAATTATTAAACAATTTATTAATTTATAATGTCGATTACTTTTGATGGGTTGGAAGAAGTTATACGTCAAGTTTTTCACACTTTCATGGTATTAGCAAGGCCATTATATTTTTCTCTTTTTTTTTAGGGTTTTATAGCCGTCGTTGTTTCTTCCTGTTCCGTGTTTCACTGGTCGTTTCTTCCCTGCTACGGCAGTACCTTTTCCTCGTTTCCTTCCGCTGCTGCTACTTTGCTGCTGCTTCTTCTCTCTTATTGTAGTTGCTGCTCATCATCAGCCCGTGTTACTATTGTTGTTTCCTTGCCGGTGTCATTTCTGTCGTCAGTCTCCCGGCCGTCGGCCTGCTGCGTGTTTGGTTCTCTTCCCGTCCGTTTCTTCATTGTTGGCGCTGCTCGGCGAAGATCCCCTTTGTTGTTTAGTTGCTGCTGCTTACTCTTTGTTGTTTTTAATTGGTGTTCACTGTCATTGGTCGTTGTGATCTCCATTTCTGTTGTCCGTCAGTTTGCCGCGACTCTCCGATCATCACCGCTACTCCCTTTTCATGCTGTTATGGTATTGTTTCTTCTCCTCAGACGTTCCTTCCTTAGTTCCTTCGGTTTGCTACTGTTTGCTTGCTACCATCGGACGTCGTGGCAGCTGCAAATAGCCTATTCTCTGGTTCTAAGTTCCGATTCTATTCTGCCCGGTCTTGGTTTGACCCCGTTCAGTTTGGTCCAACCAGTTCGGTTCGATTTGGTTCAACTTAGTTCGATTTGGTCCAGTCAGTTTGGTTCAACGAGTTTGATTCGGTTAACTTGATTCGATTCACTTCATGACCAACTCTAGTTCTTCTTCTGGTTCTCTATTTGCTGCGATGACGATGCAATCTTCTGCTTCATCGTGTCATCAGGTCTTCTTTCTTACTAATTTGGTTCAGTGCTTCAGTTGTCATGGTTATGGTCATGTGGTTCATTCTTGTCCTTCGGTTCGTAGACTTATGCAATCATTACCTTCAGCTTCTACTGCTTATTCGGCCTCCACTTCCTTTGCTCAGCTGTGGTACTTTGATTCTGCTGCTGGTGCTACCATGAGCAGGGCTGGCAATCCGTGTCCGGTTCGGGTTGGCGTGTTAGGTCAAACCCGAACCCGACCTGTATAAATAAACAGGTTGACTTTCGCAATCCTAACCCGACCTGAAAATATTCAGGTCGCCCGTGACCCGACTTGGTAACCGAGAATTATCACACAAAAAATTCTAAATTTACAAAAACTAAGTATGAAGTCGGATTTCAGTTACCAAATCACAAATTTTTACAACCTTAAAATTCAAGTTCCCAAATGATAAATTACAACTCAAAATCCAAATTACAAATTACAAGCTACAACTACTGCAACCAGCATGATATTTTCCACAATCTTGAGATTCTTATGTGGCAGTTGCCTCAGTTTTGATCACTGCTTAGTGAAAAAAACCCGCCAGTGACTTTCATTATTTATATCTTTTCCCCTGCAACTAATCATGGAGAAAGGGGCAGAAAAAAAGAGAAGCACCACACCTCATTTTCCTCAGCATTTGTATCAAATCCATGGACATAAGCTGTTGCTTTCTCTTGAGATCCAAATCCTTTCTGGAAAGAATTTCTTTCCTTGCTATATTCGTTATTAAAAGAAAAAAACAAGAAAAACAATACCATTAATCTCCCAAACTAAATATTCAACTCAACATGGAAGAAGGATGAACTTTGCAATATAATCATATACCCGCTTTGTGGTGTGTATGATTCTGTCTCCACAGCAATGTCAAGCCGGTCATATGTGTCCATCCATTTTTAGATTTACTCTGCTGAAAGATCTAGCGGATCTAAAGAAGAAGAAGAGAGACCCGCCGCACCAATGATGATCAGATCTTATGGGAATTTTGGACAGAGGCCGCCACGAAGATGATGATTGATGAGCGGGAAACATGTAGTTGGGAAATTTGGTCGGAGATTTCTGATTTTTCGGGTGGTCTCCGGATGAAGAGAAGGAGTGGCAGACTAAGGCCGCCTAAGGGAGTAAAATTGTAATTGTGTGCCGGCTGCAACCTAAATAGTATGAGAGTGAAATTAGGTTTCCAGTTGTTCAAAATTTCCAAAATATCCCTACACAACACATAATCTACACTTATATGGGTAACGCGGCGGGTTGATCCGAACCTGACGCGTATAATAAACAGGTCAACAAGTCAACCCTAACCCAACCTGTTTATTATACGGGTTCAAATTCTCAACCCTAACCCGTTTATTTCGTGTCGGGTTCGTATTGAAATTGCGGGTCGTGTCAGAAATTACTAGCCCTAACCATCACTAATGATTCTGGTAATCTTCTTACTTCTTCACCTTATACTGGTATGGACAAAGTATGTGTTGGTAATGGTGCTATACTAGATATTAAATCCCTTGGTTCCTCTATTATTTCTTCTAAAGATCGTCCGTCAACTTTACCTAATATGTTTCATATTCCTTCTCTTACACATGATATCTGTTCGTAAATTCACCACTGGAAATAATTGCTCTGTAGAATTTGATCCCTTTGTTTTTGTGTTAAAGATCTCAAAACGAAAAATAAATTTCTTCGGTGTCATAGTCCGGGCCCTCTCTCCCCTTGGTCCTTGTTCTCTTCCATCTTCAGTGTCAGCATTCATAGCTCACTGCACCAGCCTTCTGCTTTGGCATCGTCGTTTGGGTAACCCTAGTTCTCGTGTCCTAAATAAATTAATTACGAGTTCTCGTGTCTAGTTTACCCTCTAGTTCTCAGTTCGGTTTTTGCCATGCTTGTCAACTTGGGAATTTGCTATCATTGCTTCCTCTGCATCCCTGTTGAGTTCTATCATTGCTCAGTTATGTAAGAAATTTGCTATGACGGATATGGGTGACTTGCATTATTTTCTTGGTATTTCTGTTTCACGTACCTCTGATGGTCTTTTCTAGTCCTAGTATAAGTATATTGCTAGTCTTTTTGATCGCCGTCATCTTATTAATGTTAATCCAATTACTACTCATGTTGATACTAAAGTCAAATTGTCTCAGCTTGATGGGGAGTTGTATGATGATCCATATGAGTATCGCAATCTTGTGGAAGCCCTTCAGTATGTTACATTCACTCGCCTTGATATTGCTTATTACATGCAGCATGTTTGTTTGTTTATGCATCAGCCTCAGGAGTCTCATTACAAAGCACTAAAGCGCATTCTATGTTATTTGAAGAGGACACTTTATCATGGTCTTTGTCTTCGATTTTGCCCTCTTGATCAGTAAGTGGCATATTCTGATACTAATTGATCAAACCCGTGGAACCGCCCTTGAACTTCAAAGGCACAACTGGCGACGACGAGGTCAGATATGTAGCATATCTTCTATCTCTGTGATTTTTTATTACTGGTGTAGCTTCTTAGGGCTGGGGCCTAGGGGAAGTCTTCATATATATATCTTGTTTGAACAACTTGTGCATGTTTGAAGGCTTTCTAAATGTGGGTTTTTCTGGATTTTTTGGGTGTGATTTTAGTTTGATCTCTCTCTTTTCTATTTTTTTTGTTGAAAGTAAATAGCATGTTTGAAGTTGTCATCAAATGATATTTTCAGCTGCTTATTATTTGTTGAAGGATGTGGTTTGTTGTATATGTAACAAGCCGTCGTCACACTAGTCAAATAATTAATTACCTACTTAATACAATTACTAGCAGTAAAGCAGAAAGCAGGGTCGATCCCACAGAGAAGGTTACCAAGTACCGGTTAAAATTATTTCTTATTATTATTTAGATTAATAATTTATCAATTTAAACTAATCTAAACCTAAAACTATCAATTGCAATTATTTAAAGATATAAATGAGTAAAAGAAAAACCTAGGGCAAAGGGTTCATCAACCGACTATTCAGTTTGATTTAATCTATAGATATGTGACTTTCGACTCTCATTAATCTCACGAAAATTCACCAATTTAAGAATTATACACTCTCGTGTCATAACCCTCTTACTTAAACTAACCATATGACTACTCTCGTGACTATAGGGATTAATAAAAGCACATTAAGAACTTTCGAATTATTAGTCGCAAAGGCGGTGTTCCTACTCTCGTGGCTCACTACCTAAGTTTATTATTCCTAAAAACTAATACTAGCCTTCCACTCTCGCTACTTCAGCTAGCACCTTAAAAGCATGCAAATATTGATCATGTATTCACATGGATGAAAAACAAGAATAATAAATATTAATTAATAAAAAAGTCACAATCATAACTTAAATTAAATTAAATAGTACCGCGGCTACATCCAAAATCCTAGATTAAATAATTTAACTACACATCATCTCAAAAATAAATAAAACAATGGAACCCGAGAGAAGTAGGCCAAAAGTTGAGTCCAGAAATTGATCCAATGCTGCTCCTCTTAGCGATGATGGTGGTGGTCGCGTGGGTTAATTATGGTGAAGGTGTGGGAAGGGCTGATTTGGTGCGTGGAGAAAGGCTGGGAGGAGAGGGTGTTTTGGTGCGTGCGGGTTCGGTTTGGTGCGTGGAGGTATGTGGGGTTTTTGGCTGGTGGTGATGCTGATTAAAGGATGATGATGATGTGCGGGAATGGAGGAGAGGTGACTTGGAGTGATGGTGATGGGTGGGTGAGCAAGGGTGATACTGCGGGTTTGAAGTGGTGGAGAAGGGGAGGTTCGGCGGAGGATTTTTTGTTAAGACTCTGTCCAAAAATAAAATCCTAATTTTTCTTTTATAGGGTTTCGTCAAACCCTATTTCTTCAGAAATAAGAAAGTTATATTTTTTTTCAAACCAATTTAAATTAAAACTCTTCCAAATCGTCAAGTATTTCAATTTTTTCCTTTGAGTTGCTTTTATCTTCATTTTAGCCCAAAATTTCAACAATCCCTCCATTTGAGTACAATTCCTATAATTAAAGATAAAATCACATAAATAGCATATTTGTACTCAAAATATATTACAAAATCTACAAATTAGGGATATAATAAAAGCATATCAATATGTATTGAACTGAGTTTCACGGTGTGCCCTGCTTCAATTATATGTTTCAATATTAAATGCCATTTTGTTTCTGTTTACTTTGAGGAAATAATGTTTTTCTAAATAGTTGCATGATTTGCCTCTTTTGATGAAGACCTTTTTCCTACTTGTCTGTGATGCTTTTCTCCTATGAAAACTTGTAGGATGGATACATACATAGCAGCTGATGGTTTTACGTATGAATTGGATGTTATAAAAGGATGGTTCATGATTAGTGTGTCTATTTTATGATGTTTCTGGAATTATATTTTGATTTCTCACTCGTGGACTGATTTATGCCTGTATGGACTGATTTATTATGGTATTTTGCTGAATTTTTGGGATGAAGTTTACCTATTTAAACATTGATAATTTTGTTGGATGTTAGAGTCTTAAACTTGTTATAATAATTATTTGCCTCTGAAAAGTCTAGAAAAAAAGGCCAGAAGAGGCCCAATTACTGGGAAAAGTACAATTTGTGGCCCAAAAATAAAAAAGGCTCAATTGTAGGTCCAAACCACCCAAACCAAATCGTCCAATGTGGTTTGGATTAGTTCGGTTCCGGTATTCAATCTGGTCCAGTTACGGTTTTAAAAATTTAAAAACTGTAAGTAACGGTTTGGTTATAGTTTGATGGCCAAACCGGTCCAATCGGGTCCGTGAACACCCCTAGTCCTGACATCCATCGCTCCATCTCTGGGTATTTTGTATTTTTGAATCCTAATCTTATCTCTTAGTCTTCTAAGAGACAACTTATTGTTTCTCGTTCCAGTGCCGAGGTTGAATATTAAGCAGTTGCTAATGCTGTTTTTGAAGTTTGTTGGTTTCACTCTCTACTGTCTGAGCTTCGAATTCAGTTACCTACTGTCACCATTGTCTTCTGTGATAATGTTAGCGTTATCTCCTTGTCTACGAATCCTGTTCAGAATCAGCGTACCAGACCTGTCGAGATTGATATTCATTTTGTTCGTGAGAAGGTTGCTCAAGGGTCTATTCGAGTTCTTGATGTTCCCTCTTCTCACCAGTTTGCTGACAGAATGACTAAGAGCTTGCTTCATGTCTTTTTTATGGATTTTCGAGACAATCTTGAACATTCGTGTATCTCCCATTCCGATTGAAGGAATATTAGTAGATATATAATTATGGCGTTATTGTAATTGCATATAGACCATTGTACTATATAGATCCGTAATGTTAATATAACACTCGTCAAGAGTCTTCACACTTTCATCGTGAACATGATCTACAAATAGAAAGTCTCGATATATTATTAAGTCGATATGCCTTTCTGTGTACGTAATCTTTTTTCATTTTTTTTTTTTTTTGGTGGTAACTGCAGTAACAAACCAGAGGGATAGAATGGTAGCGCGTAACTTGTAGTTGAAATGAATTCTTAGATTTTATTTTAATTTTGGACAAACACATAGTGAAAAAAAAAAAAAAAAAAAGAGGGAATCGTGGTGTAGTCTTTCTGTTTTTTAGTGCGAGTACTGAATAGTACTATGCTTCTCTACGTTTTATGAGTTTTTTTTTTTAACTGGACTATCATTGCCTTTTTTTCAGTCCTTCTAATTTAAATTTTTAAAAATCTTTTACCTCTCTCGGCTCATCCTTTCTGAACAAAAAAAAAAAAAGAATGACGAGGTATAATCTTTTAGCCTTTTGCTAATTAATGCATTAATTGGTTGCTATTATTAACTTTGTTTAAACAATGTTAATACAAGTGAAGTTTATTATAAAAGTTCACGTTGTTGAACTAAAATAATTCATATTGTTGAACTAAAATTAAAAAAAAATATTTATTTTTTTAATTTATGGAGCAAAGGGAGTAAATGGTTGTAATCTCTAAAACATTTTTTTATTATCAGAATTTGACATTATTTTTAATTATATCCAATTACACATTTAAAAGATTATATTTTATTACAAGAATTTAGATAAATATGATTATCTTTATTTTGATGATTTTATAATGATCTTTGTTATCATTTTTTGTTTATGTTGTTCACACATTTTGGTTTCGAATCAATCCCCGCAACCCTATAAGTTAGTTTCCAACTTCATACTTTCAAAAATATTACATTTCAATATGTAAATGGTGAAAAAACTTATTTTTATATCTTATACTATTTATTTTCATGGATGTTTATATTCTCTAATCTCAAATAGTCAAATGTAATTTTTTGTTTTTGGAAATTGTAAATATTTTTATTATATATTGAGAAAGCGTATATTTACATTCAAAAATAAAGCTTAAACTTAAGCTACTCTATTACATAACATTGTTCTGGAAAATACATTTTGACAAGACTTTCTTCTTGCTCAGTAAACTTTCTATTCTGATGCATTCTGACTCTCCAATACAGCTCTTTTTTTATCTGTTTTACCACCTCTTCCGGTCTTCTTCTTGTTCCTCTGAATATACTATTGTTGCTCTCTTCCCAGCAATGGTATATTACTGCCACAATTGCCGCATTCCATAGCTGAAATTTGAACCTGGTTCCTCTCCAAACTCTTCTGACAGCTGTTCTCCAGGCATCCCAGTCCAATGAAAATGATCTAACACCAAGTCAATCCATGATATGCATGAATACAGCAGCAGTGTCTACACAATTGAAAAGCAGATGACTACCACTGTGATGAACATTGTGTTCATCCTGTCCTTAGTCAACAGTCTAGCCTGCCACATTATACCATGCAATAAAGGTGTGTTTGGGCATATTAAGTTTATACCACAGTAGGTTTGCTTCAGGCACTTTCAATTCTGGTCCTTTCAGCCATTCATAACCTGCTGAGATACTATACAGACCAGTCCCATTCCCCTTCCATTTCTTACCATCAAAACCATCTTTGCCCAAATCTCTAATTTTGAGAATCTGTTTCCAGTGTCAACTGGAATCAAGCTTCTTTTCCAGTGTCAAATGTAATTCTTATTTATTTATTTTTTTGACATTTTGATGAATATAGTGATACGCTCTCAGTTTTTTTTATGTCAAAATGATTATCCGCGACTTATTTTAGACAAAAAGAATATAATACTACCTCCGTCCCAAAAAAATAGTTTATATTGAGTTTTGAGTTTTGTACAGTTTTTAGTACAAATTAAAAAACTTAAGGTAGATTATTTTTGTGAGACGGAAGGAGTAACTATTATTATACCCAAATACTTTTATTTTCTTGTGGAAGAGTTAGCTTTGCTGGATTAATAAGACAAGTCAGCAAAAAGAAATTTAAATAGCGTTAAAAGACGGTAAAAGTTTTTTTCTCAAAGGAAAAGAAAAAAAAAAAAAGAAAAAAGAAAAGGGAAAAATCGAAATCCTTCCTACACCGAAGCAGGTTCTGCGCTTAGAGAACGTTGACCGACTCAACTCCATAAACCGCCCAAAGCTCGATTTTCTAAAGAATTCTCTTTCTATGAAATCCCAAGTTTGTTACAATATTATTTTTTCCCTTCCGAGTGATATATAATCTTTTTTTATAAAAAAAGTACTGATTTTTAGCGAAAAGAGAGAGTGGAGCAAGAATCGCCGCAAGAAAATGGAGGTGTGACTGTGTGGTTGATTATAGAATCCGCGTATTGAATGAGAAACCCGCCTACCTTGCTTTCCTTAGCTATAGATACTGCCCTTTTCAACCTTTCCACCATCTCCGATCTCTCCTTCTTGCCCGAACACATTCTCGTTGAACTCTTTGTGGTACGAGTTCTACTTCCCAGGTTTTTCTTTCCTCTAGTTTTCATATCAGTGTTTCTGGGTTTTTTTTTTTCCCTTTTGTGGGCACTGTAATTGGGGCTGTTCTGGGTTGTATTTCGATTTTTATGTCGTTTGTGTGGATTCGTGATTTGGGTTTCTGTTACTTTTTCCAGTTTGTGGCTATTTTCTGGAGTGGGAATTTTTTTTTGTTTGTTTTTATCATCTGCATTGTTGATTGGGAATTAATTGTTTCTCTTCTTGGCATATGGGATTTCAAGGATTCAATTGAAACATTGAAATCCCTAGAATGGACTTCATTTTCAGCTTTGAGAAAATTATTGGAACCTGTTTGTTTGCTTAGTATATAATAATGCGACCATTCTGGATCAACAAGATTTAGTACTGTCTGAAATTGTGTTGATTGTTAGGTGATACGTGAGGTATAAATGAAATCTGGACGAGGAAGGTTTTAGATAAGGGAATATAGTTAATCTTTGGAAGAAGCAGAATGAGGAACCAAAAAAGAACAGATCAGAGACTATTTGTTGAGGGAGTTGTTGTCTTATTTATTTTCTGGATTGTATTTAGATTTCATTAGTTTGTTAAGCTTCATCCTGAGAAGACAGGAAATGTTCAAAACTGAAGTATATAACAAAATGATCCATAAATTTATAGATCTTGCTAGTGATACCTTTCCTTTCATTGAATGAGTCTTCAATTGCTGCATGTGTGGATGTGGTTGCTGCAGATTTTTATTCTCATATTTTTGCTAATTTACTGTTGATATTCTGTGTGATGAAACTTGAAATGTGTCTTTAACTTGTACATTCATTAATCAGCCTGTAATGTTTGACACGCATACAGTTATTTTTGCTCTCTCATTCTGTGTGCTTTCACATGCGCACGATCACTAATAAATAAGCAATCTGTCATGTGATGGTCACACGACTATAACTGAATTTTTTCAGTATTTGATTGTCTAGTTAATACGAGTTCTGTCGCTTTTCAGTTATAAATATGCTCGTGTTTGTTGTTATTTGATCTCCAGCGAACTTTGAGAGCAGGGAAGCTGACAGAGAAGATTTTGAAACTATTTGTGGCTACTGGCAAAGAGGAGATACTTTCTTTGATACATGACCTTAATATTCAACTTGTTCTAACTCCTGTTCTTCCTACCAGTAAGTGAGTTCAGTATTAGTTTAATATATAAAATTTGATATGTTGTTTCTGATGGTTTAAAAATTATCAGGATGCTCTGAGAGGTTTTGATGCTAAGGTGATCAAAGATTGGCTTAGGTTGTTCTCATCCAGATACTAAAGTTGATTGTTTGCATTTTCCAATTGTGATAAGATGGCTCAAGTTAGCATTAGAGATGATGAGGTTGATATTGTGATAGCTGCACTCCACCCTGACCTTACATCATTTATGGAGGAATGGAGACCATTTTTTTCTCGATTCCACCTGATAGTTGTGAAAGATCCTGATCTCAAGGAGGATCTTAAAATTCCGGAAGGGTTTAGTGTTGACATCTATACGAAGACTGATATAGACCGCGTAGTTGGGTCTTCTTCAAAAACTATTGTTTTCTCTGGCTATGCATGCCGATATTTTGGCTATCTCATGTCCCGCAAGAAGTACATTGTATCATTTGATGATGACTGCATCCCTGCTAAGGATAATAAGGGAGATTTAACCAATGCCGTTGCACAGCATATTGCGAATCTTACAACTCCTGCTACCCCTTATTTCTTTAACACACTTTATGATCCTTTCCGCAAGGGTGCAGATTTTGTTCGCGGATACCCATTTAGCTTGCGGAGTGGAGTGCAATGCGCTCTGTCATGCGGATTGTGGCTTAATTTAGCAGATTATGATGCACCAACACAAGCCCTCAAACCAGAGCTAAAGAACTCCAGATATGTTGATGCCATTCTGACAGTACCAGCAGGGGCCTTGTTGCCAGTGAGTGGAATCAATATAGCTTTTGATCGGGAACTAGTTGGACCTGCTTTGTTGCCAACTTTTAGGTTAGCAAAGGAAGGAAAATTGAGATGGGAGACTGTGGAAGATGTTTGGAGTGGTATGTGTGTGAAGGTTATATGTGATCACTTGGGACATGGTGTGAAAAGTGGGCTTCCCTATGTTTGGAGAAACGAACGAGGTAATGCCGTTGAGAGCTTGAAGAAAGAGTGGGAGGGAGTAAAGCTTATGGAAGAGGTGGTTCCTTTCTTTCAATCAGTGAAATTCTCCAAAGCAGCAGTTACAGCAGGAGATTGTGTAGTTGAGTTGGCCGCTGCAGTGAAGGAGCGCTTGGGAGCTGTAGACCCTGTCTTTGCTCGGGCTGCTGATGGCATGGTGGAGTGGATGAAGCTCTGGAAAGTAGCCGCATAGATTGTCTGTCCATTGTTATCGCTCAAAGTTTGTACTGGCTGGATTTTTTATTATTTTTTTTTCTTTCTTTCCTTCTCCTCTGCCGGCTCTTTTTAGACAGCCTGTATAACCAGTTAGTGCTTCAGCCGGCTGCTTTGTTTTTTCACCTTCTGCAACTACAGGTCTGTAAAACCTGACCCCTTTAAGTGGGTCGGAGAGTTGAAATAATGACAGTTTCTTATCAGTGAAATCATACAAACACTATACTGTTCTCAAATTATAACTTCTTAAAGTGGGTAGTCCAGCTTGTTCATGTAATGTCTCAGTCATTTTACATCTTTTAATGATTTGACAATGTCATCTATTAGTGTGCTTGCCTTCATCAATCACCTTCTCATATCATTGTAAAAGGTAAATATAGGAGCAAAATTCTTTAGTTTGAAAAAGAAAAGTATCATGACTCGTATCTATATTTCGAAATGAAAGATGCCTTTGTGATACTTACAAAAAACAGTTACTATCATACAATGCATGGGTCATCTGTTGTGGTACTATTATCTTTAGTAGTTTTATTTCCATCCTGCTAAATTATTCCTAAATTTACTGTGATATTATGAAGTCTAACACACACAAGCCGAGTAATTCCAAAACTATCGAAAAATTTGGCTCACATAAACTCCTAAGTCCTAAAACTATGCAACAACAGCTTTTTGTATTTCATAATCTGGACAAACAATTTTTTTTTTATCTACTTTCCTTTAATATTGTTTTAGTTTTAGTTCTTCCTTTCCACCAACTTGAAGAACTATTATCCATGTGCAATGGAACTAAACATTTTTGGGCATAAAAAACATTTATGCCAAACTTCAACCCATTTGATTGTCTTTCTTTCATTTGTTTTTCCAACCGAAGTATCAAAAGCTCGACACTTTTTGAACTCTTGGAAAAGATTCCATTCCGTTTTTTAGCGGTTGGTGATACCGCCACATTTTGTTCCAATATAGTCTTCTAACTCACCTCTCTGGAGATAATCATCTGTCTCCCACACACACACACACACACACACACACACACACACACTCTTCAACTATGGCTGCAAATGTTCCTCTTCAATTCTCGGTATATTCACCTCGAACCAAACTCCATTCTAACAAGAATTTCAGAGCTACCTTTGGGGACCCTTCTTCATCTCTTACTCCAGCATATGTTAAACTAAACGGTACTTCCTTGCTGAAATGAATTTTGTTGGAGTTATTACTGTAATTGATTGATGGGTTCTGTTCTTGAGGTGTTTTTGTTTGATTGGCTCTCTTTCATTTTCCCACGTGTGCAGGGAATTATAGAAGCTCTTGCTTGATTCGCTGTTCTTACAATGGAAATGGAAGAGGACCTGTTAGTGCTGAAGGAGGAGGAGGAGGAGGAGCCGGGGATTCTGTGGAAGATGGGGTGAAGAGTGTGGAAAAGCTTCTAGAAGAGAAGAGGCGAGCTGAATTGTCTGCTCGAATTGCTTCTGGGGCGTTTACGGTTGAGAGACCTGGGTATGAAAGAATTCTTCTAATCTTAAACCGTTTGGTATTCTAAATTTTGCTACCTTTGGGGTGGGTATAATAGTTGAAGTGATTCCCTGTATTATCTGATTAGGGCAGTTGGACTTTTTTTCCTATTGCATTGTATAGCTGGTTTATTCAGCTGATGTAAGTCCTGTTATTGATTTTGCTCTTTTGATTGAAATTACATGTTACGGGACTAGATTTCAATCGGTGCTCAAGAATTCTTTGTTGAAACTCGGGGTGCCTAAAGATGTTCTTGAGTTTTTGTGGGAGAAGATGGGAGCTGGTCAAGACTATCCGAAAATTCCCGAAGCAAAAGGTTCCATTAGTGCCATCCGTAGTGAGGCTTTCTTCATTCCTCTGTATGAGCTTTTTCTCACTTATGGTGGAATATTTAGGTTGACATTTGGTCCAAAGGTGGGTTTAAACTTTCTAAGGTCTTTCGTTCTCGTCTTTCACTTTGTTGATTGGAAAAGGTACTTTCTTTTATAAAATGTACCTTCATCGTTGCATATGTGTCTTATATATACAATTTGTATATTGCAGTCCTTCTTAATAGTTTCAGATCCATCCATCGCCAAGCATATATTGAAGGAAAACTCGAAGGCTTACTCAAAGGTATCAGCAACAGGACAACATTTGCTCTTATTCCTCCTGTCATGTTCTTTTGTGGGCTTGATAAAAAATTGTTAAGGATAATAATTCAAATTCCCCTTACGAGCAGGGTATCCTGGCTGAGATTTTGGATTTTGTGATGGGGAAAGGACTCATACCTGCTGATGGGGAGATATGGCGCGTCAGGAGGCGTGCTATAGTCCCAGCATTGCATCAAAAGGTAGATTGATTGCCGCATGCCTCTTCTTCATTTTCTACCTGATTTTTTCATTGCTTTGCTGCCAGCTCAACCGCAAGGACCAGATTCTATTTTATTTCTTATTGATGCTATTTTTGCTGATGTTAGTCCTTTCTGCGGTTTGTAGTATGTATCTGCAATGATTGGATTGTTTGGACAAGCCACAGACCGGCTCTGCATGAAGCTTGATCAAGCAGCTTCAGATGGAGAGGATGTGGAAATGGAGTCCCTTTTCTCCCGGCTCACATTGGATATTATTGGGAAAGCTGTATTTAATTACGATTTTGATTCTTTAAAAGTTGATACGGGAATAGTAGAGGTATCCATATTTTCTCTTTATAGAAGCATCTGTAGTGCCGTGAAGTTCTTTTATTTCTAGAAGAAAGCTTTTGGGTTTGAAATTTCAATGCTTGCCTCTGTCAACATAACAAAGGGCATAATTTCCAATGAAAATTCACGTAGTGGCTGCCATATGTTTTGTCATCTAGGCCTATCACTTTTTAGCTGCTGAATTTTGCCAGTGTTATAGGCTGTATATACTGTACTACGAGAAGCAGAAGATAGAAGTGTTGCACCAATTCCTGTCTGGGAGATTCCTGTATGGAAGGATATTTCACCGAGGCAGAAGAAGGTCAAGGCCGCTCTCAAGCTTGTAAATGACACTCTGAATGATCTCATTGCTATTTGTAAGGTAAATATATTATAGTGTTTGGAACTTTTGTTGACATAATTTCAGCCTTATGAACTTTTACTAACAGAGCTCATCAACATTTTATTTTTCTTTTGGTCTTGGATTGAAAGAAAAAGACGTAGTAGTGATTCAACTTATTTGCTTATGGTTTTGAGTAATTCGATTGTTGTATGAACAGTTTTGCGCAGAAGTACTTTTTTTTCCCTCCTCTTTCTTGAAGCTTCATTTTCTGGTTTTTATGAAACACCATTCTTGAAGCTGGCTGAAAATCTTTTTGTCGGATCTTTTGTATTTTGGTATCCTCTCCAAAAAGCTGTTGGTTATATGTTAAAACTTTCTTTCCAGTTTATCTAGATTCAACTAGTCTCTTCTTACTTGACATTTCATAAATGCACCTGCAGAGGATGGTGGATGAAGAAGAGTTACAGTTTCACGAAGAATACATGAATGAAAAAGACCCCAGTATTCTTCATTTTCTGTTGGCATCTGGAGATGATGTAAGATGTCCCTTAATTTTTATGGTAGATAATGTCTAGTTAAGCTTTGGGGAAGGTTCTCATGTGCTAATTACAGGTCACTAGCAAACAACTTCGAGATGACCTGATGACAATGCTCATAGCTGGGCATGAGACATCAGCTGCCGTACTGACTTGGACCTTTTATCTTCTTTCAAAGGTTTGTTTCTGTTATACTAATTTTCTTCTATCTAGATATGTGAGCTTTTATAAGAAGATTTGGTGCTGAGTTTTTGTGAGGGTATACTTAATTTCATTACTATGATTCGTTGAAGATTAGAGAAATTGCGATTCTGGATCCTTCTTCTTGAATAATCTTAGATGTAATGCAGTCCTACTTTATTTCTACGAATAAGGACTCAATCTTTTAGTAGTCAAGATGATTGATATCTTACTTTCCTTTTTTTTGCTTGCCTTGTTTTAACAAATCATGTTTCGGTGAATGGATGATCAGGCCTCTTGTTGATGTTTACTATCCCGCGCTCTTAATAAAATTTTGGAGAGAGCTTTGATCTAGGATAACTTCCTGACTTGAATTGCTCTTTCTCTATTTATGGTGTTATTATAACATTTAGAAAGAATCATCAGTAGATTCGTGCCTTAAGTTATATGATGCCCTTTACAGCTACTCATTGTACTTCTTACATGTGTTTTTGCTTCTTGGGCTAATGAATGCAGGAACCTAATGTTATGGCCAAGCTTCAAGATGAGGTAAATTTAGATTTTGAATACAGCATCAACATGCCTACTGTTTCTATTTGAGTGTTGTTAGTATGATTTTCTGAAATTTTTCATTTACATTGTTATTTCAGGTTGATGCAGTCCTTGGTGATCGATTCCCAACTGTAGAAGACATGAAGAAATTGAAATATACAACCCGAGTGATAAACGAAGTAAGTGAAAAGAATTTCAATGCTATTTGATTAAAAATGTTTGCTGCCCAGCAGCTTTGATGTGTTCTTATTGTCTTCATTTTGTTATTATGCAGTCAATGAGACTGTACCCACAGCCACCGGTTTTGATTCGTCGTTCCCTTGAGAATGACAGTCTTGGGAAGTATCCAATCAAAAGGTCAAAGTTCAAACCCACTTAAAAGGGACATTCTTCATTATTTCTTTTTGGATGCAGAGCTGGTATCTTATCAAGTACTCCCTCTGACCCGAAATGATTTTCCAGTTTAGATTGTTATTTTTAGTCCAAATTGGATCATACTAAAAACGAAAATCCAAACTGGACAATCATTCAGGACAGAGGGAGTACATTCTTTACCTTTTACATATAGTTATTGATTTGAGGGATTCTTCAAAAAGTCTCATCATTGCCATATCTGCACACTGGTGGCTATGTATGGACTTTTGTTAGAGGCTACATTGCCCTTATATCAGCCTTTGGTAAACATACTGGTATTCTAACATTCACTTTTTCGTTTTTTTTGAGGTTATACAATCATTTTTTATGCTTATTTATCTGAAAATTTGAGATGTAGCCTCCATAATCTTGAACAATAAAATGGTCTCCAATCTAACCACTCGGTCTTCTACAGAAAAACTGTAAAGAAGGCATGTGTTTGTATGTTTGTAGAACCGGAAAATTTTTCTGTTGGAGTCCCTATTGCACTGCTTTGTTTCTGTGGTTTAAGATTTTTTTTTTCTTTTTTTTTTCCCCTGAAATGGGTTCTTCAGCTGATAAAGTTAGAACATAGAGAAAATTTTTTGTACTGACATGGACAAATGCTATGTGCCCAGCTCGTGAAATGTAATGCGGGGTTGGTGTAGTGTGATAGCTTTATTAATCATTGGTCACAGTTTGAACACACCTGAAGAAATAGTTGCAAACAGTATCTGGAGTCTTGTTTTCTAAACTCTAAACTTGTTTATTTCTACTGCATCAAGCTCGTCATTTTGCTTTTTATTTAATTATATTAATGAATATGTCTGAACCTTTTAAATATTTCATTGTTTGAGTAGCTTCCACTGGTTCCATCATTTCGGGCAATCTTTGATAATCATTTCAAAGGAGTTTCTCAGAAATAAATTTTATTTTGTTTTTTTTTTTTTGGCTAATAGGGGAGAGGATATTTTCATTTCTGTTTGGAACCTCCATCGATGTCCCAACCGTTGGGAAGATGCAGATAAGTTCAAACCAGAAAGATGGCCCTTGGATGGACCTAATCCAAATGAAACCAATCAGGATTTCAGGTCTCATTTTGATTCTTGTGCTTTTCAGTTTCGCAACTTGTTTCTTTCTGATTACATTGAATGAGGAAATTCAAATTTTGTTATCCAAGGATGTCAAAACGTGATAATCATTTCTTTAATTAAGAGGAATTGAAAGACTAACATCTGTGGAGTGGGGTCCAAAAAATTCGTATCAACTTCTGCTGTACCTAGCGCTCTTCCATTTCACATGCTGTACCTAGAAGCTAAAATTATCTTATTGATTGCTATATCAGTTACTTGCCATTTGGGGGCGGACCAAGGAAATGCGTTGGTGACATGTTTGCTACCTTTGAGGTAATTGTTTGGTCAACTTCTTGAGGTTTTCTTATAAATATCCAACATGGCATCTTACATGTCCTTTTCTTTCATGATGGTTCTTAACATCGGTAAAGAAAGCATTTTTCTAACTGGAAAGTGACATTCTTCCTGCAGAATATAGTAGCTGTATCCATGCTTGTTCGGCGTTTCAATTTCCAAATGGCCCTCGGAGCACCACCTGTAAGTTATATGCCTTCAAAGTTTTAGAGCTTTTCTGCTGCCCAAACACCAAAACACCTGAAATAAGTCATCTGCCGCAGGTTGAGATGACTACAGGTGCAACTATTCATACAACACAAGGATTGAAGATGACTGTCACAAGGAGGACAAGACCTCCCATAGTCCCCATATTGGAGCCAAAATTGAGAACTGATTCGGACATCACAGAGCTCAACTCAGTAGAAGATCAGAAAAATGAAGTTACTCCTTCTCGCTCTTAGTGTATATCAGAATCTCATTTCAACATTACAAAACAGCTGCTATGCAGATGGAATGATACGGGCAGGTCTCTAATCTACAACTCAGGAAGTGACAGCTGAACGTTTGCAGCGGCAAAAGATCAAGTTACCATAGGGAAAAGCGGATGGAAAATAGTTGCTGCAACGTGTGTTGAGTGGGAGTTTCAATACACTTGGTCACAGGCTGGATGATGTTTTCAGCCGTCGAAACATGTAAATGTGATTCATCAGTGAAAAACAATGTTACAAATTTACAGGCAACTGTGCGGGAGTAATTTCCCATTATAGGCTTATAGAATCAATCCAATGTATTTGATTTCCTTGTAATTGCTTGATGTCTCTCTTCTGTTAACTCCAAGTCGCAACACCTAGGCCTCTTACACACACAGGAAATGGCTTATACAAAATTCAGAGAATAAACTAAAAGAAGAAGAAAAAAAAGAGCAGTAACCAACCATTAAAAAAATCATCAATAGAGCAGTAAAGGCTAGAGAAAACTTTTAACTCTATGATATAATGTACACAGATAACATGGTTCGTTTGTACAACAGGCTGCATGTATAACAAAATTTTAGTAATTTTTTTTTCCCTACTTAAAATATTGCCAAGGCACTTCATCTGCAGGCTTTTCCCAAGGCTTTGTGTTTGCTGTATAACAGACGGACTTCAAGGTTAAAAGCTGCACTACACTAAACATCCCATGAAAACCGTGAACATGAAATTTCTGTAACAACACTTGAATGCAGCCCTCTTGGATCATTTCTAAGTCTTGTCTATTCGGTCAGATTAAGAGCAACCAAAACAGCGTGCCATGGAAAATCGTTTCGGATGTTGTGGTTCCTCAGCCTTGTCCTCTAATAATTTCTTCCGAGGGAAATGTTTGTGGAAAGCTTGCACCGCTCCAGCAACTCCGTCTTCATTTTCCATAGCCTTTGACAGTTCAATTGCACGTTCTTTCACCTGCAAGTAACCGCGGCCAAAACAAATTAAGAAAATTCCTGAATTAGCAAAAAATAAATAAAATAAACTCATCATCTACCGTTGGATCCAGCATGAATTTTATTGCATCAACCAACTTTTCAAGTGAGAACTCATCCACAGGAATGGGTGCAGGGCCAACTCCACGGGCGTGAACACGCTCACCCCAAAATGGCTGGTCCCCGAAAAATGGTACGACAGTCGTTGGGCACTGAAAAAAAGACCAAAAAAAAAAAAAATATTCAAAATACAATATCAAAATGCCAAAAGGAGAAAAAAAGGTAAGCAAACCTCCATAAAAGCAGCAAATTACCGCAGCTTTAAGACCAGCAGCTGTTGTTCCGGCCCCTCCATGATGAACCTGGAGAAATCGAATAACACTAACTGAATTAATTTACAAGTATAAAGACACTCATCAGAATAAACACGAAGATTAAGGGTTTGAAGTCTAAGCTTCCAGCATGACAAGCAGCGATGTTTTTTGCACCTTAAAGTACCACTAAAGAGAATGAAAAATTTAAACCATTCCCCTGCTCTTGCCCACCTCCCTCTCTAAACGAACATTATAAGAACCCCCAGTTGCATGACCATAAAAAGGAATATCATTTATCCTGTAACATCTGCCAGAGGAACAGTAACATGACATGCACAACAAATCCTCAAACTCAACATTACAAAAGCTGTCTTAAAGGGAGTCATAATCAGTAGATGGAAGAAGAAAAGGTAAGTTTTGTACTACAGTTCTGACTTCGTGAATCACAAGATAAGAGAAACATAAATGGTCTGCTGATTAATTGCATGCCAACTTAAACAGATAAAGTGGAAAAGAAAACTTACCACAGCAGCACATTGCAAAAACAACCAATCATGGGGGCAGTTATCCAATAAGTACACGAAATCTTTCGGCTCCGCCACTGAAGAGGAAAAAGAGTTAAGTATTCATGATCAATATGGAGAAATAAAGGAAAGCAAAAGAAGTACTACACATCCAGATAGTGAAATAATGACATACAGTTTCCAAGACCACCCCACCCTTTGTTGATTATTCCTCTTTGTCCTGTCGCTTCCAACGCTTCAACAATTATCTGTGTCATCTTTTCTGGTTCTTGGACAGGCTGCAGCAAGTGAAGGGAAAGTGAATACAGGATGAACCCATTTAATGCAACAAAACTCTTTCTTTAATCAACATCACTAGTAGTAAGTGAATACTCTTTTACATATTTGTACCCTAGGAACCAACGTTTGGGATTTGATTAGAACAGATATTGTTTGAAAACACATCAAGTAATAGGTAGAGAATTTAGAAGACCCGCCTGCCAAAGCTATGCAAACAGGTTCGGAGTAGATATTGTTTAAATAAACATGTAGGGTTAGAGATGAGAACTCACGAGGCTGCCAAAGCCAATGTAAATAGGTTTGTCACCAGCTTTGAGCCATTTAACCAGTTCCTCAGGCGGTTCATAATTTGAAGCAAGGTCTAGGAAACAAAATCCAACAACATCAATTTTGGGCCCCCAATCTGAAACACAGGAAAACAATGCAGAAATGTTAGTTTGCACCCAACCAGACAATGTAGAAATGTTTCCAAACTTGTCCTATGCTCCTACTAGGTTCCTACAATTTGTTGTGTAGCGCATCAGCTTTAAAAACTGTTTCTTGGGTTCAATCCTTCTATGAGATTTGAGCAAACCACAATCAACGATTTGGAGGGCCAAGGTAATCTTAGAAACAGGTTCAAACTAAAATTCATCAAACTCGTCAAGGCAGAATTTGATGGACAGAACAAACTAAAAAGTGATTGAGTGATTATAACTGAAATTCAATTCATCCACAGAGAAGCCAAACACAGAATATCAACTTCAGAACCAGGAAAGAACAAGAATTTTATCAGTTTATCATTGACCTAACTCGAGTGAAGTAGAACATTTATCAGTGACCAACTTTCTTGTCAGCTCTTCTGAGATATGTCACAAACCAGGAAAAAGGAGTAGAAAGATAGTTTCATGAAAGACCTTTCGGTTTAGGGACAAGATGTGGACTCCAAATATATCCATAAGGAACATCATTGGTGGAGCTAGACGAGCTACTCAAATACGTGATAGGTCTCAGTTTAAGCTTCTTCTTCCGGAACTCATTAATGACATCCCGAATTCCAAGCCAAATCATTGCATCAACTATTTGGTACGAGAGCTGCCAAAAGGAGGGAATCCAATTTTCAAATACAAATAACAGATATAGAGGACAACAAAATAGAAACATCAAGCACTCACTCTGTAAGCAACTGGTTGCTTCACACGAGACAAAGGGTGTGGAAATTCACTAGTAGGCCTGCAGAAGACAGCATCACAGAAACGAATATATATTTGCTCCCAAAACCCACATAGGGCAACAACGGCCAAAGAAGACATCAAAAGAGTTTCTAAAAGAGGTATAAGAGCAACTGGATGTCATAAAGAAAAAAGAAACTTACGTCCAAGGCATTGTGAAAAATATATGTATTGGTACTCTCAATGCCTCTGCAACATGAGTATGCCCTGAAAGAAAAGGGTTCACACAAATAAAAGCACATTTAACATGACAGTGACATTCAACAGCACAAGAACCAGTCCTTTTATTATATAAGTGTGTGCCGGAACACAGTTTACTGGTAACAACATGCTACAACTCAAGAACCCCTTTTTCGCAAGTGCCAGGTGCTTCGAAGGTGGCACAGTAACAAGGCACAATTAAAAGAACATATCATCAACAGCCCAAATACAGAACCATTCTCATCAACATCATGAAAGATTATCACCACTAATAGCAGAAAATAAGAAAGAAAATTACCATAAGCAGGAGGATTTGCAATTATTGCATCCACTTTGAAAGGAACAGAGGTCTTCGGATCAGGCTCAACACATGCAGGAAGTAAAGAAAATATAATCTCTCTGATTTGATTACGCTGAATATGAACCTCAGAAGGCCCAGATGGTAAGAAGCCTTTATTTTTTACCATGTCTGCATAAAACATTAACGAGTACAAATCAACAAGATTGGCAAACTAATCAAAATAGTATTAATGACACGTGCCATGATTCAACTGGTTGTTAAATGGAACTTTATGCCTACAGTACCCAACATTAAACAGTGCTTTTCAAGTACTTTCTGTTTTTAATCAATCAGTTCCCTCAGTTATCAGCCAGCACAAGCTTTTCTCATTTTCAAGATATGAGGCGTTTAAGAATCAATTCTCTCCAAATTTCTATGAATGTCTGAAAATGTTACTTTTCAGAATCATACAAAAAGAGACCACGGATATGCAATCAAAAAGTGATTAAACTAACATTGAAGTTGAATTCAATACTTACAACCAGCAAGAACCTTTGGGTCTCCACCAAGAGGGTAAAACTCTAATCCAGCAGTCAAGACAAACTCTTCAAAATTAGCATGGGTAGCTAATCTGACCCTGTGACCATACTCCTGCAAAAAATAAACTTGAATAAAATTGTTCACATGGCTCTTGATATACTTAGGTTCTTTTTCTATATCTATCACATCATTCTCAAAATCATGATTCTTGAGCTATATCAGCTATTATCTCGAAAATAGATAGGAAAAAAGATAGCAACAACAATTATAAGTAACAAGGACAAATATCAAACGAAAGAGGAATGTACAACCTGCAAACGTTTTCCAATGGCTACAAATGGTTGTACATCCCCCCGAGTTCCAACTATTAGCATAACTATTTGCAATGGTGGTACATCTTGGACCTCTTCCCCACTGACAGATTCTTCTTCTCGGGCTCCACCATATACAATTCCAGTGCCAAAATCAAGAGTTTGAGGCTTAATATCTCCGGGAACTTCAAATTGCACTGTTCCATCGTCTTTAACAGTGGCAAGATCCCTCAGCAATTTGAGCTGTAGAAAAAATCCATTCCAGTAAGTTACCGACAGAGTCAAAGCGTAAAAGACAAATGAGAGTTAATCAAGAATATATGCTGGAAAGAATGAGCATGATAGAAATTACTTGCACAATTATCAAGTCCTATAATAGTAATAAAAGTTGAAACAAGGAAAAATATCCAACTAAAAAAGAAATTGTGCAAAAGTGTAACAAAATATTGATACAACTATAGTTCATAAACTGCAGCCCCACTTCCAAAGATATTAGGCCTTCTCTACCACAATGGCTAAACGATATTTTATTCACTTAGTGTTTCCTCAGTGCCCCAGAGGAACAAATAGGTAGGAGCAACAACTACCATTTGTTAAGATTTCACTTACAAATGAAGAGCTGTGAGATTATGCCAAACCTTTTTCTTTAGAGGAAATTTTTCATCAAAAAGCTTCAAAGCAAGGAAGCCAACGCCACTGTTTTGTTTGCTCCTTGAGGTTTTGGTAAGCTGTTTAGAACTAGATTTCAAATCATCTACTCCCAAGCCTCCAGCAGATGCAAGATTCTGCCCAGGTAAATTCTGGTCAGTTGATCCTGGAAAGACCATGATAGAACCTGACATATTACAACACTAAACATAGCCGTGTAGCATATCAAAATAACACATAAAGGAAAATAATCCACAAACTCAAAAAAGTAGGGGAGAGAAGAAAAATGTTGACACGAAAAATTTCAATATAAAGCAGAAAGTCACTCATAAATGAATAAGGGTAAATCATAAATGAATAAGAGTAAAGTACAATTCCCACTAGCATTAATACCAGCGAGGGAAGCTTGCTTAGATATTGGACTTGCAACACTAACAGAAACAGTACATGAGTTTATACTGCATAGATAACATATACAACCATCACGGAATGTAGCACTTTGAAGTGTTAAAAAATAGGATTTTTACGGATCAAACTATGCGAATAGATGTCTCGTGTGGCTTTCCTTGCTTCACATGTTGCATTCTTAATCCACACCAATATAAATCCATTCCAATGCACTGGCTAGTTTCTACTCTATACTTCAAATTGTTTTAAAATATTCTTGCAATTGAAACAAAAGACGTCAGGTAAGATGCTAAGCTAGATTTCCATATCCAAGTGAGCCATTCGAGATCCCAAGCCACCACACATGACAAGACCATCAAGTTGAAACCAAGCTCATTACATCACCCTGACTTTTTCCCACAAGATAACGTTCTCTAAATTTTTACACTGAAAAACGTAACAAGCTGCTATGCAATCTCCTTCACCAATCAATCCATTAGCAGAGAACACAAAAACTTCAAAAGGAACATGAACTAGATAATCCAGAAAGACCGACAATCACCTTTACAAGGGCTAGCTCAAAGTCCAGCAGACAGTTTACATTACTTCCATGTCAATCAAAGCTCACATTTTTTCATACCAGAAAGATAGAGCTCAACGAAAATTTACTCATGCAACACGCCAAAGTTTCAATCTTGAAGATTAAACATTAGGGCCCTGAATACGAATTCCTAAATAGCCAACTTTTTAAAGAAGAAATAAAACAAGAAAGACAAAAAAGAGAACCTGGCGCATTCAAGGCAGGAATATGAATGCCCCCATTGTGATTCTTGGAAGCAACACCATTTTCTTTCCCGTTCTCTTCCAAAATTTCAACTTCCCGCTCCACAGGAACTTCCTCAGCCGAGCTTTCTGGATGATTCTCCAATGGTTCCATCATGGGATTCTCAAAGACGAAACAAAAAGAAACGTATTGAACTGTTCCTAAAAGCGACACATTCCCAAAGAAGAAACTCCAACGACTAAAAAGAAAGAAGAAGGACAAAACAAAAAAGGAAAGGAAAGTAAAGTTGGGAACTTTACTCCAAAACTAATGCTTTCCCAAGTGTAGAAATGCTAATGTGGGTTGAGAAGAATCGAATAATGATAAAAATACAGGGGAAAATTATGTGATGAAAGAAAGGGGAAAGTGAAGATGATGATGATGATGATGATGTAGGTGAAGCCGAAGAAGGTGGAGGAAGTAGTTTGCCGAAACAGCTTCACTTTCTTGTTTTCTTTTTTTTTTTTTTGTTTTTTAATTAATATTCAGATAGTAAGATTCGGTGTGGGGACGATTTTTTTTTTTAAAAAAAAAAAACTGAAAATAAAGAAAAGAGAAAAAGACATGGGTCGGTGTTGAGTTTCGTGGTGTTGTAGATTCTGGGTTTCTGGGTTTTACGATTACAAAACCAACGAATATTGCAACGCTAAAGCATCATGGATGATGAATTGAACTGAATTGATGATGCAAGTTTTGTTTTTGTGTACTAGTTTGCCGCTTCTTCTTCTTCTTCTTCTTTAGGCTTTTTGAGTTTCAAGCCACGTCCTCTTTGATGATGGTCCACGTGCTACTTCTTTAGGTGTGCACCACAACACTTTCTTTCTTCTTCTTCTTCTTCTTTTTTTTTTTTTTTAACCAAAATAAATAAAGTATATTTATATACACTTATATTATTATTATTCGTTCCTGGCTTGAGTCTCCCTATAACGATACATCTAAATATTAGAAACCATTTATTTTTGTTATTATTAAACACAATAAATAATCTATCTTGAAACTCATTTCACAATCACCGTATAACGTCTCAATTTATCGATCACGAGATAAGCATTTCTTGATAGTTCTTACTCCACTATTAATGGCGAGTGGCGATTCTATTATAGTTACCATACTATCAAATTTCACTTTTATCTGCTGATATCTATCATATCCAGGCTATTTCCGACCCTCACAATAACCACAAAACTCTTAAACTCATCCGAACAATTGATTACTACCCTACTTTTGCTTCTTCTTCTTCTTTTTTTTTACATTTTGTTTTTCTTATTGACCACGTGTAGTTTTTAATTCGTTGATTGAGTTAGATTCTCAACATAACAATATATTTCCCTTTGTTAAAATAAGTGTTAATTGAGGGGTAAGATGCAATTTTCTTCCTTGCAAAATACTAATTATGAATTAGTAACATAAGGTTTTTGTTTGATGCACTCGTGTAAGTTTGGTGTGTTTGAGAGAAAAATGTAAAATACAAGTTTGTATAAATAGTTGGTGGTATAATATTTTCAGTACCGCAATTCAGTATGTATTGTTAATATTTGGTGACAGATGAAGAATGAATATTAGAATGATGTGAAAAAAAAAAAATCAGAAATTGTTTAGGAGGTTTGAGAAATTACTGAGGAGTTTTCTGTCGCCCATTAGTCATTTTCGATCTGTTGAGGGTAATTAACTACTGGTACCACAACGATTCTTAGATTATCATATGAAATCTGCAGGATAATGCTGTGATTTTTTAAATCTGATATGTGTTTAATGCAATTCATGTCATAAAATAAACTAAACACCAACAGGGCTTGGTACAGTGATTTTTAAAGATGTTACTCATTTTTTTATTTTTTCTTTTTAGGAAAAATATTTTATAGAAACGCTGGAATCAGCCAGCAATGAATAATAACTAATTCGGAAGAGACGACCAAAAGGTATTCTTCACAGTACAAGTTTTCACATAAAAGATGTTACTCATTTATACTGCGATTAATAATTTCAAATTAGAATGGAAAGTTTCAACTCTATTATAACTATAAAACTCTTTCATTCTAACACTTTGCTATAAGAACAAAAGAGAAGTTTTGACATACTGATAACAAATCTCATTTCAAGCTCATTTGGGGGTTTCCTTCAACGTTTTGTTACTACATTTTACGGGACAAATGATTTGAAAAGAGAAAAAAAGAAAAGAAAAGAAAAAAAAAAAGGTTAAAAACCACGTCACACTTAAATTGTGTTCCGAACAAATTGTATTGGGTTGTCATTAACCTTAATTGATGTTTTTTTTTTGTTAGTTAAAACACCTAGGACTAGAATATCAACTTCAATAGTTCTATGAACTTTGTTACTAGTACAATTTAAAAAAGAGTTTCTTTTCCTTTCTTTTTAATAAAAAAAATAGCTTTTTGAGGGAGAAGGCATTGTCAAATCATGTGTCATACCTCGCCTCTATTTCATTTGTGTTGTTGCGTAAACATCACTGATATTCGAATGTACTACTCCAACATAGCTCCCTCACGCGTTGAGGCCGCGAATGCGCACATCATCCACGCACACAACAAGAGCCGCGATTTTCTCGTCCCAAAATATTTATCTAGTTTATTGTACAACTTTATTATATTATTAACACTAACATCATAATATTTTGCGTCGGGTAAAGTATTTTTACACCTTTTATTTAGTTCAAAAAGTAATTAGTTTAATTATGATTCGGGATCATGTTATATCACAAGCATGAAAATATTACTAATAATTAAGTAAATTTTCATTTTTCAAAAAAATTAACTTAACTTAAATCTGAATTAGTCGGACCAATATTTTCAGTTCGGATTTAATACAGTACATGATGCATGTAATCCTACTCTATCTCAGCAGCTAGTACACCATACATCTCTAACATCGAACTCTGCAATTTGTTTGAGCTCATAGGCTCTGGGCCCCACTTCTTCCCTCCTTTTCTAAATGTAACTGCCGTTTGACTCTATTTACAGCGTTTTTTTTCCTAATATTTTTTTTAATTAGTTTGTTAAATTTCACAGCTAATTTGCCAAATTAGGAACAAAACAATGATATTATTAATTACTTATTTATGATGCATATCTGTACACATTTTCCTCCTCAACATTGATAATTACTTCCCCTTGACCTATGAAATTCTGTTCAAACTTCCCATTTCAGTCTTCGTTGAGGTCGATGTATTTTCTTTGTAAGATACTTACTGTCACGCACTCGCTGAGTACAATAATTATGTAAAGGAATAGTCTCGATTGTCTAATTTGTTCAACGGTCTATTTCTATAATGTAGTATAATCTTTGACTCAACTAATGTTATAAGTTATAACCGGACAATGATATTGATTATGAAATATTACATTTTCAATCTTTTAAAAACTAGAGCCTAATTTTTATTTTTTTTAAAGGGAAAAAAATAAACTAGACAAGATTCAGACATAATTGTTGTACAATCAAAAGGAGGTAAATGCAATTCACCTAACCCATCATTACTGTAGTAAGTACATTATATGAATTTAAACCATTAGATTTTTCCCCCTTTTTATTTTCTCTCAATATATTATCACTTTTTAAGAATTTTATTGACTCTATATCCCATTTACCATAATTACATAGTAAGTACATTATATGAATTTAAACCATTTTGATTTTTTTCCACTTTTTATTGTCTTTGACTATATTATCATTTTTAAGAATTTTCTTCACAACTATTTATCAATTTACCATAATAATAAAAATATTTTAGTCCTCCTAGTACCTGAAAATTGTGATGTACATCTCCTCCTCCTTCTCCTTCCAAAGTCCAAAGTTAAATGTGTAATTTATTGCTTTCCCTCTCTGTCTGTTTTCACTTTTTTGTCTTTCTCTATTTTCCAAAACCAGCAATAAAGCAAAACACTCAAAACCAACACATACTCACACACTCACACACTCACCATCTTCCAGTATATATACTTTGGAGGACTGTTGTTGTTGCAGCAGTTGTTTCTTGTTTTCCTACTCAGAAAAGCTACAGTGGGTTGGTCTTCTCTCTGCTTTTGGTTGAATTTGTGGTAACTCCTGTTTTTTTTTTTGTGTCATTCTTTTTTTTTCATGGGTTGGTTTTTTCAATTGCCTATAGTAATTTGGTCTGTGCTGCGGTGGAAGCATCAAATACTTGTGTGAATTGCTTTCCCTTTTTTTTCATTTTTTTTATTCATTAATTGAGCAAGGCCATTGTGTTTTATAAACCATTTGATGCTGCTGTTAGTTGCTGTTAAATTATGGGTGGAACATTAATCATATGGAGAAGCCATTAATTTTGTTTGATTGGAGGCTTGTATGATTGTGAAATGCCTGGTCTCATTGCATTTGCTATCTGGTGGGGTGGTGTGAATTCTTAGGACAAGTTTCTCCCTTGTTGTTGATGTCTGTAATGCACAGGTTCCTGAATTTTCTCTCTTGCTTTCTTTTTTTATTGTATGGGGAGTATATCTAGGTTTGGCCCTGATGATTATTCTGTGTGTTTTTATTGTGTTTCTTAGAATGGTTTCTATATTTGGTGTTTCCCTGTGTAGTTAAGAATTGTTGATTAATTTAGCAATCAAGGACTTGTTCGAGATTGTTTTACCTGCTCTTCTTTGCTAGTATAACCATGCTATGTTTAAAATCAATTGTTTTCTAGTTCTTGATGTAAAGCCCCCACTGAATTTGTCTTGCTTCATATTTGTAGTAATGCATGATGGCTGATGGTAAAGAGACTTTAACATACACCCGTCAGAAGCCACCAATATGGATTGCTTACAAGCGCAAGAGACTATTGCCAAGGAAGGATTCTTGTCAGCAAGATGAATGTCTTGGAATAGACAATACCCCGATGATAGAAGAAAAGAAGAAAGAATCAATTGAAGGCAACAAATCAGAGTGCCCCAAAAAGGATCCTGAGGTAAAATGTTCTTATAAGGTTGCATTAGTCCACATTCCAACAGCATTCTGGTTCTGTCTGTGTGAAATTTTTCTTTGCTTTGTATAGCTAGATATATGGAGGAGATTTTGTTGTATTTATCCCCACCTCGAAGATTCTGTAGAGGATTGAATTTGGTTCAGTAAAGTGAAGGCATTAAATTTGAAGCATTTTATTGGTGACTTAAATTTGTGGGATACAATTTTAGTGACGCTGATGAAGTCAGGAAAATAAGATTCGAGTGGGGGGAGAAGATTGGATTTTGTACTTCTGTTGATATTAAACAATTATTATATTCCTTTTCTTGAAATATCTTCCTTGGGAGTGCATCAGTGGCTGTTTACCTGTCTGCTGTTTTTCTGATGATCATCTTTCATCTTCCCTTATCTTGTTTCTCTGCTTTTCAATCAAAGTACATTACACTAACGCATTTTTATATTGCATGTCAATTGTTTCTTGAAGCCTGCTCCTGAAAAAGCTGAGAATAAATCGTCATCTATCAAACAGCAAGGTCACGTGGCAGCTACTGAACAGTCTAGCAAAGAGGACACGAAGAATGAAACATTACATGATATGGAATTGCCGGCTGAATCACTTGCAGTTTTGGATGGAAGTCTAGAAACTAAGATCTCTCAGCAGCCTTCTGAAGGCCAAATATGTCCAATCCCAACCGAACTACTGGAGTCCAATAGTGTCCTACAAATATCATGTTCATTTCTTAACCCTAGTTCTTCTGATGAAAAATCTACTGTAACTTGTTCTGTTCCTTTGCCTGCAAGTAGCAATACCGTGGTAGAGCCAGATAATTCGAGTTTGAAAACAGGTTATACCAGTGAGTGTACCGTTGAGAAGCCTTGCTTGAAAGAAAGAAAGAGAAGCTCCCCACTGATTACCTTCCAGCGAAGATACAAGCGTAAGAAGGATATTGATGGGCTGCATGCGCAAAATACATTAGATGTTAACTGTGATGGGACCCCAGAATCCACGGGCTTTGCTTCTGTCAAGGAAGGAACACATTCTGAAAGAGGTTCAGAACATGCTTTGGTGAGTATGATTCTATCAATGAAGGGTATTAATTGGTGGGTTGGTTTCACCATTTCTATAACTAAGCTGTTGCAAGTGGCAAGTGTGGCATTTAATATAATTTAGTTCAATTAATCTTTGTATTCAATTTTCTTGCTTTGGAAGTAGCAGTATTGTGCATGCTGATAATGTTGTTATGTTTCTCGTTGGCAAGTGTAAACATTATCTCCTAAAACAGATATCTTCCTTTGTTAGATGATACTTAAACTTAGGGAGCCGACAATTAAGCTTTTCTGTTACAGTTATTTAACTTGATTACTGCATGTGTGAAACTTGGAATGAAATTGCCACAACTTGATTGTTCTGGAAACTTTCGTTTGAGCCTTTGCTTTTATAACTTGGGCTGATTTGCTGTGTTCAACAGATAGCCAGCAAAAATGTTGAATCTTCTTATGCTGGTGACAGATCATCCTCTGAAAGTGGAAGGTAAGCATGAAAGACTATTAGCGAGCCTTTTGTTTATTGTTGCTAATGGCTACTATGTAAAGTCATACCTTTTTCTTTTCTTTTTTTTTGCTAAACAGCAGTTTCACGCAACCAGATCACAAGATGGAAAACATAATGAGGGAGGATACATCCACCATTGAAGTACTTCCTCAGATTACAGAATTGAATGTTTGTTCTTTAGATAAAAATGTCAGTCTTCATTCCCCTGAAGGTCCCGCAGGAAACTCGTCAAATGATGCTACTGTTGATCCTGCTCTTGAGCCTGCGTTGTTCAATAATGATTCTTCGGAAGGTAAATCCCAAGATTTGTCCAGTGGTCTAAATGCAGAAAAGGGAATCGAGATTCCTTGTGCCGGAGGTTCCACAAAGGCCATTGACCTATCTATTTCTGCACAGGGTAGGATTTCTTGTCTGAAATTAATTAGTTTATCTTGTGATATGGTATTCTTTTTCTCCTGAAGTTTTCAGGTTGCAGTTTAGAATTGAAATTTGATAAAGCTTACATTTGTTTATGTCATGATGTTATGTACCCTTATGAAGTACCAGACTGTGGAGTTGCATCACTTTGTGAAGAAAATTCACACGGGAATTCACTAGACGCACCCTCTGGAAGTCACACAACACCCTTAGATGTTCAGTCCCCAGGAGTCAAGGGCTTGGATTTGCTCCACGAGAACATTGGGGAGAGCTATTTACCCCACCGATTAGTGGGAAATGGTTGCACTTCCGCCAAAGCAGTGAGTTGCAAGAATAATGTTTTTGCTAACTCTTCTTCAGCGGACACATTGAGGAACAGCTATTTGCAGGTTGGGGTTTATAGCATTTTATGTGGAATTGTTTGGTGAAATATTTTAATTCCTTTCCGTTAAATTTTAGTTTGTTGCTATCATCTATAGCTTATATGGGCAATCTGGTACTTTTTTGCAGCTGTTTCCGGAGCATAGTGACAGATCTTGTTCAACAAAGGCGCACCAAAAGGGATCTGCTAATTCTGTTTCTGAAGAAAGAACAGTTAATCCTTTGGGAAACTCTAGCCAGGCTGGAACTCCAGAAGCAAATTCTTCACGTTTCCGCAGTTTATTCTTACCAATGGAACGGATAAATAACCGCCAAAATAGCAGTTTTCCCTCTTCTCACTGGCCAAATGGTGGTAGCATCCAGTCGAGAGAATTTTTTAAAGATACAGTTCCCCCGGGTTTTCAGGTCAACCCATCAACCTCCATGAGACAGAAGATGATGCTTGATAACATTGTCAATAAAGCAAGGACTTCCAAGCGAAGCAGTGGTCTGCAGTTGTATGGATATCCCACAGCGTGGTCTGACGAAGAGCTTGATCGCCTGTGGATTGGTGTTCGTAGATATGGTAAAGGTAATTGGGAAGTCATGTTAAAGGATCCAAGGCTTGGGTTTCCTCCATGGAGAAATGCTTGGGATCTTGCCCAGCAGTGGGAACAGGAACAGACCAAGCTTCTCCGTACCATGGCTCCTTCCCAAGGCATAAATTTCAGAATTCCCAGTGGTGTCCAAGACCGTATGGATGGTCTCCGCCATCCAATGGTCAGAAATCAAAACTCGGTGGAAGATGTTCAACTATCACTCGGGAACATGATCCCCAAACCCAAGGATGGTGGCCGTAAGAGATCACAGCCTAACTTTGTGGATATCCAGAATAATGCAACCATGCAACATCAGTTAACGGGGACCTCGTCTTCCTCCAGGAGCACCACCAGGAGGGCTGCTACATTCCCGCATAGTCAGACTCAGGATGTTGGTTCGTCTGCTGGGCGTGCCAATTACTCAGCTTATATGCCTTCCGGGAAAGATTTTCCTCATTGGCTCAAAGAACTGGTGTCACACCCGCTTAGGCCACCTCAGGCAGCTGTGTTGACAGATACCTCAGGTGCTGGTCCTGTTGAAGTTCATCATGCTGATAAAGGAATTGATCATGAACAGCGGAGCCTAATAAGTAGCAAGAGAACAACCCTGAGAGGGCGCGAGCTTCGCATTGGAGCTGAAGCACAGAATAACATGTTCCCAGCCGTCAAAGACGATGAGAATAAACAAGAGGATCAGCATCCTGCAAATAAACGAGACTTGATTGTAATTGATGACAGTGATGCATCTTCAGAGGAGACTATCTCTGATCACCGTGGTGCCACCGTGGGTTAGCTGCATTTGTAGTTTTTTACTTTTTAGTTAGCTGCATTTGGGTTAGCTGCATGGTGGTTGTACAGATTGAATTGATGTCTGTACCGAGGGATTCTTTAGTTTTTACCAAATTGAATTTTATTTAAACTTGGCTTTAACAATTTTAGTCAAGAATATTTCAGATTTAGTGCACCGGATGAATAGTTGTCCGAGCGGTTTAATATAGAGTTTCTTGACTTGCAAATTGTCAACCAACATTCTCTCTAGGTTTGAATGTTCTTTAAAATAAACAACGATTTGAACCCATTGGCTGTGCAATTTGGAATTCAAATTGCTGATAGTTTTCAAATGATTAAAAAAAGAAGAAGAAGAAGAAGTAATTCTTTCAAAGAAAACAGAAATTTAATTGTGACCACGAACATTTTTATGCCAGGAAAAGTGAAAAAAAAAAAAAAAAAAAGTAAGAGAAAAAAATCATAACAATACGCTGTCGTATGACGACTTCAAGCTGAACCGCAAAATTTTGATGGTTGAGACGTTAGCTGCAGCTTCATCACTCTCTGGTTTCAAACTGGGCCATTTTGCCTGAAAGGCTGAAACTCAGTTCCCCGAATCCGAGGACATGAACGCCCTAATATCAGCTTCCTTCTGCTACAATTTCCAACTTCAGTCTCCTTTGTTTGTAACTCAAAATTCAACAAAGACTACAACTTTATGCAACAGAAGATTCAGAGTACAGGCAAGTAATTCAAATGGGTCGGATGCAAAGACTGCATTAAAAGATTCTTCCCTGGAAGAAGAATTTAATGGAGGGGATGTAACCCAATTGAAAGAAGAGCAGAAATTCGTAGGAGAAGGAGACACAAAGAGCTCTGCTACTCCACTGCTTGAGAAGGACCTTAAAAAGGTGAACGATTTGCTAGTATTATTCTTTTTATAGTGGAAGTTTTAAAGGTTTCTTATTTGGGAATTTCCCCTGCATGGATGTTATGGAATCATGGTTCATGGTTTTGCTTCAAGTGTTGATTTATGAACTGGTTTACTAGTTACTGGTGTTTCATGGAAATTATTTTACTTTTCTTATAAAGGGATGTGGGGAAACAGATCATCCAACTCTACTTGGCATGTTCAACTTTGGTTGTTGAGAAGTGGGTAAAGCAAGACTGGCCTAGTTTGTCTAGAATTCTGTTTTAGGAAGATAGAGACATTTCCGCGTCCTTTGATGCCATTTCCAAGTTGTATTGATATGTATGCGTTACTAGGTAATAATCCTAATTTTCTGGAACTTTTTCAGGCGATAAATGAGATACATTGTGATGCTTTAATGCTTTAATCTTAGACCTGTGTATTTAGTAGACTTTGATGCTTTAATCTTAGACTTGCTAAGGAAGTAAGGATAATCCAATTGTCTACATGCTATTCTTCGTTGTTGAGACTTGGTAAAATGCTCATTTATCGAGCTAAACCATGCACAGAACTAGTTCTGGTCTACCTGTGTATTGAGAGTAATGCTTTGTAGTTATGGATTTTCAGTTGTCACAAGTTCTAGTCTTTAGTAGAAGGGAGTTTCCGACTGTTACCTTTTTCTTTCTAAAACATGTTATGGCACAGGTTTGTACTTCTTTTTGATGATTGATGTTTTGTTGAAAAGGTTGTTCAAAAGACTGCTGCAACCTTTGCACCTAGGGCTTCTGTTGCCTCCAAAAATCCTGCTGTACCTGGAACAGTCCTATACACTGTTTTTGAGGTGCAAGGTTATGCCTCGATGTTGCTGGGTGGAGTTCTTTCCTTCAATCTACTATTTCCCTCCAATGAACCAGATTTATGGAGACTAATGGGGATGTGGTCCATTTGGATGTTCAGTAAGTGACATTGGTTTCAGTAGAAGAGAAACAGAAAGAAAAAGATCGTATGTGTAGATATGATTGATGTCTTTTTTTCCTACTGAGGAAGAACTTGAAACCCCTTCGCTTGTTTAGCATATATCCTATGTTTCTGAGTTCCCTTGTTTTTCTTAGGCCCCAAGTTTCTTACGGAAATAGGCATGCTTCTACTGCTGCGCTCAATTGTCTGCTTCTTTTTGTAATGAGAAAGTAGCAATTACCAGATGTTACTACTTCCAGTTGAACATAAATACCAATTATTAAAGAGATATGTTTTGTGTTCTTGCAGCTATTCCTTCCCTTCGGGCTCGGGATTGCTCGAAAAATGAAAAAGAAGCCCTTAATTATCTTTTTCTCCTCATCCCGTTGTTAAATGTTACAATCCCTTTCTTCTGGAAATCATTTGCAATTGTCTGGTCAGCAGATACTGTAGCGTTCTTTGGGATGTATGCTTGGAAGGTAATTGCTACTTAAAATCTCTTATATTTTTTAATAGTTTTAAATTCCTTCCTCTAAAAATACTTTTGCACAGATGGGATGGCTTCAAAATGGAAAAACAAAATGATGTAAAGCGCTGGAGTGTGTTTATATCTTGCTTTTGCCCACCGAATATTAAGTGCCGCACCAAGATACATATCATAAGCTTTTGTCATAGTTAGCGAAGCTTGATATGTGGAATTCATTACTACACGGTATGGACGGAAGTGAAAATGCATACTGCAGTCTTAAAGGTGTAAATAGCCGTCCATGTGATTTATCGGCCTTTCGTGCATGTGACTTCATAACCTTCAGGCGTTGTTCCAGATACGATTTTCTGTGTCCGAGCTCCTCAGTTACTTGGCAATTCAAGATGATAATTTATAGAAAATCCCGCATTGTAGATGTGTGAGACATGGTATGTGAAATCATCTTCAGATGGTACATATACTACTTTCAAGATGCAGTGATCAATTGGCGAGAACTTTCTATAATTGCATTGAAATTGAATGGAGATCACCATAAATACTGAATACTGCTGTGAGGACTGAGTTGCATTCATATTCAGTTATATTGTATTTATAATACTAATTTCACGCTGCAAATGTGCTTATTCTGGAAATAATTAATCAATTAGCATGGATTGAAGTACTTACAGAATCTCTATATATTTATTGTTTTTTTCTTTTGGAATTCCGTTGTTAAAGTTAGACATTAATTGTGCTCATGCTTGAATTATCTGTTTTTTATTCACTAAAAAGATTGTAGTACTCGGAGAAATGTATAAGAAAGGCTAGTCATCTAAAAGTTTCAGTAACTTCCTGTAATTTTTGGAAGCAGGTTTCTCAAACCATAGCCAAAAAAAAAAAAAAAAAAAGTGGAAAAAGAAAACCTAAAACTACTGTTTCCTGTAGTAGTATAATTTTTAAGTTGATAAGAAGGGATCATCGGTGATTGCATATCCCTGACAGGAATTTCCAAAGTAACAACAGAGAAAAAATGTTCTGTTCTGATCATAAACATAAAAACAAAGAAGTGTGTTATCGTATTGTCATGATGGACTTGATGGTTGTCATGGCATCATCTTGCCACCAGAGAGCTTTTATGTTCAGTATCATCATCGCTATAGTTGCTTGGACTATAACTTCCTTCTTCAGATTCGGCGTGACTACTTTGCCTTGAATGTGAAGCAAGACTAGGATTCTTGGACTTCATACTGTTTTCCTGCTTTATGTTTGCATCAAGACTACTATTATGCAATTCAATGTTGTAGGATCCTGAATCTACACGACCACTCTCGCTTGTGAAATTGTATTTTGAACTTGAACCAATACTCCATGAGAAAGACTCCTCGTATCTGCCGCGTCCCATACTTGAACCAAAACTACCATGTTGTCGCTCTTCATCCTGACTTGAATTGCCAGAAACATTTCCTTGCGGCCCTGCAGCTGAGCGAACACTCCTTGAGCTGCGACGGACGCTACTGCTGCTATTTGATGTCACACTAATGCTCCGTTTATCACTTCCTGTCTTCTTTATGTTGTCTGAGCTAGAGTCTTCCTTTCGAGGTTTGTAACTGTCTTGATTCTTTATCTTCTTACTCTTGGGTTTTGAGCTCTTAATTCGCTTGCTTTCCCTGTGAAGGTGGTTTTCTGTTGCTTCATGATCTGAACCATCTGAACTGTAGTTGGACTCATATTCTGAGTTGCTTGTGTACTCATCATCACTTCCTTCATACTCATGATCTGAGTTGTCACTGTTCTCATGGTGATCTTCATGATTGCCTGATGTTGCCGCCTCTGATTGTGATGGATTGGGAGCTGGCAGTGTGTCAGCAATGGTATCTTGTGGTGGAGCAACTGCAAGAAAACTTAGTATTGCGACAACATCTCCAATTAATGGACGGACAGATGGCTCTTCTTGCAGGCACATCGCTGCAATCCCAACTGCTTGGTTTAAATATCTCTCCGAAAATTCCTTATTAAGAAGTGGATCTGCTATTTCTGGGAATCTCTTAGGATCCTTAAAATATGGTTGTGCCTGTTCAATCGCATTCAAGTGTAGGAATGTCAGATTTATTGCACCAGGTATAAGTTGCATCAGAAACTTTGAAGTGAGACATGAACCATACTTACCCAGGTAACTAAATTTTGCTCATCTGTTGGTTTCGTAGTATCCAATGCTTTACGTCCTGTAATGAGTTCAAGTAAAACAACTCCAAAACTATAAATATCTGACTTTGTTGTGAGTTCACCATGTCTTTCGTACTCGGGAGCACAATAACCATAGGATCCCATTACCCTTGGTGATATGTGCATCTTTGTATCACCCTGTGTTAGCTTGGCTAGTCCATAATCAGAGAGTTTAGGATTGAGGTCTTGATCCAACAAAATATTTGACATCTTTAAATCACGGTAAATAATTGAAGGATTGGCCTTCTCATGTAAATAATCGAGTCCTTGAGCAGCCCCACTCGCTATTTTCATTCTTGTTTGCCAATCTAGGGGCTTCTTGTCATCGGACAAGTCTGCAAAGTAGAATAAACTCAAATTAGCAGATCTTATGTCTACTGCATTTTCAGACTGCAAAGTGCATGAAGGAGTATATTTAGGTTAACCTTTCAAACAGAAGCTGTTTGTATATCAGTGACTCATATCATCTGGAGATGACTTAGGTCTACTCAACCTAGAAAACTTTTCTTGGTGAATGCTGATATTAACAATCTCAACCATGCAGGATTCTAGATGTGCTCTAGATATTTGAAGAAAAAAAATCGAACAAGGGAAACACTAATGTGTGTTAAATCGAAAAAAGAAAAAAAAATTAAAAAATACCATGTATATAGGATGATAATGAACCAAATGGCAGATATTCATATACCAAAAGCCTTTGTTCCCCATCTGCGCAGTATCCCATGAGACTAACAAGGTTAGGATGTTTAAGGAGAGTTAACATTAGAACTTCAACCAGAAACTCTTTGTTCCCCTGTGTTCCATTCCTGTCTAGTCTCTTCACAGCCACCACCTATTTAAAAATAAAAAAGATTAGGAAATGAGAACCGAGTACTGCAATCTGCATTACTTACAACTTCATATTAATCAGCGTAACACGACGATTTTGATCTTTTTACCTCCCCTGTTTGAAGTGTTCCTTTGTAAAGGTTTCCAAATCCACCTTCACCCAATAAAAACTCTCGTCGGAAATTCTTTGTTGCCATAGCAAGCTCACGAAATGTGAACGTCCTAGCCCCATTGTTTCCATTTTCGGGCGTGGTATCTTCAGTGTTGATATTGTTGGTAATGTTATCTACCGGGGGTGGATTGTGGTTGGGGGCATTATTGACTGAAATACAGGGAAAATACTAATTAGTAAACTTGCCAATCATTTGGAGTCGGATGAGAGTACTCAAGAGCTGAAAAGGAACACTGATTCCAGCTCTCAGCGCTGTGAACAACTGAATGAACATATGGTTCTGCTGCTTTTTTAGTTCCTTTTATCGTACTATTTCTCAATTCATCCACATCAAACAGCTAGCTGTTTAGACTTGCTAGCTACAGATGTTGTACTACGTATGATCACAAGAATGAAGATGATTCAATCAACTATATATATTCATGTGAAGCAAATGGTCCTCCGTTTTTTCTTTCCTTTTTTTTTTTCTTTTTCCAGGTAAGATTGAATAATAATAATAATAATGCAATAAGAAGAGAAGAGAAAGCTGACCAGCGGGAGGCGGAGCAGGTGGAGGAGTTGCATCTCTAACCGGAGCAACAGGGACCTCCTCATTGTTTTCGTCGTTGTGTTTACGCGTAAAACATGGGAAGCAATTCATCCTTAATGATGATGCTCTCTATCTCCACAATGTAATCAAAATTCTAGCAAAAACTTATATTACAAGAACAGGGGAATAACAAAAAAAAAAAAAAAAACAAAGATCTTATATTCATCAAACGATTCCGCAATGAATTCCCTTTTGGCAATGTTATACAACAACAACAACATTCATCCAATCTCAAAAGGGCCAAAAAACAAAAATCTCATCAATGTACAACAATCCTTTGGGATGGGAAAGAAAGAAAAACAAGAAGAAAAAGTTAGCATCAATGCACAAGAAATGACAAATGGCTAGGGTGGAGGAGGAGGAGGAGGAGGAGGAGGAAGGGAGGGAGGGATCTAGGGTCCTCCAGGAAGTGGAAGGACCCTAAAACAGGAGGGGATGTAAGAAGCTGGATGAGAAAAGATCATATGGAGAAGAAGACAGATGACAGATTTTTCTTTCTTTTTTTTTTTTTCGTGGAGAAAAAAAAAATTTTCGTTGGGAGTAAACTCTCATTTGTATTTTTTCCCGTAGAAAAAGGGGGAGATATTGAATGGGCAATTGTGTTGTATCTCTCTCTTATGGATTATTTTGCTCTGCCTTCTTTGCTCTCTTTTTTTCCTCTCAGTCTCTTCCTTTCTTTCTCTTCTGCTTCTTTTCTTTCCTTTTTTCTTTCTTTCTTTTTGTGTGTGAGTTTGTGGGAGGGAAAGGGAAACCAAAGGGAAGATTCAGTTCTCTTTGTTTTTTTTTGACTGCCAATAACCAAAGGAAACATGCAGTGTTGGGTTGTCACCTCCTTATCCATAATTTTGACCCTATTCTAAAGATCAATTACACCCTTAAAGTAATGACACATATATCAACTAGATATGTGTTCCTTTTGTTATAGCGTTATGCAATTACATACGTCTTAATTAAATTTATCTTTAAAAAATCGCCTTAAATAAAAATATCCATTTCTTTTGGGGGATCCATTCTTGTTGTTGAAGCAAACAAAATTTGGATAAAAGAAAATGAACAATGCTAGCTGCCCCTTAGATCGATTATCAATTCCTCATCCATGATCTTTACACAAAATTATGGATTATTTGTATATCACGCAATATATTTAAAAAAATCACGTTTTTAGAATAATATTAAACACGACGAGTTTAAATTTCTTACGTGTGAAAAAATAATTTATATTGTCACTCAAGTATGAAACTTTATCATTCCTCTACTCTTAAAATCTCATATTAAAATTTGATCTCATAACCAGCCTCTCAAGAGAAGAAAAAGAACATCATCTCAAAAATAAACTTTGTTCGTTGACCCACTAGTAGAGTATTCTTTCAAAAATTAATCTTCAAGAGTATTTATCATCACTATTAATATTTCTTGTATCTCAAAATGAATGTCCAATTTATATTTTTATTTTTAATATAATTTATAATAAAATGAAATTTCAAATGGAATAATATTTTAAAACAAAGAGAGTGATTTTTTCCGCCAGATTTCTTGAGGTGCAAAAAAGTTACGGTATACTATATTTGAACACATTTGGGGTCTTTTCCTTAAAAAAATTAATTAAAATAAAGGTGGACAAATTTAAAATTTTCAGAATATTTGTGGACAGAAATATATCTCACGGATTTCCGAAATCCGAGTTATAATTAAAATTAAATATTCGGATTTCGGAAATCCGAATCTACATTTAATAATAAAATAATAATTAAATAAATTTTGTTGAATAATAGTTTTTAAAAAATCTTACATGAACAGTGCCATTCGGATTTGCGTAATCCGAGTCCAATTAAAAAATAATAAATTGAGGCGCGAAATATTTGAACTCAAATAAGGAGAAGGGTTTAGGGTTTAGGGTTTAGGGTTTAGGGTTTAGGGTTTAAGGATTTCGGAAATCCGAGTACATAAACAGTAGTACTCGGATTTCCGAAATTCGAGCTCTTAAAAAGAAAAAAATAAAATAAAATCAAGGCGCGAAATTTTTGAAATCAAAGAACTGGAATACCGTAATCCGGTTACATGTATTAGTGTTATGTACTATTTGTACGTACTAGTATTATGTAGTACATTAATATTATTACTCATTATACATTATTGGTATTATTGTTATTTATTACTGTTAAATCTATTAGTCATTATATATTATCATTAATTCAGTATAATTTATTTGTACTAGTGTTATGTACTATTTGTACATACTGATATTATTTTATGTAGTACATTAATACTAATACCCATTATATATTATTGGTACTATTCTTATTTATACTGCTAAATCTGTTAGTCATTATATATTATCACAAAAACAGTATAATTTATCTGTACTAGTGTTATGTACTATTTGTACGTACTAGTATTATGTAGTACATTAATACTATTACCCATTATACATTACTGGTACTAGTGTTACTTATTACTGTTACATCTATTAGTTATTAGATATTATCATTAATTTGTATAATTTATCTGTATTAGTGTTATGTACTATTTGTACGTACTAGTATTATGTAGTACATTAATACTAATACCCATTATATATTATTGGTACTATTCTTATTTATACTGCTAAATTTGTTAGTCATTATATATTATCACAAAAACAGTATAATTTATCCGTACTAGTGTTATGTACTATTTGTACGTACTAGTATTATGTAGTACATTAATACTATTACCCATTATACATTACTGGTACTAGTGTTACTTATTACTGTTACATCTATTAGTTATTAGATATTATCATTAATTTGTATAATTTATCTGTATTAGTGTTATGTACTATTTGTACGTACTAGTATTATGTAATACATTAATACTATTATCCATTATACATTACTGGTACTAGTGTTACTTATTATTGTTAAATTTATTAGTTATTAGATATTATCATAAATTCAGTATAATTCATTTGTATTAGTGTTATGTACTATTTGTACGTACTAGTATTATGTAGTACATTAATACTATTACCCATGATACATTACTGGTATTAGTGTTACTTATTACTGTTACATCTATTAGATATTATCATTAATTTGTATAATTTATCTGTATTAGTGTTATGTACTATTTGTACGTACTAATATTATGTAATACATTAATACTATTATCCATTATACATTACTGGTACTAATGTTACTTATTATTGTTAAATCTACTAGTTATTAGATATTAATCATAAATTCGGTACAATTCATTTGTATTAGTGTTATGTACTATTTGTACGTACTAGTATTATGTAGTACATTAATACTATTACCCATTATACATTACTGGTACTAGTGTTACTTATTACTGTTACATCTATTAATTATTAGATATTATCATTAATTCAGTATAATTTATCTGTATTAGTGTTATGTACTATTTGTACATACTGATATTATTTTATGTAGTACATTAATATTAATACTAATTATATATTACTAGTACTAGTGTTACTTATTAATGCTAAATCTGTTAGTTATTAGATATTATCATTAATTCAGTATAATTCATCTGTATTAGTGTTATGTACTATTTGTACGTACTAGTATTATGTAGTACATTAATACTAATACTCATTATACATTAGTGGTATTAGTGTTATTTATTATTGTTAAATCTGTTAGTTATTAAATATTATCATTAATTCAATATAATCTATTTGTACTATTGTTATGTACCTTTTAAGCAAATAATCGCATTTTCAGAATCTGAGTCAAGCAAAAAATTAGATTTTCAAAATAAGGCCATAGGGTTTAACTTCGATTTTCCAAATCCGAGTGTTACTTATACTCGGATTACCAAACTCCGAGTGTAACCTATATACGGATTACTAAAATCCGAGTGCAACATATACTCGGATTACCAAAATCTGAGTGTAACATATACTCGGATTTAGGGTTTAGGGTTTAGGTTCGGATTTCTAGAATCTGAGTTTATCAGGGAAACATGGAAGATTCGGATTTCGGAAATCCGATTCGTGTCCAAAAAATTACCAACACTTGTACAAAAAAAATTTTCTCCAAAAATTAATATTTTAATCATAAAGTCGGATTTTAGAAATCCGAATTCTGATTAATTATGTCAGATTAAAAATTTACTTAGTTTTAATTTTAATTAAAATGAATTTCGATTTTCAAAATCCGTTTTCTATTGAATTTGGAATACTGAAATCTGAATTTACCCCGGATTCGGATTTTAGAAATCCAGAGGATATAGATTTGTCCACACAAATTTTAAAAAAATTAATTTGGTCTACCGTTTTTTTTAGAAAATTTTTTCGGTCAAAAACTCATTTGAACAGTCGTCAATCAAACAAAAGCTACTATAAATGGAAGTTGCTCGAACTTCAAATTTTTTTTTTTATATATACTGGAAAAGCAATTAATAATGCTTAGTTTACAAAACATCCTTGTGGGGAGGATTTGGGCTATCAGATGCGAGTTTGCCTAATATAGTTGACGGTGGTATTGCCAAAAATATGTAACCATTCGGGGGTTGAGGGGGGGTTGGAACTTCAAAATTGGTTCCTATTAATGGTTGCCGCCACAATGACGCAGATATAGTACCAATTACCAAACCATACGAGGAAATATAACTGCTTTACTGGAATATTCAAGTAAAAAATTAGCAACTGGGCATCTCTCCACCTATTTATCACCAAAAAAACATAATCCAAAGGAAACTTCCTAAGTCCCGGTCACAAGTGGTGAAAATATTGGCTGTAACCCAAAAACAAAAACAAAATAAAAAGAAAATTAAAAAGCCTATTATATTTCTATCAAGTTAAAGGTCTTGTGGTTGTAGGACAGAAATAATAAAAAATTTATTTTGCAGGATCAAAAACACGTAAAATTTTTATTATTATTTTTTTAAAAAAAAAAATCGGCGAGGGAAGGGACTGCCATTGTTGGTTCCTCTAACTCTGCGGGTTTCAATATGAAAATGATCAAACTATTAAAGAAGGAATATCCATATATATTACATCAAAATTATGTGATTTTACTAATTACGGCCAGTGATATATACACTTTTTTTTTTTTTTTTGGAAGAGGTAACAGTTGAGTTGATTAGAATGGGATGAATATTATTTTACTGGCTAAGAAAATCAATTGACAGAAGCCAATCCATTGATTTTTGGACATGAATGATGAATTCAAATGCTCCTATAAATAGTTTATTTACACACATAAGAATGTTTTCACAGTACACGCGCACAAAAGTACAACCGAAAACATGTGCCCCCTGAGGTACAAATTAGTAGAAAACAAACCTGAATTTGGACACATTTGTGTGTGAACAAATCGATCTCATACTAATATCAATTCATCTGAGGAGATATATATGCATCTGGAACAGTCATGATTCTTATTTTCTTCTTTTTTTTTTTTTTTTCTTTTTTGGAAAATTGTGAGTGAGCACGTTCATGTACGCAATACCTTGCGTACCTTCGGGCTACGTGTTCTTTTATTTTCGTTACGGAATTCAAACCCATGCAATATGGAAGCTTCTAAGATTTAGCTATCCGATAATATTGATGAATAATAAGAAATTAAAGCTTCGTGATGAACAAAAATATATACTAAGATTGAAAGCGGAGCTTGATCGTGTATATCGAGAAGCCGACTTTGCGGAGCATTATATGACATTGTTAGTGACTCAAGGTTCAGATGTCTATAATAGTTCAAAGTTTCGTCATCGAGGGTACGTTAGAAATGTATTAATCTAACCTTTAACCTCCTTTCTTTATATATAAAAAAATATATATTAGAGAAGTCCATATATGACATCAAACTCGATTTAGAGTGATAGAGTTAGCATTTTTGTCTAAATTTAAAGTGAACGTTCTTCCAGAAAATTAATAAATTGAAATATATATACACTGAGGGAGAAAAAAAAAGAGGACGAACTCATGAATCCATTTGTCATCTCGTGGAGTTCATTTTTCCTGACGGTGCCAAGTGCCAACCGGTCCCATACAAATTATCACCGAGAAATTATCACACTCTCCAAATGTCTCGTAACTAAACAAATTTATTTACATGATAAGGTATCAATTTTTTTTTCCAAAGAAGAAGTAAATATCTTTACACATAAGTTCAACTATTCATTGTGTTCATCCAATTTAAATGTAATCAACCTAATTTTCTCTTTCTTCTCGCCATGCCAATACATAAAAAAAAATGATCATATCTCAACCAATTACAGCATTAATTAAAATGTTAGAGAGTTAACATAATCAATCTATAATACATATAAGGAATTTCATCATCATCATCTTCTTTTTTTTAAAAAAAAAAATGCATAATTTACATTTTTGACAAAAAAAAAAGAAGACAAAGAATACATAATACTACACTATCACATAGTTTCGACTTGCAGAGAATGCATGAGTTATTCACCTTCCACATACTATATTAACAACACAAAGATCGATAACCATGCAAGCAAAAGTAACTAAAAAATGTAAGTTAAATTAAGCAGTGACGGAACGAGAATTTTCAAATCGGGGGTCAAAAATAGGATTATTCAATCGTCACCGTAGGATCGAACTGGAAAATTTTCAAATAACGGACACCTTACTAAGAAAAAATTTGGCCAAATCTGGCCAGCCGAGGGGTCGATCGACCACCCTGACCCCCTTTAAATCCGTCACTGAAATTAAGTGAAGCGATTTACTATCTTTCTGTCTCAAAATTAAGATATGTATAAATATTTTTATTTTGAGACGGAGTTTGGAAGATATATCTATATAATAATGTAGAGCAAAAGAAGGTGAAAAGAGGCTTTATTGTGAGATTTGAATCTTGTCCAGAATCGTGAAGGTGGAGATACTGGAATTATGGATACGTTGGGGCTGCTTGACGTGGAAAGCAGGCAACTCCCATTGTTTCCCAGCTCCCAAACCCCAAAATTAAAAGAACGATTTTTTACGCGTTTTTGCCTTTTAGAGGGCTTCTCTATGTACTACCCCCCATTAAGGCATTCACAGTAACTTTCTGAGTCACCAAGTTCTATTAAATTTTCATAAAGTTTGACCCTTTTTTTTCTGTTTGCCTTTTCTCTTAATTCATCATCTTTCCAGTCAAAAATAATAATTTGCATGTGTTTTGGTTTAAATGTTTCTTAGGGGTGAAGCTTCCATCACTTGTTCGCTCGCAATATATTCATACATTTAATTTACTTTTTTCCTATCATCAAAAAAAGTAAGTGAACAAAAAGGAATAACAATTTTCCAAGAGAAATAGGTTCCCGTCTCATTTTAATACTTTATATTGTTATAGTGTTTTGTATAAAATATAATAATCATTACCATCCTCGAATTATTAAAATAGAACGGTAAGAGTACTGATTGAGTATTTGTGATCATGCATTTTTGGCTATTAAATCCCATCCTAATTATTCTTTCAATGCCGACATGCAGTCGAAACAAGAGTATGAACTATGTAGCGATATTTTACTTACTTGATGAAGATTTCAATTGTTTGGCGGTGGCCGGCCGGAACTAATTCTTTGTCAATGAAACATACACATTCCAACTCTTATATTTTGAAATGTAAAAGAATATTACTCCCTCTGTCCAAAAAAAAAAAAAATAGCCCACATTAAGTTTTGAGTACTGTTTTTAGTACAAATTTGAAAACTCAATGTGAATTTTTTTTGGGACGAAGGAAGTAGTAAGATATTTGATCGATCTATAAGTTAAAAATGTGGAAAAGTTTGTCATGCAAAATAGTATGCCTATATATGGGTCATTTGTTAGAATAAATGAAATAAATTAAATGACTAGTTGTTGTTATAAATTAATCCAAAATTGAGAGGGTCAAAAGCAGTTAAAGGAGCTTGACTTAGCAGCTAAGAAAAAGCGTTTACATGTCGATGGGAATACTACTACTTGAGAAAACATGCCGTATCCTTAATTAGAAAACAAAAATACAACAACAATATTGCTGTCAAACCACATCATTAAGAATACTCCCGATATAAATTAATTTTGCACGTTTCAATCTACACTTTTGTTAAGTTTTCTATATCCGATTAATGATTCAATTATCAACATACTATTATTATATGATCATTGACTACTTCTCATTAGTCGTGTACTCCATCCCAAATTTGAATAATGCTATTTCATCCCTAAGAAAAATAATACTCCCTACGTCCCATAATTATTGTCCAGTTTGAGTTTTCATTTCTAGTTCAAATTGAACTAAAAGTAAAATCTCAAACTGGATAATAATTTTGGGACAGAGGGAGAATTAATCTTTGCGTAATGAATACTCCTATATATATATAATATCAATAAGAAAAAGAGAACTCTACTACATTTCCATTTAAAAAAATAATTTTTTAAAAAAGAATATAAACTTCTGCACTTTCAGAAATTGAACTTATTATAAATATCGTAACTTATAATTTAATATGAAATTAAAAAAAATTTATTTTTTAGGGAGCCGATCATTGTTTGATTAGATCCTCACAAGGGACTTTTTTTCCCTCTTAATATTCCATGTAAGTCATAATACCTTCCTCCCTCACCCCCCAAATGTCCTTAGTACAAGACATTTTGATTTGTTTTAAATTTCACATAATTTTTTTAATTTTAAAAAAATCTAAAAAAAAATCTTAATAACTGTAAAAATATAATTTTAAGGTATTTTTCAATTAAAAAATATTAAATATAATTTAGAACAAATCAAAATAATTTATAATAAAAATACGGATGGAGCATTTAGTAATCGAGAGCAATGTGATTAGGCCACGGAGTAAATAAGACACACAAACACCGGATTAAAAAGGACAGTTGTCCACTAAGCTGTTCCCTTTTTTAATTGAGAACTTAATCGTAAACCACAAAAATTTTTATAAAAATCTTACTACCATACTATAAGTAAAAAAAAACATCGGATAAAGGGAAAACAGATCAGCATAATTAAAACTTAACCACGTTGTTTTGGTCTTATACGCTTACCGGCAACTGTCCGAGGTTGCCGGTTAGAGCCTGAGTATGGCGGTGTCATGCTCTCTCTATAAATATCCATTTCCCTTCACTTCCTCGTTTCCATCATCATCAACCGTCCTGCATCCTTCCTGCTGATTCCCTCAAATTCTCCGATTTTTTTTTTTTTTTCAACTTCTTATTTTTTCTCAATTCTGTAATAAAATTCCAAAAACTCCTAACTCTGATAGATAGACAGAAGAAACATCGGGAATCTTACACACACGGTTGAAGCTTACCCAGAGATTGAGGAAACAGAGCAGCAAGCCCAGATTATTATTAATGGCGGTGGATTTACCCAACCAATCAAATGGGGATGCCATTCCTCTGTACGATTTGCCAGAAGGGTGCATTGCCAAAGCCTTATCCCTCACCAGCCCCAGGGACGCATGCCGGCTTTCCTTGGTTGGTTATACCTTCCGGTCGGCCTCCCTTTCCGACGACGTCTGGGAACGGTTCTTGCCTACCGATTACCGGGATCTCCTCAGCCGATCGGAGGAAGGTTTGGATTTATTGCGCTCCGGTGTGTCCAAGAAGGATTTGTATCTTCATTTGTGCGATAATCCTGTTTTGATTGACGGTGGCAACAAGGTAACCTTTTTTGGCCTAATCTAAATTGGAAAAAATAATAAATAAAAGAAAGTTTTTGGAATTTTGTTATTGATTTTTTCGATAATTCTGTGATGTATTGTGGGTAAATTGTGTGGTTCGATTTAGTTTCTTGTTTTCGGATTAGTGAATCAAATATGGGATCGAGCTTCAACATAGGGTGTAAGTACTCACAGAATTTGTTTGATGATTTCTGCCTTTGGAGTTTTTTTGTAATTTTAGGTGTAAAAGTTACTTTTCTGGGGGACTCTTTTCGCTTGAAATGTTATCCAGATAGAAACACTTTTTGTACGGAGAAAAGGAAAGAGTGAGTGTAGGTGTGACTGACCGCTGGGGATAGCTTTGATTTCTGGGTGTCCAAATTCCTTGCTCCTGCATATCAGACATTGTCTGTTGTTCTATTGCTTTTTCTTGTAAGTCATTGATGATGGCAACTAAACTAAAATGCTCTATGATATTGCCTTTCAGAGTTTCTCTCTGGATAAATCTAGTGGTAAGAAATGCTTTATGTTGGCTGCAAGGGACCTCTCAATTGTGTGGAGTGATACCCCTGCTTATTGGAAGTGGATTCCTCTGCCGGAGTCCAGGTACTTAGAAATTCTAAAGTTCTTCCATTAGAAATTCAAAATTTGTCCTCCATTCCTTTACCTTACATATGTAAGGCAGGTGAAATGCTTGTACATGACTGACTCCACCAATGTAATTAAACTATGTTCCAGGTTCAATTTGGTGGCTGAGCTCGTGATGGTATGTTGGCTTGAGATTCGAGGTGCTATAAAAGCGAGCATGCTCTCACCTGACACCAACTATGCCGCTTACCTGGTATTTACTAGGAAATCAGGATTCTACGGATTTGATCATCCGCCTGCAGAGACTTCCGTAGGGTTTAGTGGACAAGAACACAAAAAACACGACGTTCAGTTTGATCCCGAGGGAGCTGAGGAAATAAGACGTGCACGAATGGTGCCGAGATGGATGAGGCGTCGGTTTAACTTCCGTCAGCCTGGGGTAATGGGGGAGGCTTACCACCACCAGCCAGGGATTGGGGGCCAACCGGAGGGTGAGATCAATACATCTGCTCGCATTGCGAAGCGGAGAGCTGATGAATGGATGGAGGTTGAGTTGGGGGAAGTATTTATAACCGGAGGTGAAGATATGGACGTCGAGATAAGCTTGTTGGAAGTGAAAGGGGGAAACTGGAAAAGTGGTCTGGCTATTGAAGGCATTGAGATTAGGCCCAAGGAGAGGAAATGATTTATTGTGGGATTCCTGTCTCTGCTTAAATAATGCCTTATGTTTCCCTTTTTTTTTTTTGTTTGTCAGCTTATTGGGTTATCCTTTTTTCGCTCTGTCCCTGAGAAATTTATTCTTGTAGAAAACTAGTATGCCGACGATAATCAACAAACGTTGACGAAGCAGAGTATATTCATCCTCGGCCTCTTGTACTAAGAATCTCTTTTCCTAAAAGATGGTACTCGTTATGGTTCTTTGAATGGAGCAAAGTGAAGGTGATGGTGATTACAGATGCCTAAAGTAGTAATTGCTGTTTCAAGAGCATTATAGAGCTCAGTTTTCTAATTTCTCATATCTTTGACAATCTTTCAAGTAAACACTTTGTAACTAGACCATGCTTTTTGGTGTTGAAGGAATGCATTCTTTATTTGAGAATCCCAATTGTATGATGTATTCTTTATTTCTTTGGAATGTACAGAATTATGATTAGAGAGCTAAAAACTGAAAACTTTCCAGGCCATTGCCATTTGCCAGCTACCATTATTTGTTGATATCGGCCGTGTCCACAGTACAGTGAAGGAAAAAGGCCTCTAAAATTTGTAATTCCATTATGCGATGCTTCGTATTTTGAAGTTAATGGCTTTTAAAGGTACAGCATTCAGCAGTTGTAAACAAAAAAAAAAGTGTGCTTTTGGATGATGTATATACAGAGCACATTGTGAAAACTCTCAGTTGGCTTTAAAGTTCATTGAACTGTTTACTGAATTACTGCATCTAAAAAGACTTGCACACTTGAGTTTTGATGATTCATTCAGCGGTTGGAATCTCATGAATAGCTGCCGCTGTCTATTTGGTTTTTTTTTTTGGTACAAGATGCGGAGGCCTAGGTTTAGGCCTAATTTATACAAAAACGTTCCTGGAATATGAAATTCTGGCTACATCATGGCGCAATCACATAGTGACCTGTGGGGGGAGAGGGGGATGGTCTAACTTCTTGACACTCCAATCGTCTTGTTCTGTCCGGCGAGACAATCGACGGTAAAGTTCGCCTCCCGATGGACATGATCCAAAACTGTCAACCACTCTCTCCAAAGTAGCTCTCCAATATTTTTCACCAGTGCCTCATTGACCCCAGGCGTGCCGTCTCCTCCTTGATCAACTTCACTGCTTCCAAGCTATTTGTTTCCACCTGGATCCTTCGAATTCCCTTGTCCCAAGCTAATAGCAGGCCCTGCCACAGCCCCCATAGCTCCGCTCCTATTAGAGTAATAACCCCATTGTTTACTGTAAAACCTTGCACCCAATTGCCCCTGTGATCCCTGATTAAGCCCCCTGCTCTTGCCTCTCCTGTTGACGGATCATATACTCCATCGGTATTCAACTTAAACCATCCCAATGGAGGGGCTGTCCAGCTTATCAGGACTTGCTGCTTGGCTCTTGGTCCACCCACCCTCTCAATCCGGGTCGCCGTTGTGCCAATTTCCTCTACCTTTTCATAATCTCTTTAATCATAAACCCCAGAGAGTGGCGCACATACGAAAAAACAACCTCATTTCTCCACTGTCATAATTTCCATACAGTCACAGCAAACATTTTACTCCATCTCCCACCACCTTTCGATCTCTCCTTCATGAGATTATTCATCAGCCACTCATTAATCCCTTCTGTAAAAAAGTACCGAACCATGTTATTCATTAATAGATGCTCCCATACCTATTTCGAGTAGAAGCAATCCCTAAATACATGGATTAGGGATTCGTCCTTCATGTTGCAGCGTGGACATAGAGCTGAATCTCCAATGTGCCTCTTACTTCTTTCCAAATTTGTCATCAGCCTCCCCCTGGCTATCAACCAAAGGCATGTTCAGATTCTTTCTGGTCCCAGCCAAGACCAGATTGCTCTCAGATTGGCAATTGACGCTAGCTCTGCTCCTCCTCTACCACGGCATAGGCGGATCTGGTGGTGAACGACCCATTCCCTGATGGTGGCCAACAACACTTATCGGGGCCTCTCTCCGGTGTTGGCGGTAGTATCGCCATAATTTTCATGACAGCTCTGGCCGGTAGCAAGGCTTGGAACTTGTCCCAATTCCATGCTCCATCTTGATTGAAAAACATGCTTACGCTCTCCTCCAGCTGCTCCCCTGAAATCGCCCCAATAGCCAACTCCTCCAATGTTTTATCCCCTGCTACCCAAGGATCCCTCCAAAACCTTACCATCCGGCCATCATTCACAACTCACATATTCCCCTTAATAAGTGGTTGCCAGATCTTAGTAATAGACATGCAAACCATTGAACTATTGACCGGAGTCAACGGTCCAAATCTCGGTAGCCCAAATCCTCTATATTTTGCAGCAAACACCTTAACCCAGAGGGTGTTGGGCTTAGTTAATAAAACCCATCCCAACTTCATGATGAGGGCTTTATTCATGGACTTCAACTTCTTGACTCCCAGCCCACCTATATGTTTCTCTTCACAAATCTCCTCCCAACACACAAGGTTCATCTTACGGTTGTCTTCATCCCCTCCCCATAAAAACCTCTTAACCCCTCAATCTCATAAGAAGTTTTTTCCGGCAACATTAAGGTCTGCATATTGAAATAAGGCAGTGTCGACAAAACTGACTTAATCAATGTTAGTCTACTAGCCAGGGACAGAATGGATGCCGCAAATTTTTTCAAGGTGGCCCAAACTTTCTCCGTTACTCCAACAAAGGTCTCCTTCGTTATCTTCCATGCAGCAAAGGGGTGCCAAGATACTTCCCTAAGTTGGAGACTTTCATAAATCCCAACTGCTCTGCTAGAGAATTTCCCTTTTGCCTTTCCACATTGCCTGAGAAGAAGACTCGCGTCTTTGGCTCGCTAATCTTTATTCCCAATGATTGGCAAAAATATTCTAACACCCTCTTCAATAACACCACTTGTTGGTCAGAGGCTTCCATGTAAAGAATGATATTATCTGCAAAAAACAAAAATGGTAATTACAGCTTATAGCGGCCAAAAGTAAGCGGTTTCCACCGTCCGGACTTTACATATTTACATATAGCATGCCCTAATCTCTCTATACAAAGTACAAAAAACAGGGAGATATTGGGTCCCCTTGCCGGATCCCTCTTGTTGGTTTGAATTCCGCCGAAGCTACGCCGTTCCATTGAATTTGCATTGAAGCCTTAGAGATGCAATTCATCACTCCATCCACTATCCAAGCTAGGAATCTCGCTTGCTCCAATGTATCCACAATAAAATACCATTTGATCATGTCATAGGCCTTCTCCAAGTCGATTTTTACTGCCATGAACCCCTATATTGCGATCTGGTACAAAGCTCACTTGAGCTGGCCCAATTAATTCCCGTAACACGGATTTAATCCTATTAGCTAGGAATTTGGTAATCACTTTGTAAACTACGTTACAAAGGCTAATTGGGTAGAATTGGCGGATTGACTCCGGTTGCTCCACTTTCGGGATGAGCACTATAAGAGTTTTGTTCACTGGCTCAACATTTTCTTTCTCATTAAGCACTCCTTTCACAAACTTACAGACGGACTACTTCACAACCGGCCATTACTTTGGGAAGAAGACGGCGTGTAGCCCATCCAGTCCCGGAGCTTTAAGTGGGCTCATCTCTTTTAAGGTTGCAGCTATCTCCTCCTTATCGATGTCTCTGCTCATTCGAATCATCTCCTGATTATCAATTGGTGGGAAGCAATTTCTACAATTGTATTGGACCGACTCCGACAGTGGTGCTGCATACAGGTTTTTCAAGAACTCAGTTGCTATCTCTTATAAGCCCTCCTGATTTTCCACTATCACACCATCATCTTTCTTCAAAGCATTAATTCGGTTTCGGCTTCTTCTCCTCTTGACGAAAGAATCTCGTATTCAAGTCCCCATACATCGTCCAGTTTCAATTCGCCTTCTGCAGCCATAATACCTCTTCTTGCACAAGTAACTCATCCAATTCCTTATTCAGGATGACCTCCAATTCATCCAACTTTGCAGAATTGTAGTTCTCCTGGGCTCATTGGATCCCACCCAACCTAGCAAGGATTCTCTTCTTCCTTTGAAAGATGTTGCCGAAGGTATTGGTATTCTACTTTTCTGCTTCCACCACAAAATTGGATGCTGCTTCCATGAAAGTCTCCGTCGGATGCCAACTCTCACATACCCATCTGTCAAAGTCATCGTGCAGCAGCCACGACGCAAGAAACCCGAAGGGTTTCTTTCTCCCATTCCTCCAAGACTGTTTTTTGCATCTAACCATAATAGGATTATGGTCCGATTCTACTCTGGTGAGATGGATTGAAATCGCCTCCGGAAAACAGTCATGCAATTTTTCGTTGCACAAGAAACGATCCAACTTCTTCAGCAACCCAACTCTTCTATGTGTACTTTGAAATAATTGACGAAAGTTCCTGTATCTCTTCCGCCATTATCCAGTTAACAAAATGTTGACAAGCTGCAAGTTCCCTGATTGAACCCCCCCCTTTCCGTTTCCCTCATAATACAGTTCATATCCCCACCCATTAACCAAGGCTTTGATATCCCAGTAGCAATTCGGCTTAACTCCGGCCACCAGACCTCTACGAATGCTCTCCGTTGGGCTAGCATATATAAAGGTTGCCAGAAAAGTCTCCTTGTCTCTGCAAATTCTAGTATGAATGTATTAATGGTGGCATTCTAGTACTTCCACCTCTATTACTTCATTCCACAACAACCATACCCCCCTGAAAAGCCACTGGCCTCCACCCTAAACGATCGTTGAAACCGCCGGCCATGGATAAAGTCATCCGCCTCCTTTCCGCTTATTGTAGGCTCTGAAACCGCTACTAAATCTGGTCTATTAACATCGACCATCAAGTCAAACTTCTTCTGAAACCTTTTAGATTGTGCACCTTACACGTTCTAAGAAATAATGGTCGTATTCATTAAACGACTATTATTTTTGGGGCAAACACACCATATTGATCACAGGATACCGTCATGCCATCGGCGGCGCCTTCAACCATCTGACAACTCTCCTCAACTGGGGGGATACCCATCGAATCCGTTCCGTCATTCACCAGCAACATCTCCTCTAGTGGCTCCAGTGAGGAGCAACCGGCTGATGAATTAGAAAGACTCGGGTCATCCTCCATTCTGTCACCCATGTTGGGGGTTTTGGTTTAATCTTTACAGTTTGGTGTTTTTTTGGGTTAAGGGTCGGGGCTTGGATAATATTGGGTCTAAATTATGGTTGGATGACTTGGGAAAGGCTGATACTTTCCAGGGTTTGGGCTTGTTGGGCAAGGTGGGCCATTGTGTTTCCTGGATGGGCTATGTTTGAGGCTGATGGGCTTTAGGTTATCTGGTGGGTCTCAAGGCTGGCATTTATGGGCTGGCTGGGCTTGGATTTACTCGATTTGGGTTTGTTTTGGCTCTGACTGGGCACTTTTGACTTGGGTTCCACCGAGTCTACTGATTTCCAATCTTTACCCCTAGCTGACTTGTCACATACACTTGATTTCCTAGTTCTCAACACCCACTATTGTGGGCCTGTACTTTCGTTTTTTTTCACTTTTGTCTGCTACTTTGCCCATATCAGCCACCGAAGTCAACTGAGGTCCCTCTTCTTCTTCGTGAAGTCCTTGTAATGCGTCAAACCTCGATGTCTGCACAACCTTGTTGATGTCTGTATTATTCACGGGTGCTGTATTTGTCTGCGACTTGGGTCTGCCACATGCAGGCACTGGGAACCATTCACCCTGGGATTAGTGGGATGCCCGCTGTTGCTCTTTTTCGCCGGAGCCACCGTCCAACTTCCACTATGTTGGGGCTTCACCACCTTCGGTGTTTGGGTAGGAAAGTAGGGGCAATTTCCGGCCTGATGGCCTACCCGATTGCAGAATGCATACAAAGGGGCATGTTCTCGTACTCCACTCTCTGAATTTCGCCTCTAAAATCAATCCGGGACACCAAAGGTTTGTCTAATTCTACTTCCACTGCTAATCTCGCAAAAAGGCCCCTTGTTCTCGCCGCCGTTTGGCCATCAATATGCACCACCCTTCCTAATGCTTTTCCAATCCTCCTACAGAACACATTGTTGTAGTAATGAACAGGAAGTCCAGGAAGTTTTGCCCACACAATCGTAGCCTTCATCATACTGGTTGCCGCATCAAACATATTGTCCTATGGCTGGACATGCAGGTATGTGTGTAAAATAACCTAAGGCCCTTCTGTCAACACTCTAATAATATCTTTCCTACTTCTGAATTTAATCAGAAAATAGTCTCTGACCTGATCCATGATGGCGATGCAATCCTTAATCTGCCATAGATCTGGGAGCCAGTGGCAGAGTGTCTGCAGTGTTATTGACTTCCTCATTCGCTTGAGGACAATCATGTCTTTCCATTGATCTGAGAGTTGATGTTCCATTCTGTCGGAGACTTCCACCTTCTCCGTCGCTCCCTCCTTCGTGACAACGACAACCTCTTCCAGAATCTCAATCTCATCGTCTACGTCGAACAGGGAGTAGTCTAGGCCTCCTAAAATCTTATCCCTAAAACTCATAGGGATAGGATACGTGTTGTATTCGCCTCCAAACTTAGGCTTCTTAGACGATCTGCTTTCAAATGTAGAAGAGATATGTGCTTGTTGAGCTTCCTTATGTGGCGGTGCTGGCGCTCCGTCACCATCAGGGTCAAAGTTGGGCGGAGAAATATTCATTTTTGAGAGCAGAATTTCTAGAGAGAGAATCTAGAGAAAGACAGTAAATTGTTGTCTATTTGGTTTCTTTAGTATCGAAATGTTGTCTACCGATAAAATTTCAACACAAAATTAAATAAGATGTTTTGGAATCATTACGGGTGGCAAGCATTTGATATTCCATCTACTCAAAATAGTGAAGCTACTTTATTTTGATATTCCATCCATCTCAAAATGCTAAAACCACATTTTAGAACCGAAAATATATTACTCTTCTTAATTTTGTACTTGAAAAGTAAGAAGTAAACAATGGTATTATAATATTCCGAAATGCGTTAAAAATGCGAATTCAAGATAATAATTTCTTTAAGGACTGGAGAAGGATTATGACATTTGGTTAAAAATGGTGCATTTCAACCTGTGCTTCCTTTCAGGGTGTTCACACTTCACAGCTTTGCCCAAAGGTAAAAAGATAATTACATGGTAATCATCGGAGGCATAGCCGAGTGAGTCATGAAAGCCACTTCACTCGCCGGCCGTATTCTTCCTCCGGCACTCCACTCCCGGTCGGCGATTCTTCGCAACCCATCAGATTCAATCCCGGTTGTTCATTTCTCCAAGCTCCACACTTCTTTATTCCCTTGTCGGTGTGAATTCAGACCCTTTCGTGGTATCTTCACTGTTTGCTCCTCGAAGTTGCCCTCCGTAGATTCCAATGTTGCTGGAAGGGACTCTAACAATCTCGAATCCGAGGCTGATTTTAACGTTGAAGAAGTTAGGAGCTCTGTTGTTCCAGCCAACGTTCCGTCTCCTTCTCTGAGCTTGAGTGACCAGGCTTTCTTTCTCTTGTCCTTTATTGCTTGCACGGTAACTACTCGTACAGTTCAACCCTTTTTTTTGCCCCCCTTTTAATTTTAATCTGCCCCATACCCATTATTGTAATTCAGCTCAAATAAAAAGTTTTAATCTTTTGGAGTTTTCGTTCGTGAATATTGGTGGTCAATTGGGCCATTTGATTTCTCAAATATTACTGATTTTCTTATATACTCACGAGTGCCTTAGTTCTTGAGGAATTTCTGTTTGATCACTTTTGTGGTTCTGTATTAGATTCAATGTTAGGTGCTTTCTTTATTGGAGATTTATGTCTCATCAATGGTGCGAATTCATTTACTGACTAGAAGTCATCCACCTGAATTGAGAAGTAGAGTTCTGGGATTTTCTTTACTTGTTTGTCTTTATGGACATTCTTTTAATTTTGATCATTTTCAGACTGTTGCAGCAATGGTTGGTTTTGTTGCTGCCGCCGTTCCTGCCATGTTTGTAAGTTTCTTTTATCTCCCTTTCATTTTCATTTACATTCGAATGTTCTTATTTGTGCTTTGGATGCATCTGGAAGTAAGTTATTGAAAGAGCTTGAAATGCAATCGATGGTATTTCCGGAAGAATTATTCGGTGTTAAAAACTGCTGTGCAGGGAATAGGCTGGCTGAATTGAAAACTAATGAGATAGGCAAACCCTAGCTTTACGGATTTAAGAAAGACATAGTCTTCACAGCTTAAAGCTTAAAATTATAATATCATCAAAATGTGAATCACAACTGCTGTAGGACCTCCCTGTTTATAGAGATGTCTCGCTTATTCCTTAAGCTTCTACTAGCATTGCCTAACGTAATATAGCAAATACAAAAGTAAAAGGAAACTTAATTCTAAGAAGATTCCGGCTATTTTCCTAATACCTGATATGAAGCTAACTATATTTCTCTTACCTTCCTGCATCATGCTGGCTTATTATTTTGGAAAATTTGGCATGAGTAGAGGTTGATGTATTTATTGACAAGGAGACCGAAACTTTATACTGCATTCTTCATCGTGTTGGGAGGTGGCTATTGTTCATCTCGAAGATATGAAATTTGTGAAACGCTCAGTTTCTTTTCCTTTTGTTGTAGGCAATGCGCCGCTCAGCTATAGCTCTTGCAAAGCTGGCTGTTGAATTACGCAAAGAGATGCCTAGCACGATGGCTGCTGTTAGAGTCACTGGCATTGAAATTAGTGATCTGATCCTTGAACTGAGTGAACTGAGGTATGTTGTAAAATACTGTGGTTAGTGCCGATGCATTGACTAGTTGATGAATGGAAATAAAGAACCAATTGCTTTTTGATTTGTGTTGAGCAGATTGTCTATACTTTCATCTGTTCCTTTGTTAAAAGCTCTCATCATCAATGTTATTAATACATAAATACTAGTATCAGCATTGATGATTTTATGGTGCACTTCCATTATATTGCATTAGATTGCATGAATATTCCGGTATGATGCTAGTATATCTATTGTGGGATTGCATTTTAGTTTCATTTACATATTTAAATGATTTTCTTTCCACTACAGGGGTTAAGTGTGTTAGTGTTCATTATGTGGATATCCAAAGCAAAAGCTACATGTAACGCTGGCTAAGTGATGAAAGTTTATCATTATGATTTGTGTGCTTGTTTGTATAAGTTTGAAGTTTCGACCTTTTATTTGGAGAAAATTATAAAACCACACTGACATCCTAAAAACAAAAGGTCAACCACCTCGCTCTACTGATCTTGCAACTCCTAATCTTTAGGTTAACCATATAAAATAACAACCATATCTAAGCCTTTATACTAAGTGGAATGGCTATATGCATCATATGTCTTTGTTATCTGGCCCATTTTCATGTTGTGTGGCAAGGTTTTTCTGTTAGCTGCCCCCCTATTGGAACCTTCCTAATTCCGGGTTTAGAATTGAAATCTGTCCCAAGTTTAAATATACATTATGGGATTAAATTAATTTTTCTGCGGTGGACAATAACAGTTTCAGGGAGCGTTATATTAATATTGCAACTAATATGTGGACTAAAAAGTCTAAAATGATGCATGCCGCTGCATGGCACTTATGTGTCTGTTAAGAAACTACGGTTTGGTGCTTGTTTCGCTTGCCTTTCCTTTTTCCCCTGATCTCCTTTTGTACTGTAAACTTTTATTTTCTCCCTGTTTCTCTGTTCTTTCATTTGAGCTTTTATGATGCCAATACTGGTTCTGGTTTTCAGTTTCGACTTTTTTTTAATGTTGTTGCTTAGCCAAGAAATATCGGATGGGGTTAGCAAATCCACTCAAGTAGTCCAAGCTGCAGATGCTGGGATCCGACAGATTGGCTCTCTTGCTCGGGAACGGACATTATGTATGGTTACATCTATTTGGATTTCGTCCATTTTGCTGGAATTTTGTCTTGTTACCTGTTTTAGTTTGAGCCTGGTGTTAACTCTTTATGTACACAGCAATGGTTGAGGAGAGGGCAAACTTACCAGAAATCTCGTTGCAACCTGTCGTCGTTGGAGCTGCAAAGAAGACTTCTAATGCTGTAGGCAAAGCCACAAGGACATTACTGAACATCATCTCCAGACGTGAACTGATTTCAGAGAATGAAGATAGTGTTACAGAGGATGAGTTTGAAGTTTAGGAAGGTATAAGTAATCTCTAATCTCTATAGGTGCCCTCATGCATTAGAGGATCTACCCAACTGCAGAGTTGCCATAAACGAAGACGCTCAGCACAGGACTGCTTGGGTACTGAAGAACTGCTGAGCTGGGAGGGATACACGTTGCTTTGAAAAGATAATGAGGTCAAATTGACAATCAAGTTAGATTAGAACCACTGCAGTTTTTCGACTTTTTCTGTTCATATGCTGTAATGCGAATTGAACCAGAATTTTTGTATAGACCCTTCTTCATACTTCGTTTCTGGTTCATGAGAATTGATGTGTAATGATTTACTGTCATTTTATTTTATTTTATTTATTTATTTGATGAAGTCAGTGTTTCATCTCTCTTTTTAGAAGGCAAATCTATCAAACTTGCAGACTTGTAGTGCATTTTAGGCTGTTTAGAGCTGTTGTTTCAATAGTTGACACTTGACACTGCGCTGCAGACATCATCAATTGGGACATCCCCTTTTTCAGAGGACATAAGAGTAGGAGGTTTCTAGGGTCACTTTGTATTGCGGCATCTGTGGGGTCTCACACAACTAATATATGTGGCATCACTCCCTAAAGCTCTTATGAATAAGTACAATTTTCATAAAGCACCTGGTTTGTTGCTTCCTAGCTGTTGTGATGATCATCATTGTTGAAGCGAATTTGATGCTGGCTACTGCGAAACACATCTTTGTTGGTACGGGATGTATGCTTGCTAATGCAATGATCACTGTTTTATGAAACTATCGAAGGTCGCGATGATACAGACTGTTGAGAAGCAAGCTGTTAGGGTTTGGCTCATTTTAGCAGGCACCATGCAAGGAATATTTTATTTTTGAACTGGTTTAGCGAAAGGCGGAGAGTAGTATGTCACATGGGTTATTTATTCTTAGAACAAATAAATGAGAGTTCCAGAAGTTGATCGTTGGCATGTGTCCATCGTTGGATTTGAAGGGAAGTCAGTCATCGGAAGGCAATCTCAGCTATCTTTTGTCTCGCACTCCACAATGGGGGCATGGTAAGTTTTGATGGCACCGTCATCATCACCATCACCATCGCTGCAATAGTTGAAAAAACTATCGTCATCATTGTCATAGTCAATACGTTCGGGATCGGGAACGTCATAATTGACACCATTGTAGTCGTCTTCTTCTTCAACCCCATAATCAAAGGTCTGAGCATCCCCATAGTCAGCATGATCCATTTCCTTAACAGTAAAGGTCAAAAGCAGATGCCAGAAGCCGCGGTGCTAACAACTTTCTTGATGTCCACGAAGCTCATATGGTTTGTGGCTCTGAGAAACAAAAAATTGGAATGACACAGAAATTAATCAAAGGAATTCAAGAAATCATGAACAAAAGCATTCATGACACTTTAGGTTAATTACAGAAGTAAAGCTTACTTTATCTTTGTTGAGATGCATCTTGATCACAAACTGTGTTAGCCCACTTGACATGAGCATACACTACAGTCCAGTACACCTTTTGAAGGATAACTCCGGCACAAAAGGAGAGTACAGACAATAAGGAGGCACCATGTCCACATCATAACCCTAAACCACCACCAAAATACTGATTCACTCCATGACAAAAAAAAAATCAACCTAATGTATTATAATACCAAGGAAATTAATCAAAACTAAGGGGACAGTAATTTAAATCCCCAATTCAGAATTCGATAATTGAAATCATCAGAAAAAATTAAAACCCCTAGAAAAGATTAATGTTTGTTAAATTTGTCCTAATTGTTTGAATTTTTGCCAACTTCATCCAATTAATAAATATTCCTTCAAACTTCACAAACTTTTTTTTTTTTTAAAAAAAAAAAATCAAAACCATCTGTCCCAAAATTATTGTCTAGTTTGTCATTTCACTTTTAGTACAATATGAACTAAAAATAAAAATCCAAACTCGACAATAATTATAAGACAGAGGGAGTATTCACTTAATATGTTTTTTACAAGAAAACTTTCAATTACAGCGTGATATCTATCTTTCTAGTTTCATGAAACAGTTTGTAATCATCGCCGAAGAAGCATTGTCTTTGTATTTCTGTCTCTTGGTTAAAGCAGAAAAGAATTTGTTTCCCATTCCGTATACTACTATATACATAATGATAAAGACATTGAAATTGCAGGCACATACATTTGGACACTGATAAACACAAGTGAAGAGGCCTGGTTTCAGGTTTTAATTTTTAAGGACACGATCGAGTACCATCGCCTTTGATCCATCACTGGGAACCGGCAATTCCCACAAAGTTTGTTTATCAGGTGATCCCCCCCTGTACAATTTGCCTGAACAGGATTTCTCTGGGTTTATAACCTCATTTTCCGCATTTGCTAGCTTTAAAATGACATCAAGCCATAATTCGCGTGCTGAGCTTCTGCAGGGAATTCATTTCCAGCTTCATTGGTGTTCAGCATTTTCTTAAACTGGCATTACATCAATTGATCTTGAAAGTGATGATTCCGCATAGCTTTTAGTCTTCTGCAAGGACAGGATAACAGGCACAAATTTGTTAGAATGTATGGTTACAAGTTTACCATCAATTGCAGCAAAGTTCACAAAATGTACAAACTAGCTAATTAACCGTGTCTCCTTGTGTGTTCTTCAATGCCTTGTCCAACTCCTCGAATACGATGTCTATCGATGGCCGGCCATCACTTGATTTTGCAACACAGAGTACTGCAAGCTGCAATATGGACTCGAAATCAACCACATTCAAGTTCCCCTGCATCCTAGGATCTTCGAAATCTTTAAGTGGCCGTCTCCCTATACTCACATCCCTGGCCTGAATGTGGGATTTATTGATCATGAATCATGAATATGAGTTTGTAAAAATTAGCTTAAATTGAATTTTTTTGGAGATCACAGAATGTTACCTTTCTGGTCAACTGGTCTCTTGCCTCTAGATCCAACTCAATCACTTTCTGCCCAGACAGAACTTGCAGAGCCACAATGCCAAAGCTATAAATGTCACTTGCACAAGTCAATTTGGCATTGCTCATGTATTCAGGGTCCATATACCCTATGGTTCCCCTAACATCTGTATAAACTTTGCTCTCTTCCATTGCTAGAACTTTTGCCAACCCAAAATCAGAGAGCTTTGGCTCCAATTTCTCAGTCAAGAGAATGTTTGTAAGCTGTAAAACATAAAATTGCTTGAAAACTTATTCGTAGTTTTTGAGTCCTGGCAGACCCCTTAATAATCTCAAGTTCATGTTCGTACCTTGATGTCTCTATGAACAATGCACCCATCTCCGTAATGATGTAGATACCTGAGTGCCAGAGCACAGTTTCTTAGGATCTTTACCCTGTCTTCCCATGTTAGGACAGTTTCTTTCTCTGGAAAAAAGAAAGGCAAAAATCAACTTAGGATTTGTAAACTTATAACTCCCTGGTAGAAATAGAAAAATGAAAAAGGGAAAAATAGTTTACTGAGAAGATGTTGAGCCAAGTTTCCAGCCGAACAATATTCATATACTAAGTACTGTTCTCCATCTTCAATGCAATAACCAAATAGGCCAACGAGGTTCGGATGTCGAACCCGAGAAAGACCTTCGATTTCCCTACTGAAAGAGTTTGTGGTGTTAGTCTCGTGAATATGCTTAATGGCCACAACTTGCCCACTCGGTAGAACACCTTTGTAGACCACCCCGGCGCTTCCCCGGCCAAGGCATTTTCTTTCACTGCCATAGTTTATAGCTTTCTCTATCTCAGCTTTAGAGAAAGTGTAGAGGGCAGAACATGCAACCACCTCTTTGGCCTTAACCTGCTTTTTCTCTTGCTTCTTGTTGTGTTTTGTGGCATTCTTTATCAGCATTATCACTAGCATCATCCCGGTGGTAGCTAAAAGAATCGCCACAATCGCTTTTGCTAGAGAAGCTGAATCATTGGATTTTTCAGTAATGATCAGTGATTAAGTAGTAGTATAACTTTTTGCATAATATATACATGGATAATTTTTATGCAGACTTACCTTTCAACCTGATATAGCCATCTGAATCTGCGTAGAAAGTAATCAACTTCAGGGACAAAGGCCTCATAATTTAGTACTAATAGGGATGAAAGTAATGCAAATGAGTTTCTTACCTGATTTATTTAAAGCAGGCAAACATCTGAAGAAATCATCGGTTACAGACTGACCACCTGTTTCCCCTGCTGCGATTGCAGTGATTAGAGCAACTGTACAGATAAAATTTTCTGTCTTATTTTCAGTTTCACTTAGATTATTCAGGAACTTATCCCTTGCAGTTGTGAATGCTGCAGTGCAGTTTTTACACGTTTCGTTGAAGGAAGGATTGAAGGAGGAGCACTGATGGAGGGCATCTTGATAACTCGAATCCTTTGTGAAGTTGGACAATTTAAGGGCAGAACATTGACTACTTCCTTGGAAAAAGTTAGAAAATCTACAGTTTTTAATAGAAACAGATTGCTGCTGGTGATTAAAGGCAGTATCACAAGCTTCCCATTGATCTTTCTGGATGAAAATACTTCCATCTCCTGTTGTTGCCTGCCAGGCTAATGCCTGAGACAATGTATAAAGTGCATTTCTACAGCAGCTCGACCTTGGAATGCCACCCGATTCGTCGATTTTGTCGTCGAAGCCATTAATGCATTCACCACTCGGTTCATAAGGATGCGAAGTGAAGTTTAGCCCACAAGATGGAACTACACATATGCAAGTGTTGTAAAATATACTTGGTCAGAATAAATATATTCAAATTCCTGTTGTAATACAAGAAAGAAACCGAATTCTTGGAAGTGAATTACCTGAATCCGGTGACGATGATGCCGTCTGAAGCAAAAAGATTGCGAAAACGGTGCAGAGGAAGTGCGCTGTCTTCTTGGATGAATCCAACTTGGATTTCATCTGAATGCCCTTAAAAATTCCGAGGATTTTCCGGGGATGAAACAAACGGAGGCTCTTTTTAAAGAGGAAATAGTTGTGAAGTCTGAACTCGCTTATATAGTCATGGTGAAGTTCTCTAAGTTAGAACACAAGAATTTGAGTATTTTCTTGTGGCTTCAATGGCATTTTGCTTAGTGAATTACAATGCAAATTCATTCTTGATATATCCGCTTTACGTTGACATATTTGTAATGTGATGATTTTGGCCTTGTGCTTTTTTGCAATACTCTATGTGAGGTATGATCAAATTGACGTGCAGAGGAAAACACAAAGATCATTTTATTTCTTACATATACATTAAACTCGAGCTATGATTTTGAGATACAAAAGAGGTCAAATTCCTACAAGAAGCATATAACTTTTATAACTATGGTTGACACAATTTTTTTTTTTTACTTCCATCGTCTTTTATGAACATTTTTTATTTTATTTTTTTTGTAGTTTTGAAATCCATCACCAAGCAAACTTACGAAGCGTAATAACACTGAGAAGAAGATCGACTATCTGGTCTTTTTTCAGGGTAAATTTTGCTTCAACAACCTTAATCGAAAAGGTTAATTCCTCAAACGTGAGGGTAAATTTTTTTTTTCTCATGTTGAAAAAAGTAAGAACCAATCAATACTTGAATTAAAAGTATAAGAAAAGTAAATTAATAACATGATTTCATCATAAAATAACTGGATAAAACTCTAAATCAGTAATAAAAAATTTAGCTGCTCATAAATGAAAGAGTGATTCCACGTGACAAACAAGTGCGAAGACGATATTAGTATTGGCGATACCTGGAATTGTACCGCAGATTTAGAGTGGAACTCCGGTTAGGGTTTTCTGCAAAACAGAACCTCGGGCGTCTCCCGAGGATAGACACTCCGAAGCTTAAGTTAGAAAATAGGGTTATGCGCGTATATCGTTTGATAGCCAAGACAGCGTACCTTAATTGTGGAACTTGCGTCCCTATTTATAGGCTGGGAAATATAATCATTATAACCGAATCCTACTAGGGTTTAGCTACGTTGCCGCCTTATTGGAGTCGGTCGAGCCATTGACGCGGCTCTTGGGCCGGTCCAATACCGGGGTTGGATATGAATTCGTGAAGTGCCCCTGTCAAGTATTAGTTGTAAGAAATTAACAAGACTTGACAAAATGTAAACCTGACCTGGTCCGGCCCAAATTAGCCGCATGGCCCAAACCCAAAGTGCCTTGGGCAGGCTAGCTGAATTAACTCGCGGGTCAAACCCGACCCGGAAACGCGACCCGCTTCAGAATCCCGCCCAAATCCTGGAAACGTGCCCCATTAGTGCACACGTTTTCCAAACGGCGGTCGGGCAATCATAATTACCCTTAAACTTCGCCCGAAACGTCAAGTTGTGGGAGAGAGAAAAAGGAAAAAGGTTCTCTTTTTATATTAGGGAGGAATTAGAAACTTAGGCTATTCATCTTTTTTTTTCAAAATCACACCCGAAAACCTCTAAGGTCTTCTGCCCCGGCGCATCAAATTTTGCAGTCAAGGATAGAGATTTCCCATCCTCGCCGGAAACGCTTACAGCACTAGCCACCCGGAAAGCATCATCTCAGCGCTGTATACCAGATTCCAAGTAAGTTTCCTCACCCCCTTGTATGTTTGGTGCCCCTGTGTGCCTTTTGCTTTGTCTAAATCTGGTTAGATTTGCGTATATATCGGGGTAGATATGAGCGCTCAGACTGTATCCGAGTTTTCATCAACCATAAACTCCCAGGCAAAGGCCAAAGAAGTCGCCAAGCAGTATAACTTCCCCGTAGATTTAGATTATCGAGCACCACTAGATTATGAACGGGCTGATACTCCGCCAGAGGGGAAAATTACTGTGTACACTAGATTCATGTTTCTAGAGTTAAGATTCCCCTTTTTCCCTCTGTTTGGTAAAATAGTTCAGCACTACGAAATTCCACTCGCTCGATTCACCCCCAACTTAGTCACAGCTGTCCTCGGTTTTGCGAGACTCTGTGAGTTGCAGAACATCACGCCTCGACTAATAGTGTGGAGGTATTTCTTTAAAGTCTGCGTTCCCTCGACTAAGTATAAAGAATGATATAATGTAAAGACCAATATATCGTCGAAAGCAAACCATATAATAGAACTCTTCGACGGTTCCCCGACATGGAAGCCAAACTACTTATTTGTGGAAGCACCAGAAGAGTTCTGTATGGCGTGGGACTATCGTGAAACCCATGAACTAGGTGTTATAGCGGATACTTGGACAAGTTCTGACAGACGGAAAATCGAGAAGTACAGAGCTGATATTAATGCTCTGGAATCGTTCGAGACCATCCTCAGCTACACCGAAGTCTAACAATACATTCTCCCTGTCCACGTCGAGGAGAAAAAAGGTACTAACTCGTTATGGGCATTTTCTTTGTTTTAGGTCATGTCATCGAGCAAAGATACCGTTGGATTGTTTGGTGACGCCCAGATTTTTGAAATTAAAAATTCAGATGATGAGGGGTCGTCCAACAAGGTTACCAAGAAGAGGAAGTTAAGAAGGCTTGTGAAGGCGTCCGACGCGGGTGTGTCCCGTCTACTGCCAAGGAAGGAGAGGTCCCGGTGCCTGAGGACCCAATTCCCGAGACCATTCTGGTAACAGAGCGGCATCCAGAGTGGTTTAGGCCACTCGAGGCTTTGCTAGAAAAGAAGAACACTTTCGAGGACACCGATGGGTCGTCAACATACACTGTTGCCGCTGCCATATATCATTTTGGGGACACTAGGATCGAGTGTCTCATTATCGAAGAAGTCGCGACGACCTTGACGGAAGAGGAGTCGCTGAAAATGGTAAGATTTATCCAGCTGCAAGTTACGTTTTTCTTGAAACCCTGTGGTACTTTTGCTGACATCCATTATGTGTTTGTTGCAGTTGACCACCGCGATAACCAGCATCCTTATGCGAGAGAAGGCATTGAAGCAAGAGATTGCCCACTTACAACTCGCGAAGGGGCTCCTCGAGCAAGAGAAGCTATCGAGCGAGGAGTCAAGGAAGGTGGAGCAGGCCTTGAAGCTTGCTAGGGAGCAGGAGCTGGCCAAGGTTCAGGCCATGTATAAAGAGATCGAGGCCAAGCAGACAGAATATAGGGAGACTCATGTTCCCAGATCAGATTTGCAGGCATGGACGATCGCTTTTTGGGCAAGAATGGTGCCCACTGGTGGGTTGGCGAGCATCCTGGTGGCATCAGCAATGATGCCAAGGCATTGGGGGGACATGGTGTAGCCGTAGCCGCTCTTGAGAGGATGGAGAGAGGAAGGACTATCAATGCTGGATGGCTTCAGCAATTTATAAGGCTGCATCCTAAGAAAACTCTCCATGAAGCCATTAAGAATGGATTGCAACAACTTTCGGATGGCCAACTCCCCCTGTTTGGGCCATTATGCAGTGCCGTTGCTCAGATGGGGTCATCGTCGGAGATCGCCTCCTTTGAGGGAGATGCCCTTACAATGTTCCCCCTCGACGATGCTAGAGAGGAGGTGCGCGTGCCGGAGCTGGCCCCAGACTTTATCGATGTTGAGGTGGAATGAGAAAAGGATTCCTCGGAGCAGGTCGAGGAAGATGGGCAGAATAACCGGGAGCCGGGGGAGGAAGGGACGTCGGCTCCTCCACCCGTCGAGGAGACAAATGAAAGCCATCCAAGCCAGCCGCCTGGTCAGAATGAAGTATGAATCTTCTTCTTGTAATAGGGTTTTTGCTGCTAAGGTTGTAGACCTTAGACTGTTGTAGTGATTCTTGAACCTTTTTGCCACTTATTAATTAGATCGGTGCCTCTTTCCCCTAACATTTGATATACTTCTGTCCCTTATGCCAGGATTCGTACTTCATTCATCTCGTACATCTATTGATTCTTGAGGAAGACGAGGGTACGAGGTTTCCCATGTATGCGATGATTTCTTCAATTTTGAGGAAATTTGGGGACGTTCATAATACCGACAAAGTGAGATACCTTGAGAAAGAGCTTACCGACGCTGTTAATGCACTTAACCTACGGACGCACTCCCGCTTGGTACAACGCTTCAGACAACAAGAGGAAGAGTGGAAGCGCCGACTTCACCAATACGACTTGGACTTTCATGCTTCCTTGTCTCTAGAAGCCAACATTTACGAGGAGATGGAGAAGTTGAAGGAGGAAAATACTCGACTGAGAAGGCGCGAGAACATTGTCATATCTCTGTGGTTCCTCAAAAAGTTTGACACACTTGCTCTGGTCGAGTCCCAGATAAAGGTTCGTACTGAACGTTTTATCGCTGCCATCAACCTCCTAAAGAAGAGGACCAAAGAGGCAGAGTTCTATTAGAGGCAGGCTGCTGTCCTGCAGAACATACTGGTGGACCACGAGATTTCTTTACCCATTCTCGACGACCTCGATCTAGAGGATGAAGCAAAGGAAAGGGCAGCTGCTGAGGAGTATCTTCTTAGAATCGATGACCAAGATTGGGAGGTTCTAGATTTGAGGGATAAACTTGGTCATTGTCTCCATAGGCTTAGGGCAATGGGATGTTCTGGCCTTATTAAGCCCTCCCGTTTTAACCCTAAGGGGACGGACCTCAGGATTTAGGTAAATACCGTGTATGTTGATATATTTTCCTAACCCCACACTTAGTGTGAGGGGATTATATTTAAACTGAGCTGCATAAGCGTCAGTTATTTGTTTTTACTCGAGAATGTTTTTATAGCGCTTGTTTGGCCGAATGTTAAGTACACAGCTCCGTTGAGGGATCGGATACGGATCCCTCAATTTATTAATACCGCGATCTACGGTAGGTGCGAGGAGAGGTCCCCGTCTTAAGCGTCCTGATGTTGAATACACGGCTCAACTCGAGGATGGCCCTATAGAGGGTGTCCATCTCGATGTCTAGTCATAAGATAGTGTCGACACATGCAAATGTATAGAGGAAATATGTAATGACTTTTATTAATAATTACCCGAGGACCCGGGTT